CCTCTTCTCTACTTAAATTATGATACCACTCTTACAAGACAGCAGCTTGTAAGCTACTCTTACCATTAAGGCTGAAAACAGAGGGAAAAGGTCAACCAGACAGTTCCAAAATTAACAGAGAGGGTTTTGTTTGCACAAACTGGGCTGTGGTTGCTGTTCCTCTCTGCTTTAATGCTAGGCTGAACGAACAGGCAGTTTGCTGTACCTTCTTATCCCCAAACATACCTCAAACACTATCTTATTACTCTTACAGAAGAAGCCTTTTTTTCCAAAATGCCACAATTGTCAACTATCTTTCCTTCATATACAGACAGGCCTTCAGGTTGCTCAATAATCAAATCAACCTACCTCAGCCTGTAAAAATCAGCTTTATTTGTCCCACAAGAACTTTGCTTCACCCCTCTGAAGAGGACACATTAGAAGCATAATCCAAATAAACAGGTAAGGCTCTTGTTAGCCTGATTCTTGATGCAAGTGTAACTTCATTTTCAATTTGGACTCTCCCGCTGTGACTAATGGGAGACCAACTTCAAAGCTGCAGCTATGCACTTGAGGTCATTATCTTCATTTCTATATCCTCCGCAGGTTCACAGCATATGGGAACATTTTAACTGTGGATTTTTTTTGTGTGTGTGTGTATGTCTGCAGCCATAAATCTGCCATGTCAACTATAAAACATAACTGAGCAGCAACAGATGTAGATCTAATAGCTACCAAAGAAATTAAATCAAATTGTAACACCTCTCCAGTTTTATTCTCATACTTAATAGCCTTTAAGATTGATTTCAGTGTGAAGTTCAGGAGATGGACAGTGAGTAGGAGTCAGAACATGTTCATGAGGAGGAGAGAAAAGTGGGTTTGTGTGTCCTTTTTAATTTTCTATTACTCTGTTCTACTAGCTCAATCTCTTTCTTTCCTTCTCCCCCTCTGTCTTTTCTTTAATCCCTCTTCTTCTACCCTTTTAGCTGAGACGAATCCTCCTTTCATCCTCCTCTGCAGCGAGGGCCCTGCTCTCTGTTCACACAAAGCCTGACCATCGCTGACTCCTCGTCAACCCCTTCGCCCAATTCATCAAGCAGAGGCCCATGGGCATTCATCACCCCCACCACCTTTCATATCCCGCACCAGCTGAAAGCCACTGTCCCTCCTCTGACTTCAATGCAGCCGTGACACACCCGTAAGATTTATAGTAGTATAATTAGTAGCAGTGAAAAAGGGCCTGCGTGCTTTGGAGGGTCAGTCATACTGTAGCTCTGAAAGGCAGTCACATCTGCTTCTAAATAAATCGCACAAAAGTTGATGAATTAGCCGAAAAAATAAGAAGCAAAGAAATTCATCAAAGTTGAGCAGTGACATCAAAACAATCATACACACTCTGGGTCATTTCAGCAAACTATCAGTCACCATTCATGAGAGCTAGGCACTATCATAAATCCCATCTCTCTGCAGGAGACTGCTGCTGCTGTTTCTGCTGCTGCTGCTGCTTGTGATGAGTTGCTCTGAGGTGAGAACTCCCCCTCAGGACGGGGGTTTCCGCAAACAGCTCAAAGGAGGTCTAACACAACATGCCTAATAGTTAAACAGTGTTATTGATGTAATCATGCCCTCCTCTCCCCACCCGCTCTGCTGTCACTGATATCTCAAGAACATTGAACTAATTAAAACACTCCTGCAGTTTGTTTTTATTACAACCCTAACACTGAAACCTTCACTAAACAGCTGGGTCTTTTTCCCCCCGCAGAAAGACACGTCAGGACATGCTGTCCAAAAGTGCACAGAGGAGATGCAAAATCCCCATTCAATCATAAATTACACCTATTATTCATTATTCCTGTTGTGGCTTTCCCTCTGTTCTCTTTCATGTGCATGATAGCACAGGTCACCGAGCACCTGAAATATCAAAATGTCTGACATCAGGGGGAGGAGGTTTGGCTTCAGCTGCCAGGAGGTAGGAGGTGAGGGAAAGATGCTAATCAGAGGAGGAAGTAACCACACGTCAAGCTCCTGTGAGGAGTTTTAACCTGGTTATGAAACAGACAGAAATTAAAACTTTTGTATCTCATGGGCTGCAATAGCAAAAATTACCACAAGGGGGTGGATCGATATGTATATTTTTTTGTAGTAATAATAAAAAACTGAAATGCCTTTAAATATTCCCCTGGGGTTGGCACCAGACAGATTCAGTTACAGCATCTCTGCAAGGCATCCTTAGAGAGATTTTTTGACTACTTATACGTAAGGTCGCTTTCACACCTGACCAAGCGGACTCGGTTCGACTGGGGAGCTGAAAGTCGCAAAATTGTTGCATTGATCACTTGTTTTGGTTCAGCTTTCACACTGTGATTTCTGAAGCGCACTGAACTTTCCGAGCAGCATCACATGGTTGGTTCCTCGATTGGACAAAGTAGGAGGGGTTTGTAACCTCACTGATTACCAACAGGGGTGGACTAGCCGTCTTGTATTGTGCTTCATCACATTATTTAATGGAATTCTACAACGTTAGTGAACGCAACTGTTCCTATAATGCTATCGTAGCTTGTCAAGGATTGATCCTGTTATTTTTCTAACTTTGACGATCTAACACGTGACAACATATGAGCTCAGAGTTTAAGGACTTTGACTGTTGGTAGTTGTGATCTGAATTTGTTTAAATATGCCAAATTGTTAATTTATGGGTTATTGTTGTTCAGACAATTGAGCTAAGCTAGCTAGCAACTGCTAATGTCAGCCGTCACTTGTTGCCATAGCAACAAGCGATGCCGTGCTTCCTCTATTCAAGATGCACTGCGTATGCAATGCGTATAGTGTCATTACGTACATTTGGTCCTGTGTTTGGTCCGGTAAGCTTTCACACTGCATACAAACTAAACCAGGGTTCACTTGCAAGCGAATCGAGACCCATGTTTTCAGGTGGACCAGAGTTCGCTTCTTTGGTCCGCACCAGAATTCAGATGAGCTTTCATACCTGCCCAAATGAAGCGGACTCTCCGAGGAAACGAACTCCGGTCTATTTAAAGCGGACCAAACAGCTCTGGTGTTAAAGCCACCTAAGACAAAATCAACAAAAAGATGATGTACCACTTTGTCCACAGGGGGCACCAAAATCAACTCAAACTGGAAATTATTTTCAGGAGCTTTGAACCATTTTATACCTTATATTTTATTCATACCTAAAATTTTAACTTGGTATTTTATGGTCGTTACACTACACTTTTACGATATCCAAAAGCAGACAAGACCAAACCGATGATCTGTATATCAGCACTTTTGATACCTGAAACTGGTATGAGAGGGTGGGTGTCAGCCAACCACCTGAAGAGACAGTCCTGTTTTTACTGTTTTCACTGAAACACGTTTACATGTAATGGTACCTTTGACTGAATAAGCTGACAAGATGAAATTTTTGTTACAACAACAATAACAACACCACTTTAACATGTAGAGAACAAGATAAGCAGAGACTGCCTTGTCTACAGGGGGCGCCAAAACTGACACAAACCAAAAGTTCCCGTCAGGGGGTTTAAACAAATGATTGAACACAAAATCAATTTTCTTAAAATGTATTTCTAAGTTTGAGTTAACACTTCTTCACATATAAAGGCGGAAATGCCGCTAAAATTAAAAACTTAAAGTGCTGCTAACAACACTAACCAGTGCATTTGTTGTTTGGTATGTTTGTTTACATAAAGCTGCTGTAGTTTTTTTATTGCAGGACTTAAATATGCAACAATGTGAGGTCCAAATATTTCCAACATTCATGAAAATACAGGGAGATGTTTAATGTGGATAATGGCGGTAAAGAGGTTAAATAGGTGTGCATTTCTTCTTCACAATTTGTTATGTTTGGTCTCTTGTTTTATTACATAATCACCAAGCAGCAGGAGTTTAGCAGCGAAGCAGCAGCTTTCCCAAGTTCTGCAAAATCAATCCTCATGTGATATCAACAGTTTGCAAGATGAATGTCACAAAGATTTTCTTCTTTTAAAAAACACCTAAACTGCCTTTATTGAAGATCATCTGATGGTACCAAAAGTTCTTCAAGTCTTTGCACCAGCCAAATTTGATACTACACGTCATCAGCATTTGGATTTTCCCTTTTTTCTTCTCTCCTTTGCCAGCAGTACAAGTGGTTAAACTGCAGGTCTGCTGGAGCACATTGCAAACGTTATGCAGAAGGGTGAGGAAGCACCTGCTTCCAACAAGGAGGTGGAGAAAATGCTCTCATGAAAACGTCCAACTCCAGAGGCTGGCACAGACACTTGTGCAGAAGGTTGGAAGACTCTGGGATTATTCACAGGTTATTTTGATAATCTTGATTGGGGAAAGTTCGCCCGATGCTTTGTGGTTTTTTTGTTTTGTTTCCAGCAGGAGAGGCTGTGGTGGAACCGAGAGCAATCAGAGTACAAATTGGAGTTTATTCTTGCTGGAGTTGTTACAAGTCAGTGATAGTACTATTTGCCTTTGTGTAAGTTGAACAATGATGATATTTACTCCATCTGTATCTGTGTTGCATTTGAATGCACCACAAACTGTTGCCTGAGTTCCCTGCCCCTGGATGGGCGATGTGTTTTTATCAGACAGCCTTGGAGCGCAGGACCTTTGAGAAGACGCCTCTGGACTTGGATTTTCGTCGACTTGGAAGATAGATCCAACTTCTCTTGGACTTTTCTTTTTTCTTGGAGAGAAGTGACAGAGGCGCGCAGACAGCGGCATCATCAGCGGTAAAAGTTGGACAGAAAGTACACTTTCTGTAAGGAAACTGATGCGCGTAAGAAGGGATGCCAGCCAGGCGTGGCTTGTGCTTGAATATCCAATGTGAGAATGCGTGGGGAGTATGTATATAATAGAGGCTTTCCATCTGATAAACAGTGATAGCAAAGTGATCATTATAGCTCAGGACTATCAATAAAGTGAGAGGACACTGCTGTTTTGGAGGAGCACCGTGCGTTGGTTACGCTTTGTGCGTGCATGGACCGGACTTGTTTAAACTTTTTAAACTGTTTGAGTCACCGTAGACCACATTTAAAATGCCTTCGCTTAATTTGACAGCTGTGCACACAATGGCAGAGGTCGGGAGTTTTCTGGGGACAATCGACCTGGATTTACAAAGCTTCCCTGCACTCGGGAACATGCCGCTGCCGGAGTCTCCGGTGGGTTTGAATGAGCGACTGGGGCAGATTGAAGGGAGGCTGCAGCGGGGGTCGCCTACGGATTTTGGGCACCTGAAAGGGATCCTGAGGCGGCGGCAGCTGTACTGCAGGACCGGCTTTCAGCTGGAGATATTCCCCAATGGGACAGTGTACGGGACAAGACAGGATCACAGCAGATTTGGTAAGGATGTGACCATAGAGTAGGCCTATTAATTTTTACTTTGAGAAAGTTTGGTCATTTCATATGTTGGAAAGAAATAGTCGTTTTACCTTGACCATGTGCCATTATTAACAAAGCTACAATGATAAAGATGAGTGGATAAACATTGTCAGTATTTAACAACAGTTTTAAGTTATCAGTATGTTAAGGTTTGACTAATTTCCACCATTGTCGCTGTTCAGTGCATTGTTAATTAGGGAGCTTTTTTCCTGCCGCACATCCCAGGTGAATACACTCTCGTGCGTCACTGTCACTTGGCGCGCGGGGAAGCACAGCCTCACGCCTTTTTTTACTGCACGTTGGTTGGGGAGGGGGCAGGTGTCTCTCCACCGCCACAAACAAGCAGCGCGTGCGCGTCTCTCGGTCGCGTGCCCGCAGTAGTGAAGCTTCTCGTGAGCCTTCTGTCAGTTTAAATGGAGCGAGGTGCGGCTCGCGCGAGAGAGATAAAAAAAAAAAACAAGGTCAAAGGGCAGATAGGCATGTCTCGAGCTTGATGTCTTCGCAGTGATCTCACAGGTGCTCGACTCGCAGCGGAGTAACACTAAATGAAAACAGACCCACTGCGAGCGGAGGGACACTCCAACGTTTTTGTCTCTTCAGCCAAAACAAGCCGGTGCTCAGGGATGGGTGGTCCGCGTGTTTGTTTCTGGCTTCAGTTAGGCCTCAAAATGCAAAGTCTTTGTCTACAGGACGTGGCTTTGATTAGAGGGATATGAAACACTCTTCACCCCACAAAAATTAGAGGGATGTTCTGTGTCATCCTCTGGCATGGGTTGAGGTCGTGGATATGGGGACCAGGTGGCTGTAAGTCGGCCTCTGCCAGTCAGCACTGCCAGCTGGATCCTCTCTGACTAACCTCTGCAGCACAACAGACTTTTAATTTCACCGGTTGTTTCCCTGCCTTTGAAGTACAAGTTCACTTTACTGAAACTTCCTGTGAGTCAGCAGCCCACCAAACAACAGAGCCACATCTCAGCTTCATAAAAGACATTTCCACATATGTCTGTTTTAGTAGCCCTGTTGGGAAGTCCCAAAGACCAGCAAGACACGTTTATAGATACCACAGCATACAATAATTAAAGAGAGACTCTTAATACTCATTTTTCTCATAGTTTGGTCTTCCACCTGCACATGAAGAAGACATTTTAATGGTGTTAAAAAAAAAGCATTTTCAGAGGGGATGTTATTTTTCTTTAAACACTGAAATAATGGGGACAAACAGGCACAATGTGGCTTAAAATCATAACTTTAATTAAGAAATAAGCCATTTTTTAATAGATTATTCTCACAAAAATAGAGACCACTTCTTGCAACGTGTGTTATTTGGCATTATAACAGCAATTTACTGTTATAGATTGGTTATGATGTTTGTTTTTTATTTGTTTTTTGAGTCGTGGTGACATATAACTCTGTTGGACTGCAGAGCAAATTAAAGCAGAAAAGCTAAATTTCTGCTGCAAATTGATGCTCTTCTGTCACATTTCTGCTGGCCTCTTGTTGCTGCATTTCTGCCCTAACTAGTTGTCTGTGCATTGTGCATGTGTATGTGTATGTGTGTGTGCGTGTGTTGTTGACCTCAGGCATCCTGGAGTTCATCAGCCTGGCAGTGGGTCTGGTCAGCATCAGAGGGGTGGACGCCGGACTCTACCTCGGCATGAATGAGAAAGGAGAGCTCTATGGGTCGGTGAGTTAAAAAAAAAAAAAATCATTCATTCACACAACTCCTTTCCACCATACAGCTTTGGATCTTATTCACAATAAATCCGACCCCTTATATGTGTGACTTGTATTTAAAGTCCTGTAACATCCATTTTCTTCTTATACTACATGAAGGTCTTCAGCTAGCTCCGAAAAGTTTACAAGAAATGTGAGAGTCGGTGTGTTATCGATGTTCCCGTACAGGGCAGATGGGAAAACCACAGTGAGACAAAACAAGTATGTTTCTTTTAGAAAGTCTCACAGGCACTATCAGACCAGCTCTTTGTGGTTTTCTATCAAAAGGTGAGCAGAAAAAAAGAAGTGGACAGAAATTTGCATTAAAGAATAAGAATAAGAAGAAATTTATTTATCCCTGAAGGGAAATTCAATATTTAATATTTCACCAAATAACAACACTGGCAGCAGCAAAGAAAATACCTTTTGACTTGTTTTTTCAAGTAAAGAGTAGTGAGGAAAGCAAGGTTAGCAGCTCAAGAGAGCAAACTTTCCTCTTCATTGATGCAGAAATATTTACATACTTTCCCAAAGTGTGGACAGGAAAGTTTGCAGTCCTGTTAAATATGCGTTTTGGGTGAATTGGTGATTATCTCTTCTTTGTACACATCTGAACAGCTTTAAAGAATATGATAGTATTAATTTGTGCTTTTTTAAACCTGCTTGATTTTACCTTTCCTTTGGTTGCTATCTGTAGACAAAGTGAGAGGAAAGGGAAGAGATAAAGACAATAAAGGGGAAGTCTGTTAGGGTTACCTGTATCAGGTGTCCTAGGGCATTACCTGGGGGCCTCTCTGGGCCAGAACTCCCCCCAACCCCCATGGCTCTGAACATTTTTTGAACAGAGAGGCTACTTTTTAAGCAGGACCATTATGGTGATAGTGCAGATATTGTTACTGCTCGCTATCAGAGTCTGGCATCCTGGAGCTTTGACCCTAAGGCGAGGTGGGCGGGGCCGTGGCAGGGGAAGGCAGCGGTTTTAGGGGGGCTGGGGGGGTAATTGCACACCTGACTGAGTCACCTGACTGACAGAGGAAGTATGAACACATTTGTGTGAGAGGCTGAGGGGCCAGGGGGTGGAGGTGAAGGAGAAGGGGAGGACAGGTAAAAGGCTGTTTCCGTCCCATAACCACTAGACCTCGGTGAGCTTTTGATCCAATGAGGTTTGTGTGTGTGTGTGAGTGTGTGTGTGTGTGTGTAGGGATTGAGCTGGCCCAGTCATGTGCCCTCAGGGCTGTGTTTACAGACAACAGCTTCACCACACAGCCGCAGCCAAGCACAGCCTGACAGCCAATCAACAAAACTGCCGCTGGAATAAAAGCTGAGACTCTTGCACAAACACTGTAATGTCTGTTGTTGAAGGCAAAGATTGACTGACTGCTGTATTAAGAAGATACATCCTCCTAGCTCCAATACTGTTAGCACAAGGTAACCTGTAAGAATGAGTGGTAGCAACACCTTCAAAAGGGGAGTAGATACAGTATGTTGGGCTGCTGGACCCCTGTGACACCCCCTGACTCCACTGAGGGCTGAGCAAAGTTTGTGCATGACTGGCTGGTTTTGGCAGGAGAAACAGCTTTTACTCTGATGTGTCTTATTGTTCTCACACACCCGCTCAGCCAGCACACTCTCACCTGCTGAACCCACAGCCATCGCTCATACTGTGCTGTCAGTGAAGGCTTTGGGAGTGTGTGTGTGTGTGTGTGTGTGTGTGTGTGTGTGTGTGTGTGTGTGTGTGTGTGTGTGTGTGTGTATTGAGGGAAGGTTGCACGCCCCTCTGGCTCCTCCTCTCGCCTCACAGGGAGGGAAATAATTCTCCATGCACAACGAGAGGTTAACAGGTCTGAGGAATGAGTTTGGGGCAGAAAGGGAAAATCTTCCCATAATGACTTCCTATCTTTGGTATTAATGAGCAGCTGCTTTCCTACTGGAATGTCTACTGTTTTATTACTGTAAAAAGAGTGAATGAATTACATAAACTAACGCTGAATCTCCTCACTATCTGTTTTAAATCGTACCTGCGTTATGTTCTTCTTTTCAGACTGTGGGCAGGATAAGCATTTACTGATGTGTTGTTTTCTACCCTGCAGAAAAAGCTGACTGCTGAGTGTGTGTTCAGGGAGCAGTTTGAGGAGAACTGGTACAACACCTACGCTTCAACTCTATACAAGCACACAGACACGGGACGTTTCTACTATGTGGCCTTAAACAAGGACGGCTCGCCCAGGGAGGGGGGCAGGACTAAAAAGCACCAAAAACTCACCCATTTTTTACCCAGGCCGGTGGAAATTGAGAAGATCCCTCAGGCGTACAGGGACTTATTCCAGTACAGGTGACCAGAGCTGACTCTGGGAGAACTGGCTACAACCGAAGAGATAGATAGCAAAGAAAAGGAGAGGGGGGGTGTTGTGGATATTTTGGACCCAGTACAGAACTGTTTACCCTCGACTCCCCCTGAGATCACTGTGTTTATTCCTCAGCCCACCACCAAGCACGTTACAGCACTGACATAAACATTGAGCATGTTCCTGGATGCTGCTTCTTCAGTGGACTTGTGACTTCAGGAAAGGAGGGAAAGTCGTCTTATAAAACCACTGCAGACATGGATGGAGAAGGCCTGCACGTATCAGGACGATCCAATCAGGTGCCATGTTTTCTAACCACTTTTTTTTTTTTTCTGAGGGAAATGCATAGAAACTCAAGCAACAAGCAAAGACAAGTGGAGTCATGGTTCTTGGCAGTTTTGAGTAGCACTAAGCTGGAGTGGGAGTAAATGAATGATGAGAACACCAAGAAGAGACTTTTAAGAGCTACAAATGGTGGAAAGCACTGCAGATGTCACATTGTGCATTTGTTGCAAATACACAACCACAGCGACGTTAAATGTAAGAAAAAGGCACATTCCAGGTACAGAATAATATTTAGGAGAAGAAGGGCCAGAAATGCAAAAACAAAGAGAGCTGCATGCATGTAAATGACAGGTTTGGATGATAGGGAAATAAAAAAATCTGTAGGAAGAACGTCTCGAAGGTAGAACAGGAGTTTATAAAGCTGTCATCCAAACTCAAGACTGAAGAGGAGGGTCTCATCTCAAAGATATACATGTGATAGATGAAACAGCACTTACTGCACATCCACAATCCCGGCTCATTAGCTGTGTTAACATCAGAGTCTCATTCATCACAATAAAATAAGAGATCAAGTAGCGTCTTGTAGGAAGTGAATGCAAAATAGGTGATAAAGCTAGGGACAAAAGCACTTCTTGGACTGTCGTTGCGAAAAAGTAATGAGGTGTCTTTTTAAAAGATGGTGACTTGTAATGTTCAGAGTGTCGGGAACATTATTAAAAATGCAAGCAGCTGAGGTGTACATATGGGTGATCCTATTTATGAGATGTACAATATATTTATTTTCTACGTATAAAGTATAAATATAAATCTATATATTTATTTATTGCAAAGACTTTATTTTGTAATGAACTTGAAGTTATCTGGACTGTAGATTCTACTGAAGTTATACCAAATAAAACAACCACAGCAACAACAAAAAAAAGAAAAATCTGCAATGAACATGACAATAAAATTGTCCTGCTTTTTAGAGCTCTTTGTGAGAGATTATTTTTGCTTGGATAAACATCTGATGTACCAATTAAAACCAGATATAGAATCTATGTGAATGTTGCCTTTCTTTCCTTTCTTTCAGTCATACTAGTCAGGGTGTACAAAACTTGATCCAGCTTGAAATATCTCACCAACTGTTGAACAGATTACCATAAAACATAGTACAGACTCTCATGGTCACCGGAGGATCAGCAGAAATCACTTCAAGTTTTCCTCAGCTTGAAGTTTGTGGTTTTCACAGAGTTTTGCTGATGTCAAAGTATGTGGAAACCATTGTTATAAAGCACTCTGATTATCATAGTATAGGAAGTGTAGCACATAGTCACTGATTTAAGGGCAATGGGCATTATTGACATGATATTCACATGTACAAAAACTAAAGAGAATTTTTTTGTAAAAAGATCCATCGTTCCCAGAGTAAAGCCCTGGTACAATCACATACCAATTCGCCCTCATAAACCTTCAACCGAGTTATGTGCACAGACCCTCTCTGTCTCCACAACTTCTTTTTCTCAGCCTACATCCACCGTAAAAAATCAAGATTCCTTATGCAACTGGATCCTGACTCCTAATTGGCTTTACACATCAGCATGGATTTAGAGCAGTGATTGGTTGTTCATAGCAGGGGCCTCACAGTCTCCACTGTGGGTCAGTCCTTTTCAATGGACAGAAACAGCTGCCTGCTGCACAGAGAACCAGCAGGGATGTGCTGCAAACCTGGAGCGGTGGTAATCTGGGGCTGAGAGGGGATGGGATCAACATTTCAACATCTGCAATAGTTGTAATGTTTCTCCACTGGCAGATATCTGTAAGCTGTGAGAGCAAGCTCCCCTGGGGGGAGGGAATGGAAAAGTCAAAGACATACAGGGGAAAACCCTGGCAGACTGAGAAATGAAAACAATACCGGGAGAGGGAAAAATAGATGAAAGATTGAGAGGAAAAGAGAATGGGACAAAAGGCACTTAGTGCTGCGGGTGTGAAATACAGAGCTATTGCTTTAGGATGTATCAGCTGTCTTTTTTCCAAGTAGATGTCAAATTTTTTTTTTTTAATCAAGCTTTGCTTTTCACATGATTTATTACCTCTGCCAAGGAGGTTATATTTTCAGTAGCGTTGGTTTGTTTGTTTGTTTGTTTGTGAACAACTTGACGGAGAAAGTTAGACGGATTGACCTGAAATTTTCACCAGAGGTGCGTCTCAGCCCCAGGACGATCCCATTACATTTTGGTGCTGATCCGGATCGCCTTCTGGATCCAGGAATCTTTTGAAGGATTCTTTATCATTATGAGATAGGGCAAATTTTGGAATTTTTGCATTTAACTCTATAAAAATGGCCAGAGTCTTTAGTAAAAAATTACACAAAAGGATCTCAATGAGTTTTATGAGGTGTCAAAGGTTGATCCTGATCCAGACAAAATTCCAGATACTGTGATCCTGATCCAGACAAAAATAAGGGTGTCGTTGGAATTTTCAATGCTGAAAGATAACCAATGGGTGGCACAGTGGTGTAGTGGTTAGCACTGTTGCCTCACAGCCAGAAGGTCCTGGGTTTGAATCCCAGTCAGGGTATTTCTTGTTTTAGGAACATTATGAACAGTGAACATACCAGTTTAAACACAAATAAAAGTTAATAAAAGACACGTAACAGTAAAAGTTTTGGTGTGAATCACAATATAAGGGGGGACATGAGCTGCTTGGCGGAGGTCTGCGCTCTCCGAGTGCTTTTCTAGTTAGCAGATTGTTATCACCCTTATGTCCGTATAGTAAATATAAAGCCAGGGGCATGAAACAGTTAGCATAGAAAGTGGAGGCAGGAGGAACAGCTGGCCTGGAGTTTTTCAGAGGGCAAAAAATCTGCTGTCAGCAACCACACTTACACACTCATAAACACACATCAAAATAAGATCATAGCATCTTTTGACCTCACACAAAAACATGATTTTAACAAGTTAAGTGGTGGCAGGGGAGAGGTTAAATGGTCAACCTGGTAAACCATGAGGGCTTTATTTAACTTGTGAAAAATCAGGGTTGTTGTTTTTCTCATCCTTACTCTAGGCTTGACCACCAGCTGCAAGCTTTAGCTTCATATTTCCATCACCTTTTCCATTTGTTCCAGATCTTGGTCAGAAAAACTTAAGACCAAATTAATCCGATTTTTAGAATATATATACACATTTTTGGCCTTGTCCTGGTGGCTCCTGGGCTTTCAGCATTAAAGATAAACTAGGACTGCCCCTGGTTTTGGTTCAAGCCGAGTCACTTCCTTCCCCCTCCCCCAATTTGCCTTTTAAACTCACACAAAAAACATTAGCATGTATTTTCTCGACTTTCTTTTTTTACGCTCAAGCTTTAAAATGTGTACAGACTTAATTTCCCGTTAGGTTCTCACGCAAGTTCAGCATTTTTCCCCCCCAATCTTTCCCAACAATTCAGACAAGTGTATGGAACAACCGAAGATCCTGTAAACAAGTAAACTGACTCATACACAGTTTTTCACTCTTTTGGTCACTTTATTAAATGTTATATTAAATACTTATCAAGATAATATCAGATCAGATCATGGCAAATTGTGTTGGTGTATTTGCTAACAGAATAACATTCTTAGAGGGGGGCCAAAAAAGTGTCTCTACGTTTATGAAATACACCTTGTGCAAACACAGGAGGCAATATGAGACAGCAAGCGTCCCTTCATGAGAAATGTACACATTCCTCATGATGAACAGTTACACCAGTTTAAGCATTTAGAAGCAAAAATGTGCCAAAGTAGAATACAGGTAGTCTGGGGGCATGCCTGCCAAGACTATAGTGTCCAGAAAGCATTTCTCAAAAAGCACAGGACACAGATCAGCTAGGCATGAAAGATTTCAAGTCCTTACTCTCTATCAAATCTACTGCCAACACGTTTCTTTCTTTTCTTTGACAGCAAAGTAAAGGGACAAGTTTTGGGCCCTGGGGTGCCCCTCTGACCTGTCTGTGCTTTGTGAGACCCAGTCACTCACCCTAGCTCAGGAACAACACAAGTGGAACGTAAGTGATGGACAGGACACACAGTGCTATGCTAGACAACACGTGACGATGAGGATGATGTTACAAAAACGGTTCATAGGAATTTGCAGGCAGTTTTGAACAACACAGGCATTCCATTACCATGTTCAGCAACGACTAATGTAAACACTTAAAAGCAGAATAGAAAAGAGTCTCAACAAATCTTTGAACTTTACAGTGTTTTTAGGAAAGGAATATAAGGCCATATTTTTTCTTTTTTTTTGATGTTTTATCAATTTCTTCAATCTCCCAAAAGGAGTAGGACTTTGCAGCACCATCAGCTGTCTGCTTTGCTTAAAATTGGTGAAGGAATCTACCAGGGCTAATGATTCTAAAGAGCTTCATACCATAAAGTCCTGTCACCAACAACACTGGTCCCACTCAGGTTCAGTTAGGCATTTAAAACCGTATAAAAAACTGAGTTTAAATAATAACGAAATCCTCTTTGAAGGGGAAAACAAAACAATGCTTTGAAGCATTGGGGGTTAAAGTAGTCTTTAAATACATGAAAAATGAAGATATAGAACTTGAATAACATTAAGGCGGTATATACAGTTTTTCTCTGTTCTAATGGACTCCTTTCACACAGTCATTTATACATTATATACCACCATTTCTCAGCGAACTACTGAACAGAGAACTGAGAGTCTATCCCACTTGAGGCCCCAGTGGAAAGCAGCCTGGTCTCAAAACTTCTCCACCCTCTGCTTGGTGCACCGGTTTGCAGTGAGCTCTGAGAGGCCTCTCAGTGCGTATATTGCGGAGGACTGGGCCACTGGAAGCCGGCTAGCTGAGTGGGCTGTGGTGGGCAAGGAAGTGTCCCGCTGTCCTACAGACCCTTGGAGGGCCCAGGATTCTTGCCCATGCCTTGGTGGGAGCTGAGACCGTGGAGCTGCTGGTAAAGCCCCAGCAGATCCATCTGGTTGAGCCCGCTGGCTCCCATCATGCCATTTTGCAGGGCCAGCTGGTTCAGGTAATTGGCCTGGTTGGCCATGGCCAATTGCTGCTCCTGAACCTTCCTGTTGGTGATCAGCTTCTGCACATACATCATCATCTGGGCAGACAGAGAGAGAAATGTTTTAATGTACTGAAACACACAACAGTACAGTCCCAGTTCCATGCATGTTGAGACACGTAAACGAACATCTTCCAACCAATAATGTAGAACAAGTTATTCACATGACTAGATATAAAAGAGCAGACGGGTTCACCAATCAGAGACTGTGTCAACAAGTAGGTCATTTTTACACTAATGTACCTCAACATAAAACCAGAGAGAATTTCAGATTTCAGAGGAAAAAATAAATAATGAATATAAGACTTTTTTAAAATCCTGGATCCTGCAGCCTCTGCTCTAACAGGGAGAGGAACCACCTTACTTCTTATCAGCACACAGTTCAAAGAGTGCCCATGGTTTGGGTAAAATACACATCTGACAAGGGAACATCAATGCTAAACAATACGGTTTTTAACAACATATGCTGCCTTTCAGACAACACTTTTTTTTAGGAAAGACCTTGTATATCTAAGCAAGATAATGCCAAAACACATTTTGCACTATCATGATACAAAGATTATATGATGAAGGAGACTCAACTCTTGAATAGTCTACAATCCCATATCAGGTAAGAGAGGACAACAGATCACTTTTAAAACTTTTCACAGACGTTAACAAAAAGAGATTATCTGAAGAAATCTAGTACCGGCAGGAAATTCATGAAATTTCCTCTAAATCAAAGCAGACTCTAATTACTAGAGACTGTAATATAGTGATAATGCGGTCCAGAGAAAAAAGTTAAATGATCAACTCTTGTCAATTCAACAGATTTTTGTTTTAATGCACAATCAGTAGAGGATAACCATGAGTAGTAACTACAGCTACAGATAGTTGATGGTTAAATCGCCTAGTTTGCTCAGGGACACAGATCACTTCTTACCGTCTGCTGCCTGTTGAGGACGTCTCTGTACACGGCCTCTCTGCGCTTCAGCTCCCGCTCTATGGTGGCCTGTCGACCCAGAGCCATGGACTGGACCTGAGTCTCTGTGAGTGCAGGGTTCTCTTTCCACTGAGAGGGAAGAGGGGGGGAACGCATGTTTAAACCACCAACACAACTCTCAAAAGTCTACCTCCTTTACGCATGTCTAGAGACCAAAAAGACTTCTTTGAGTAGATTTATGGCTCTCCTTAAAAGACAGGTCGTAATAAATCCCTTTTTTATCTGTAGATGGATTAGGAAGTTGCGTTGCATGTTTGGACACTCACCACTATGGCGATCGTATCTTCCATCGTCTCCCGGCCTAAAGACTTCAACGCGTTGGTTGCTTGGATGACTTTCTGCCTTCCCTGGTTTATAAGATCCTGAATACGACACAAGCAGATATAAAACACGGTAAGCTTCTCTTAGGTTCACCTGAAGAAACTAGAAAATGACTGTGGGAATTCACTAAGGATTTGATATCAGAGCCCATCAACTATCTTCAGGCAGCTACCTCATCAGCAGGGAAACAGGAGCGCCCCCACTTTAAAGATAAGCACTGAGATAAGCACTAAGTAGGCTTGGGACAATAACAAATCTTGCTGGACGATATACTGTCCCACAAATTATTGATGATACACAACAACAACATTGTCAACATTATTGAGACCAAAATAACCACTTAACTAATCTCAATATATCACATATTTTCTGGAGGGAAATTCATATTGTAGGTCAAAAGTTTGTTTCATTTCTCAAAATGCTGGCTTTTCAACCGCACACTATTTTGCTGTTCTGACTGTACTAGCTTTGTTGACCAAACACTTCAGTCAGTGTTGAGTGTCGTGCCGACGGCTCTGAATCTCGAGGTGCAGTTTTTTTTCCCCAGCTGGGAAAACTCGACCGGGTGATTGTGTTTGAGGTGGTAATGCAAGTTCGTTGTGTTGACTTTTTTGTCACTACCATTTTCAAACAAAGTCAGGCGTGTTTGGAGGCGCGAGACGAGGAAAACAAATGCACGCGTGCACATGGCGATATATGGATGCCAGAAAAATCATTGAGTTCATTTTTATTTATCGCTCGTTAACTGATTTATTGATTGTTGTCCCAGGCCTAATCCTCAGTGGACTATGTTGCATCCTCGTGAACCAACACAAAGTTTACAGAGTGATCACTTTTAAGTATTCATATGATGAGTATAAAATGATCAAGGTGGCTCTGAGCAGACACAGTATGTTGTGCATTTTAACGTGATATGAAAGACAAATCAAAATAAATTACTTTGAGAGATTGTTTCTGACTTTTTTTTAACACTAACTTCTTGTCATCATACAGAAAGGAGATCTGGCTGAGAGAGTAAAGGGTCATATGCACAATGACAACCCTAACATTCAGATCCTTTTTTCGAGTTCATCAAAGTTCGTCTGCTTTCTAAGCAACATCATTTCTGACATCATATCTCACATGCCGTGACAAGAATTTACTTGTTTTTACACCCCTCTGAAAAGCTCTCTGACTTACATTTAGACTCGGTCAAACACACACCTGTGTATAAATAGCTGCTGTCCCAGACATGAAGTATTAGGATCTGCATGCTGGCCACTAGACTGTTGTCACAATTAGTGGTGGGGTCTGAGGAATGTGGGGCTCTGTGCCGCAGGGGGGGAGGTGAGAGGGAGGAGCGTGAGGCAGGAGAAGGGCATGTGGAGCTCATTACTTACCTCCAGCTGCTGGTTGGTCATGGAGGCCAAAGCAGCCACGTTGTAGGAGAAGTAGTTGGAGGTGTCCATGTCCATTTGGGAGTATTGTGCCGGATAGTTGGTCCTCATAAGCAGACCCTGAGAGATGAAAGACATTGGGGAAAAGAGGGGGAGCGCGGAGGCAGAAGCCCCCCGGCATCCAACAGAAGAGCAGGATTAGTACACATCAATTAGGCAGGTGTTAAGAGCCACCAAAGGCATGATGGGAAACACTGTACGCCATCAGTGTCGACAGTTCGCTTCTCCTGTCAACCTTGTTCACACAGAGGCTGTCTGAGCGCTCCACTTCATGTTCAGTCAGTGATCCTGACAGCAAAGCTTTCATCTCCTCACACATATAACTTGTTTCACTCTGCACTGCATTAAGTGTGTATGTGAGAGAGAGAGAGAGAGAGAGAGAGAGAGAGAGAGAGAGAGAGAGAGAGAGAGAGAGAGAGAGAGAGAGAGAGAGAGCGAGCAAGAGAGAGAGAGAGTTACAACCTGAGGTAAACAGTCTCATCCCAGTAAAGGCCAGCAGACTGCTGATGTTAGAGTGTAATTGAGCCTCTGCTGCAGATGGTTTCCCTGTGCCCTGTAATCTGGCCATCCGGTATGTGTGTGTGTGTGTGTGTGTGTGTGTGTGTGTGTGTGTGTGTGTGTGTGTTTGGAGGGAGTGGGGGGTAGGGTGGGGGGGTCTTTGGACCAGGTCAGAGACAGGTGTGCAGATCCAAACATAACAAAACCTCCAAACAACTTGAACACACGTGAACACACAAGGACACACACGCACACTTCAGGTTTGTTATTGTTGAGCAGTAGCTCTCGGACTTCAGCTGCATCCTCAGAGTTTTTCAGACGGACGCACACAAATGCGGACTCCACTCCAAACTCAGTGTCTGAAATCTAAATTTATTGCACGATCCTCTGTGAGTTGACGTCTTTCTAGTGAGACCGAGGGCACCTGGGTTCAGTTTGGTTTTGGGCGCCTGATCATGTTCTCGCAGGTTTTCCCATTTCCTGAGTTGCAAATCTGATATTCATACACAGCTTTTCCTGGACACCACTGGCCGACTCTTTGGTTGTGAAGACATTAGCAGAGGCCAGGTTTCATTCCAGTTGTTTCTTCTACAAAGCTCAGAGTACACAACCTAAAAACCGAACGGCTTCTCCTGCAACTACTTGTGCATCTTTTTTGTGTGCAAAGATCGCAGCGGTGCATGTGCGATTGAAATCCTCGCATTTGACCTCGATGCCACAGTTTTCCCTGCGACTGGGAGCCCTCTGTTCTCTTGAGAAGCAAAAGGAGCTCGGAGGGAAAAGCTGCTTAAAGGCACACAGAGGGCAGAGGAGGGAGAGTGTCTTGGAAAAATAATCATTAGAGTGAATTAGAATCTAGGATTACACAGAAGGGGGAGACCTGCTCCTGCTCTCTTACAACATCATCTCTTCCACATACGCTTCTCCAAATAAACTCTGCTAATTGTCCACTGATTTGTCCCACAGGAAAGGAGAGAAAAGAGGGAGGACAGTGGGGGAGGGGTCTCGTAAAATGTAACACGTCAGAATTGGGATCCCTGACACAGCTTTAATAATATCTTGATATCTGAGGTAAAATGGACAATATCTCATGACTTAAAGTCTACTGACAGGTGCGACAGGTGTCTATGATGAGGCTCTAGTTTCTTTCTCTTGATCTCGAAAAGAACAGATTAATAAAACTAGCAAGAAACTGAAGGAAGCAGTACAACTTTAAATATCATGTACGGCTGCAAATGCTGTGATGGCAGTTTCGAAAACACGCTGCTGACAGCGCAGTGCGAACTCTAGACGACAGATGGCAGTGAGAGCCAAATACACACACTCACAAACAAATGCGCTCACATTAATCTCTACATGCAACGACTGAATGTCAACCTGTCACATTTAACTTAAATCTGCCCTTAAGTTCTTATGAAGCTCCAACATCATTCAGGATCTCGTCCTTTTGTCTGTTTTCTCCGAATGCTGCTCGTGCGCTATGAAAACTGATTAAAGGAGAAATTTTTTCAACCTAAAACAATTCTGCCCATAAAGAGGGCGATAACAAAAAGAAAGCGCTGTGTTTGGGAATTTACTCTGAATAAGCGCAATAAAAATGTTTGAAATAACGATGTAGAAAAAAAAAGTTCTGTATGTCTTCCTGTAGCCTCATGTTCCTCATATGATTGACACTTAAATTCAGATGCACATACTTTACCTCGAAGCCTGTAATCATTCAGATTGAACTCTTGCTTGTCAGCACTCATTTTAAGTACACAGACCCTTCAAACTGGTCCTTATTTTACTCTTACCAGAAAGAAAAACCTGGAATGAAGTGTTTCTATGGCTGATGATTCGAATATCAAACCACATCTCTTGAATTGAATTGAATTTCTATCAGAGAATTATGGATGGATTAAACCAGTCTGTTCTGAATTTTTATTTTGATCAGGCTTTTATCATAAATCATGGTCTTATTGTAAGAGTTGAAGTGCTCCATGTAAACACTGCTACTGTCTCTCTTTGGCTCTTGAGCAGACAGCATGTCATGAGAGGCTGACATCTGAGCTGTCACTTCCATTAAACTAGGTCTGTTCCCATAAGCTAGCTCTTGTAAATTTAGGATATTCTCGCTTTTTTTAATGTATATTGGATTGTCATCAGAAAAAAAAAAAACAGCAACAATGAAATTAAACGGTTTCACTCTAAACATCTGTCTCTCCAGTCCTGTCCAGGGGCTGCTAGCTGAGCTGCCACTAGTGACCATATCAGTGATGTCATGCAGCCATTTCTATAACAATTTCCTCATCATCAAAGGACAACTTAAGTTCTTGTTCACCGTCAGGTTGACTTTCTCCACCCCTTAGTTGTATCTCTGCAGTTACAAACAGATGTGTAACTGGCTTTTGTTGCTGTATCTGCTGAGTGAAAAGTTGTTTGATTTGATTCCTCTAAGTTAATAATCACCTTGCCCTGATTTATGCCTTTAGTGAGTCAGTGTGTAAGTCAGTGTGTGGCATGTCTGTTAATGCGTGTTTTTTCCCACCCACCTTTTTCTCTGCTTCATACTCGGCCCAGGCAGCCTTGCGATCCTCCTCACTCAGGGCTTCTTCCTCCTTATGGTCGAGCAGGGAGTCATGTTCATGGTAGCAGACGATCTGGTCCTTGTGATTCTGCAGCAACTCAGCCAGGAAGAGATCCTACAGTATGGAGGAAGAGAAGATAAAGAGGGTCATTGGTGGGTGAGATTCCCTGATAGGAGGATAGGGATGCAAGCTAACAGTTTTGTATGAACCCTCCAGTAGTCAGTACAGGTACACCTGCATGTCGACTGGAGAAAAACGCTCAAATACTCGAATAATAAGATTAAAAGAACATGTCAAATCGAAACCCCAAAACACAAATAAATAGGATGTTTTCTTTTTGATGGATCCAGGTTTCCATGACTACTTTGTTACTGAAAACAATACCTGAGAAAAATCAAGAGAGCCGGGCCAGGCTCTGCTCACACAAACATGGTTTAAATTACCCTCTCCTCTCTGCAGCACGTTTGCTTTTCTTTGTCTCCACTTTGCTTTACATTAAACTTCCCAATTTGGGAACAACGTCATACAGAAGTTGCATCATTAACCTCCACATGGGCCAACTCTGGATGAGGAGGAGAGGGGAGGGGGTCGTCTGTGTGTGTGTGTGTGTGTGTGTGTGTGTGTGTGTGTGTGTGTGTGTGTGTGTGTGTGTGTGTGTGTGTGTGTGTGTGTGTGTGTGTGTGTGTGTGTGTGTGTGTGTGTGTGTGTGTGTGTTTTCTCCTCTGCTTCCGGTCTCCCTCTCACTTTGAACTGTGACATTGAGTGTAAAGTTGCAAACTAAATTAATCATACATGTCACAGGTATCAAAGTGGTCAGAAAAGGACCACAACAGAAACACCAAACTACGAAATTAAGCGGTGATTGCAGACCTGTACTGAATAAACAGAAAATAAACACCAGACCAGATGGGGTGAAACTGGATCCTGTTAAGGGAGAGAACTAGAAAGCTACACAAAAACCTATTTTTAGGCCTCGTGGCACCAAAAAGTGCCGGATAAGAGCTGACAGGACCACAATGCTTAACGAAATCATACACATCAACCTCAAACACTTAAACCCTGAACCTGACTGAGCTCCTTGTTGACGCGTGTTTATGTTTCCCAGTTATCACACTTAATCAGGACAAAACCAGGCCACCCTGGACTAGCAGACATTTTGGAACAGCAGCACATCCAGCGCTTCAACTTCTGCTTCTTTCTTTAACTAGGACATAGGAGCACAGAAGAGCCTGTTGGCCTGCCCTGGATAAAAGGTAGAAGCAGGGCTCGACAGTGTGACCGTTTCACTCACATTTGTGACTAAAAATAGATATGTGCGAATTGTAAAAATGTATTTAGGGGCACATGTGGGCATAAAAAAAAAAAAAAACATCAGCCAAGGCAACAAATGTTATTTCATGTAAATACCCCAGTGAAGTTTGTTTTAGGTTGGATATTCGACGGACATTCACTGCAGATAGCAACAGCAGCATGGTTAAATCTACTTGGCACTCTTGCTGTCAACGTCTGGTGTTGTATAAGGGACCATCAATAAATTACCGGTTGATGTTCACAAAAAAGGCTGTTTTTCTTCAATAGCTTTCATGTCATGTGACCAACTGACCTAAAATTGATTCCAAATACTAGTACTTATGTCGACTAGTACGACACACATTATTTGATCAAGTTTCACTTTGCCCAGCTCCCTAAGAAGTGAGTCAGTATTGCACAGTGGCCAACTTTTAACTCCATGGCCAACGAGTGTGAACGAGCCCCCAAACAACAGAATCAGACAAAAGAAAGTTGAAATACAGAAATTCCTGCAATATTGTGCCTAACCAAAAAAATCAAAATAAACAGATGTTAAACAGATTTAAAATCTGCGATGAATAATGGCCAATCGTCATAAACACACATCATGAGCTGGCAGCTTCTTCCCTCATCACTGCAAAAGCAGAAGTAGTCATGCTGTGTTAAGCACTGAGGTTCCCTACTCTAAAAAAACACTTGGATGTACACAAAGATGGACAACACTGGTGGCTGTGCAAATACAGCAACAGCCTTTGACATATTGTCCTGGTAAGTTAGACAGCTAATTAACTAATTATTACGTTAACTTCATGTTCTCTAGTGCAGAGTTTTGGCCTTACTTTAGGGCAGCTGTCACTGTGTCAATCTTTTCTATTCATTCCATAAAAAGCTCAACACTACCTTTAAAGAGACCAGAGGTGGTGACTTTCTGGTGTTTTGGTTTATGTTGTAATTCAATACTAGTCTGAAGAGCTTTGGTGGTAAAACACTGCTATCTGTTGAACATGTAGAGTGAGTGTTAGTTTTCTTGAGCGGCATAACAGAGAAGCAATTTTGACTGCAGACTGGGTAACTAATCACTGAAGCTGCAGGTCAAATGACAGTACAGATGCTCCTGGTGCATTCTGGGACATTCAAGTAATCCCCACCACCACCAGCTCTGGGTGGTCTGGTCCATCTCCAACCCTGGCGTGCTCAACCCAGTGTGTGTGTGTGTGTGTGTGTGTGTGTGTGTGTGTGTGTGTGTGTTTCCCAAGCCAGCACTAATGACTGTAGGTAAACTGACCTGGGCTATTGTCATCTGTGTGGAGCTGCATGTTAGAGCCTATCGCTTTACTGCAGAGGAAGAGGGAGGCAGCCAAAATGCTGGGTGGGCAGATGTTCAGAGAGAAGGAGGCAAATTACCTGATTCAACTCAACTCTACTCAATTTTTTTTCCCAGCAAGGACAGAGAAAGAGTGCGGAGCAGGGTGACTTAAAGAAAGAGGTTTCCACATTTGGCACTACAGAGTTTGTTTGGAGTTCAGGTGTGAAAATGTGGCTTAAAAACTTCCTTTTGGTTATGAAGGAGTCTGTGCGTGTGATGATGATGTAAAGCAACCCCTGGAGCTTGAAGCCTTTGTTTGAGATGACTGCTCGATAAAGGGAAGATAATGAGTCAAGAGGGCAAAATTACCTGAATGGGTACAATAATCACACAAGGCACCGACACGATCGAAATTTACCTCTGTTCAAACCCTTCTCCATGTTTCCACATAAAGGATTTATGTCCGTCTTAAGCCAAACTCTTGTACATGTGGATATATTGAGAAAACAGCAAAGCTGCCAGCAGTCCATAAATGATGTAAAGCAGTTCTCACATCAGAAAGATGAAAACTTTGGAGTCGACATGAACAGGCCTCATGAAGACTTTACAACTTGGCACGGGTGCCAACACGTACTTCACCAATAGAGTTTAGGTGGCGCATAACTGTAAAAGGTCTGATGCAATTAAACACCCGCTTGCATTAACAGCTCTGGGTTCTTTGCCGGCAGGGTTTTTGGCTACGTTATCAAATATTTTCGCACACTGAGAACATTCTCAACCATGTTAATCAAATTTCCTTCATCTAAACGAATACTTTATGTGCCGAGAATGGTTAAACAATGCTTCAGCAGTCACCAGTTTATTTTATTTCTGTCATTTCCGCAACAATAAACCACTTATAATGGAAAAACACCACACAGGGCGATTTCATTGTGGCGGACATGAGACTGAAATGAAAATTATACGGATGAGAGGGGGAGCTGTGGGTTGTATTTGTACATAGAAAGAACAATAACAAACAGACTTTCTCAGTGGACAATGTCTAATGCTTTCACACCAAATCAGTGCTGTCCAGTCCAGTTTTTCTCAACGTATGTCAAGACTCTGTGACTGCCAGAAACTGTTTTTGATGCACAGGTGCGTTAGCCATAGCAACAGGAGGGGCCAAGACAGGATCCCGACAGCAGGAATGCAAGTGGCTGAGATATTTGTAATACCTAAACATAGCCAGTCAAAACTCTCTCTCTCTCTCACAGCTGCAAGCAAGTGATGCACAGTAGTTCTACTGGCCCGCTCAGACAGTTCCTCTGCAGAGACGCGCTCGGCTACACTGGCTCTGAGTGCAACACCGGGAGCCCACCCCCCGTCAAGAGGACCACCGCGTTATCTTTACACCCTCTGGGGCCTGCGCTAGTCAGGGGGTTTATCTAGCTGTCAGTCAATTAACAAAGACACAAAATTATGCATGTCACAAAGGGCGATACAAAGACAATAAACATACCACATTCCTATAAAAACAAGCCTCAGCCAGCAACGGGAAGAAGCGGGGGTTCTACAAGAGCTTTCTAGAAGGGCTGTCCAGCTGAGATTCACAAGGAAGAGTTTGAAAATATTCAAGGTAAGCTTTTACTCAATCAAAGTGTACAAAGAAATCCTCCACAGCCTGGGTTGCAGTTGTTTCTCTATGAATGCAGATATGAAGCTGTCGAACGTTAGAGCCCTTTAAGTGATAAGAAGCTAGTGGTAGTGTTGTCTAGAGAGTATATTATAAATTGCCCGACCTGCAATATGGCTTTATCAGGCAGCATGACTACAACAGTTATTAAAACTAACAGTACCACTTTGTCTAATGACTACAATAGAAGTAAGTATTTGAATAGCTCAGACATTAATGACGCACTGGCAAGATGGAGATACTGTATTTGAGTGTGTCCTTCTCTGCAGGGGAAGTGTGTAGACCCTTCATCCTTCAACTCTTCAATAAGAGCAAAGATTGCCTTTACTGCTGTAACAATGAATATTCCACTGTTAGGATACAAATGAAGGAATATCTTGGCTTGTCTTATTACTGGACCTAGAAAATATACTTTGATTGGATTGGCTACAGCGAATTTACTCATTATAACACATTTTTAAACCAGAATTATTAGGGAAATGTAATATCTATTCAATACTTTTTATGATAGTTGCCTACATAATGTAGATAGCAAGTACAGAGTGGTTGCTGATAATGCGTGTGTTCATCATTATTACATCAGAGCTCCTCTGTGGGGCTCAGAATGCTGTCAGGCTGCCGGGTTTGCTCAATAAAAGCTTGAGGAAAACTTTTTTTTTTATACAAACATTATTAAATTAATTATCTAAGAAACAAATCTAATCTATGCTACTTTTATTTTATTGCTGGTAAATGAAAGTCATCATGCATGTAAAGTTGTTCAGAGCTCACATCCAATGGTTGCACTGTTTGGGGTTCCATATACAGCACACAAAATACACTGCACTGTGTAGTCTGCACTTAAACAAATAACCGAGGCAAATAATTTGCCTCGGGTCTCTTTTATAATCCAGCTGCTTGACCATTTTCAACCTTACACTACATTAAGTTCAACGACCAACAACCAGATTATCCCGAGACTTTGATATCCTCATGGAGAGAATGATGTCTCAGCAGATCAGAGTGCAGCACAGGTGGGCCGCTGCTCTTGGTTTTTCTTGAGTGCGTAAACTCTGCGGCCTCTCGCCATCACTATCATTAGCGTTCTCTCCACCTGCATTGTAACAGGCTCAAGCATGTTTCCTGAAAGCTGGTAAAAAAGCACTCCAGGAAGTATGACAAACCTCTTACCCAAGAATAGAGAGTGAGCAAAATTGACATCATGAGCTAACCCTGTAATTTAAAAACATTACTAACTGATGATATATTTAATTTACCGAGTTTATACTCTGGGTTTCTCCTTCAAAGTCAAAGTGACTGCCTATCACTAATGAGACAAACACTGTGTGGGTTACTGCTTTGGTCGGATCCTGTGGTCAGAGTGCAGCCTCCCCTCAGCCTTTCAGTGTACCTGACAGAGACACCACCTGCTGGGAGCAAGTACAAGGAGGAACGCCTAAAACCCGTACCAAGCATACAATGAGCCGTATAGGAAAAACTACCGTCTTTAGCTCCCATTGTACATGTAGACGCATGTTCAATGATAAAGACCCAAGTGATGATGAGGACATAGGTAAGGGTGCCACAGGATGGGCGGGTGGGAAGTCAAAATCTCATGTCTGGGATCTGTGGACCTTCTTTGTTATTAGTGGGCAGTGCTCCTGCTTCCTCTGTCTCCAATTAGTGTCCCTGACGAGCGCATAGAGATCTTTAAGAGAGGGGCCTAAATAATGACCCTTCATGATGCGGGGATAAGCCAGAGGAAGAGAAGGGTCAAAAACTTTAACTGGGCTTCCTTGAAACATTCAAAGGCAGAGTCAGGGCAACAGATGGTCACAGAGTTGGCGAGGGGAGGACGAGGTGGGGCCGCGTTTGATGGGAAGAAAATAAAGACTCTGTGGGGGAGGAAATTGGAAATCAATGTAGCTTTATGATGGGATGATAGTGCTGAAATAACCAGGGAAATGTGTCACTATATAAAAGTGCATAAATTGAAATGCTCCAAAACACTCCTCCTCTGAACCACGCATAGATTTTCCAAATAATGAGTGATCCTTGTAAATATTTAACTCTGTCTGACCGGATTTTTGAAGCAGTAAATAAAACTTCCAAGTGTGCAGGGTTCAGGAGGAGAAGTACAAATCCCCTCTGCTGTGGCTCCCTCTCTCTCCGTACATGTCATTGGCTCTAAGTGGTGAAAGGTGTCTGACTCATCTTCCCATCATTCCAGACGGCAAATTCCTTCCATAATACTGCAGCCCCATTGCCACATCACAGCCAACCCCCTGGCCAAAACAGGAGTTTGTCGGCCTCTCAGTCCTGAATACTGTGTCACGTAAATGTCACTGGGTTCATCACAGATCATACAGATCATCGAATTGGCTGTGGCTCATTGAACACGTCTGTCCTCTCCTCATCACAAACGGTGTTCAGCTGCACTGTCCGAGGTTACTTCTCCTTTTGGACGAATATGTCAGGTGAGTACTGTGATATCAGCTGCCAGTGAAGTGGATTCAGATTGGATTCACTGAAGGCAGTGCCCCTACCCTGTTAGTATATATGATGGAACAGCCAAAAACATCTTTTGACAGTGTAAATGGAAAACAGACTTTCCATTAAGGTTGACTCAAATAGAGCCAGAAAGTGGGACATAAAGTAATTCTTTGATTTATCCTGTTTACAGGTTTCTGCAGATTAACCAGAGTCAATCCCAAAACAAAGAGGAAGAACTGCTCAAGATGATCTGAACCCGGAGCCTTCCAAAAGGGAAGAGGTGAGCGGGGATAGGAGCGAATCCAAGATCAACAAGAAAGAAATGATCAGCAAAGAAAAAAGAGGAGTGCAGGTTTATAGCTGGGCAGCAGCAGTGTTGCAATGAGGAGACTATTTAGTAAATAGCAGTAAACAGACAAATCTGTGCAGCTGTGCGGGGCTGGATGGCCCATCTAAGGGCCGTGTGTTCTTATTAAACCCCAGGGGGCTCAAATAGTGACACAGCACCTGCATGAAGGAGAGACGCGGCTGGAGGAGGATTATGAAAGACAACAAAAAAGAACCAGAACGATCCCGGAAAGGCCAAGCAGGATACAAGCTGGCCTTGAGTCTAAATAACCATTTATAACTCAAGTGCTAAACTTCAAAAGAAACAACAAACTACTCCGTGCAATTCTGGGAAAACAAAGCTTGGCATTTCAAATGGCACTCTGTGCCATGTTTGTTGAAGGAAAAAGACTATTTTACTACTGTTAATGACTTTCAGGTTGCTCTCCTGCTTTTCATGCGGGGATCAGTTTGAAGACAACCATGAAATCCCAGTCAATGGTTTCCTGTGAAGTCCAATTAAATGTTTGACTTGTTCTGAATCTAATTCACAAAATCACGCTTCGTTTAAACCAGCTGTTTAAATGCATACAAGGTACATATACGGTACATGCATGTTACCTTGGGGAGTACGGGCGTGGCTTTCTTGCTCTTCTTCTCTGAAGGATCATCCAGCTGGTCTGGTTCAAAGGTGTAAAGCTCGGCCAGCTCATTGGTGGTGAAGTGTCTCTCAATCTGCTGCTGGTCGACCACACGAAATGACAACGACTGCTTGGTTACCTGCCGGTCATAAATCTTCTCCTCCATTGTGCCCTAAGAGAGGAAGAAAAAACAAGAAGAAGATTCAGGACAAATTATGACAACCTCAAACAAACCAGACATCCCAGAAATCAACAATCGTGTCTCGTTGTTGGGAGGTAATAAGACTGTGCTCAGGAAATCAACAAAGCAATATAACACCACAGACACCTCGCCAATATACAGACGGATACCCGTCATAAAATCGTGTCTGTAGTAATGTGATGGCGGTGTCGAGACACACGTCTCCTATGTAGGAGCCAAACCATAGATCTCAGCGCCCTTCTTCAATCAAAATGAATGAGTAACGTACATGAAGCAAAGATATAAAACACTGCAGAAACCTGCTGACCTGTGTGTGCACATAAGACTGAGCAGAGTAAGGAACCCTATGTGTTGAAGTTTAATAAAAGTATAATCCAGCCGGGTTACACAGCAAGAAGTGTACGCTTCGTCAGTTGCACGAAACAACACACTTTAACACTCCACCGTCCAGTTTTTCTGTTTGTTCGCCATGTTTGTTTTCATTTGGGCGCACTCTGCGTACGTCACTACGTGCCCTTTACGTACTACCGAGCGCCTGCGCAGACCGAACAAGCCTCTCTGTAAACCCAATCCGCTCCACTCAGCCGTATACATGGAGCAAGGAGTGGATTATCAATCGGTGTAGACTACCTCTTACAATCCAACCCGAAATACAATCAGATCCAGGTGAATCAGATTGGCTAAGGTGTTTATACGAGACATTTTGAATCTGATTGACCTTTCAATCTGATTGTAAATGGGATTTTTGGACCCATGTAAACGGGGCCACTGTGTGCCATCCTGACAATCTCCAAAAGACTTGAGGCTTTACTTTAGGCTCCCTCATCAGTTCATGACAAAAACTGCAGCATAATCTGTAAGTACTCTCACCATCCATTACGTGTATGTTACCTTTTGATCCCTACCCCTCCAGTACCTGTGGTGAGGAGGGGTCTCCACTCTGCTTCTCTCACATAAAGAGACATGCTTATGTCTGAACTCTACATGCACTAACTCAGGCGCGGCCCGTCCCATTTAATGCCAATTTACTCCTGTTGCTGTTTGAAGTCTGCACAAAGCTCCAATGTTTCACATGCATCTCACATCTTGTGAAAACTGATTTGTGGAGAAAAAAATGAAATTTTACGAACTTTAGAAACATTCTGCTGATGAGGGAGGAGAGAGACAAAGAGAAAGGGGGCGAGGCAGGCAGCTGTGTGCAGAGAGCAGGCGTGGACTGTAATGCCATACTTCTCAAATTATTGAATTATGTGATAAATTAACCATAAAGCCTGTTTTTATTTAGATACAGATCTTTTAACTGCTTGACAGCACTCATTTTATGTTGTTGGATCTTTAAAATTGTGTGTAAGCTAAAACTTACAACAGAAAAGAAAATCTGTAATAGTAAATTTGGTGTCAAACATTTTCATGATCCAGAACCAATGTGTATCAAAATACAAATGTTGGTGCTGCCTAGCTCTCAAATGTAACTTATACTATGTAGGGATGCACCGATCCGATATTTGACAAATTAACTGGATCAGATATCTGATGAATGACGCCGATCCAGCATCTAATCCAGTCTCTATTTTCTTTAATTAATATCCTACACAGCAACACAGCAATTCTGTTCGCTCTATATTCTACGTCTGTCTATCCTTTTGCACTAAATGTTCACATGGAAGTCTTACTTCTTTTTGCTGTGTGCTAATGTGCAATTTTTAATTTGTTAAAAAATAATATTAAGTAAATATATATTTGCATTAATTTGGTACTTTTTTTTTTTAACAAGGCTAATGTCAAGCCTGATCCTTTCACTCACAGAGCAAGGAATAAAGTTCATTCATTCAACAGTAGTATTGGATTGGTATCGGATATCGGCTGATACGCTCAGCCCAGGTATCAGTATCGGATTGGACTTGGAAAAAAAAGGATCGGTGCATCTCTAATATTATGTCACACTACACAGCAGATTATACTACATGAACAATCTGAACTTTTCAATGACTTTAATTTTTTTTTTAACATTTTGGAAAAACTCACCTGGGCCAGGAACCTGTACACGAAGACAGTCTTGACCTGGCCAAATCGGTAGACCCTGAAGATACTCTGGATGTCGTAGGAGGGGTTCCATGAGGCGTCAAAGATAATGACTCTGTTGGCCGCCACGAGGTTGATTCCGAGGGAGCCGGCTCGTGTTGAGATGAGAAACAAACGACCTCTGGTAACGAACAGGTAGGGAGATGAGTTAGTGTTTTCAAAAGCATCAAGCGGATCACATTTCAGGGACTGACAGAGACAATGCAGAAGGAGATCACCTCGTGTTGCTTGTGTCGTTAAACTCTTCAGCCCACTTCTTTCTGGTCAAGGCATTGGTGGAGCCATCCAGGCGGTAGTAGTCTATGTTCCTGAACCACTTGCCCTCGCCTGCACGGAAACGTCACAGTCAAGATATCTGCTCTGGCGATTTAACGTACACAACTCTAAAAACGTTGAAACGCACATGTTGCTTTACCCTTGTCAGAAGGACTTAGTTTGGGCATTTGCAGACAGCAGATACAGGGCTGTGTTGGTAAGTGGCCAGCCGTGTTTAGCCTTCAAAGATGGCCAACCCCCCCCTCCCCTCACCAGCCTTCATAACTAACACTTCAGTATGTTTCCAATTACGGCACTGTGATCTTTTCATTACAAATTACAAACCCTTGAGCAAACATTTTTTTGTGGAATAAAAAGTCAAGGTCTAATCATTTTCAAAATGAAAGTAAAAACAGCTGCTGGAGTTTAATTAGGAACATGACCTTACACCAGCGGCGGCATGTTTGTGTGAGTTGAAGGGTAATAAGCACACATAATAAGGGTGTACAAGAATACATGTTGCACGTGGGCTGTCTTACAAGTGTGAAACCTGCATCTCCATATGAAAATACTTCAGCCTGCTCTACAGCTAAGAGTTGGCACTTTTTTTTTTTTGGTCTCACAGTTCAGCCAGTTTGAAATCTGCACTGTAAAGCTGCAATAATTAACCCCCAGACAGACGGGAAAGGACTGTCCAGCTGCAATAAGACTGAATTTGTTTTCATGTCGAGCTTTACAAACAGCCATTCGTGTCTCAGCATTCAGAGGCTAAGCTGATCTCAAACGACTGTGTGGTCATTTACTAAAGTAAGACAATCCTAGGCATGTCGACAGAGTAGAGAAAGAGCTCCTTGAATAAGAGGCCCTGCCAGACTTCAATAAAAAAATGTACCTTTGTAAGGGGAGATTTTTTCTTCATCTTTGGCTCTGCAGGCAAGCTCCAGGAAATCCTCAATCAGATCCAGAGAGATGAGAGACTGACTGAACACCAACCTGAGGGCAGGTAAGGAGAGTGGATGCACAAATGTTGCTTAAACAAGTCTACAGTGACGCTGTGAACCCGCTGCCCTGAGGACATCTTTTTAAAAGTAGTTTACGGTCAACCACACTTACACTTTTTCATCTACTTCCTCCGCCATACGCAGGATCTCGAAGAGGAGCATCATTTTCCCTGAATGCGCAATGATTTCAGCGTCTGCCTCAGCGACAAACTCCTTGTGCCAGTCTGGAGTGGGACTCCCTGGAGCTGAACCAGTAGAGGGCTGGGCTGGTTTTTGAGACACAAAGTCACAAATTAGAGCAGGTTGCAAGTAGTGACAAAGACAAAAACAGAAGAAGTTCTTTATTGTTTTGTTTTACCAAGCCAGACATTTAACCAACAATAATGCACTGTTGTCATCAAGCATTACAAACTTAAACAATATTGTAGGTGCAGTAATATAATAATCTAGTGCCACAATACAGTCTTCAGAGTTGATCCAAATGATCTGGGAATGAATATTAATTTTATGGCACATCTACTTTCCACAGAAACAACTTTTATAGAAAGAAAGGTGCCAGGACTCATTATTTATGACACATCTTAGATTTTTCAGTACACAGAGTTGTGGTCCCCCGTAATACTCTGCAAATGTCCTGTATCTGTGATAAACTCACGTGGTTCCTCCACAGGCTCTGGTCGACTCCGACCCTCTCCGTTTCTGCCCCGAGAACTGGTGTTCCACTCCTTGATGACCTCCACATCCTCGCTGTCTGAGTCTTCAGATCCCCTCTTCTTCCCCCTCCCCGGCTTCTTTTTCCTTGTAGAAGAGAGAATGAGTGGTAGAGGCAGGGTGAGCGAGAGCAACACATGAACACGAGGAGAGGGTTTTACACCGGTGTCTGTGTGACATCATACAAAAACTACGACAACAGAGGTTTAGAAGAAAAAGGCTTTTTTTAGTTTACTTTTTCTTCTCATCCTCAGAGGTCATGCTCATGGAGGATTCTTCAGTTTCTGAGGCGATGAACTCGTCCATGCTGTCCTCGTCGAAGAAGCCCTGGAAAAGAGAACATTTGTGTGAGTCTGTTGTTACAGGTCCTCACGCAGGACCTTGTCAGGTATCAGGCGGCAAAAATGATGAATCCGTTTTTTTTTCTTTTGCACTGATATCAATATGAGTGTGACGTTGTTTTTTAATCTTTGTAAATGTACTCCCAGTTTTTGGGGTACGTGTCAAGTGTGGGTTTGTCTCGTCTTCCCTGGCCCTACCCTGTTTTCTTTGCTGATGTAGTCCAGCTGAAGGCACCAGGGATGGGTCCAGATTCTACTGAGCATCTGGAAATCCTGGAAGAGTTTGGTCCCTGCACGGCCCCGACCCCCTTCCAAAGCATTCCCAAGACCTGCACACAGGGGGAAGAGTGTTAGGAGGAAGATAGATTTGTGTTTTGATTACCCAAGAGCATACTCTAATCGATACAGAGTGGAATGAAGGATAAAGCCACCAAACTTCAATAGGAGGTGCCTGCTCCAGACCACATGACCAGAAACACGTAGGAGTAAAGTTATTATGACAAATCAGAAACTTCAGTCGCACTGGTAAAGAAAGACAGTTTTGGAGGAAACTTAGATGGGCCCTCTGCTGTGACAACTCCCACTGCATTAAGTCAAATCCACTCAGTTGTAGATCTGTCTATGCCTTCTCGTGATCTCTGTTGTGCTTGCAATCCTGCCAGCCAGGCCAACAGAAGCACTGATATTAGTGAGACACTGCCTACATCCGATCCACTAGAGTCTGAAGGTCACTTGTCTTAAATTGAGGAGTCTTTTCAATCAAAGCAGCTCTCTGCTAAAGCGTATTCATCATTTATGTATCCACTGCAAAGCGGCCACTTGTTATTCACGGGTCACATGCAGGTGATGGTAGGCTCTTAAGGCGGGATATCTGTGTAACGTAAGTAGGAGTAATGTCAGGTCGCCTCACTCTTCAGATGTAGTAACAAGGGCGAGGACAGTCATGGCGGTGCACTAGATCATCGCACCATTTCACAGGTAAGATGCAGTAAGACGTTTTCTCTCCTCGATTTTACACTAGTCTATCAAATATGTTCACACAAAGAGTTCTACAGTATTAACTCAACAAAGACAACTCTGTCAGCTGTTCTCATAAACCTGTCTGGTCTTATCTATTCAAACAGCAGATGTATGAGCTTCTCTATGATGGCCTGCACTGACCCAAGGGTGTCTGAGGGTCCAGCAGTTTTCACATGAGCAGCAGATAAAGAAAGGAGGGGGCATTTGCGGCCTTCCCCTGACTGGTGGTCTTGGGTCCAAGACAAGCTGTGGAGGTCCAGAGTCACAGTCACAACATCAGTGCTGTGCCCCGTGGACAACCCAGTCTAATGAGCAACAGCACATACCACCAACCCCCTCCCATTACTCCTCTTTTTACATACCGACCCTCCTGTTCTTTGTTTTCGCTTTTGGTGTAAAACCTCTGGCCCCTCCTGCTTCCAAATTTCTTTCCCTTTCCTTTATGCCCCCACATTCCCCCCTTTTACCCCCCACCCTCTGTTCCCTCTCTCCCAGAGCTCTTCATTAGGGAGACGTGGGAAACTGGGCTTAAACCCTGCCTGCGGCACTCTGCCAGCTGCCACTTTTACACACATGCACACACACACACGCATACACACACGTCCTGGGCCACATTCTGAGAGGAAAGTCCACTAAACGACTTAACAATGCAGCACAAAAAAGTGAGAGACCAGAAAGGCCTTCCATTTATCTAAAAACCTCAACCAGCAAATGACATCCAGTCAAGAGAGCACTCGGAGGAGAAACACGACTCCTACAGTAGGACTTCACCTCGTCTTAGATTACGTGTGTTTTACAGAGAAAATCTTTGTTGATCTCAGTTTAATCTGATACCAGGCTTAATTCCAGTTTGAAAAATACTCACAAAAAAAAACCAGTTAGCAGCCTCCCCACATCCAAAAAGATCAGAGTAGTACATATAAGCAAGTGGTGCAGCTTTTCTCAAATCTCAGAGGTCCTGTGGTTCTCACCTGTGAAGTGCTCCAGGTAGTATCTGTAAAGTTTACACTGGATCGGGGTCAATCTGACTGACAACACATACTCATGTTTGGGAGGCAGGAACTTGGTGAGCGCCGTGTAATCTTTCCTCTGTTTGAGACAGAAGCACATCATCATTATCAGCTTTAGGAGGCCACAAAAAAACAGGTACAAGTGAACTTTGGTGACGTATTACTGCAGGATTCGTACCTGAACACAGCCGGCCAACATCTCATACAGGATGTGAGCCCTTTTCTTCATGATCCGGACATCGTGTAGCGTGGAGTCGGCGCACTGGCCATTCAGGATGGGGTTAATGAAACGGTTCCTGAACTCTTTAATTGACCCCAGCAGGTTCTCCTTGATGAAGTTCACCATGCAGTGATCTGAGGAGAGGAGGGAAAAAAAAAAAGATCCATAAGTGGTTACATCCATAACCACGAAACCAAACACCTAGTTTCTGCTGGACTTGGCGAGCTCACATTCAACAAGGTTATTTTGCAGAGGTGTTCCAGTGAGTACAACCCTCCTCCTCGTCCTGATGGAATTCATCGCTTTGGACACGGCAGACGCCTCATTTTTCAGGATGTGACCTTCATCGCAGATCACCAGGTCTGGACCTGAGGAGAGTGAGGGAGAAAAAGAAATGAGGAGGAAGAGATTACAGCTGAAAATGGATCCTTTTTTATGTCCTTTTATGGAGTGTACGTGCTAGTGACCAATTTATCGATAACTTTTAAGCTCTTTTTACTCGCTTTGAAGATTTTGATTGTTTTTCTGTTGACTGCCCATAAAAAGGAGTTATGCAATAGTGAAATTCAATAATTATGTTTGACTTGCAAACATAAAACACAAGTTTTAACAGCACCGTACCTGGATCGACCAGAGTTTTCTGAAAAGCCTCTTTAAGCTTCTTGCTTTTGATGTTCCTGCCCCGTGTCAGGTTTCGGTACATCTCATAGCCCATGATCATGACGCCACCTGATTCATGCCATTGCTGGAGGGCGAATGCTCGCTCCTGAGGCCTCTTCACCGTGGCAAGCTCAGTCACCTGGTGCAAAAATGGCACATGGAAATAATTCAGTGTGATTCAAAAAGGAGCACAAATCAAGAAAATGACACCACTGTCAAGAAGAAACTTTGAAAATCCTACAACAGTAACTCTTTACCTCTAAACTCTCATCATCCTTCATTCCTTCCTGCCACTTCTCAAACTCATTGAGCCAGTTGAGAACAGTGTTCAGGGGACAAACCACTAGAGCTGTGGAAAAGTCAAGCTTCTCGCAGAGCAGCAAAGTGTGAAGGAATGTCACCACCTGCAGGACAAAACAGAATTACACTGAGACACACACAGGTTTGCAAACACAGCTTATCTGGTTTATTTCGGGTCTATGGTGTGACAGGCCCAGGATGGCAGCCTAATGACTAAGCCCTCACAACTCTTTAGACCTCAGTGTTCGAGGACTCTTTTTTTAATTGCCACGGCAGGACCCGACAGTATAAGTAGGTTTTCCTGACAATGTACCTCATTCCAGCTTAACATTCATGTTTAAATGAGTATGTCATATTGCACTTCTATAGTGAAAACAACAGTTTTCAATTCTGCTGCTCTCCCCTCTGTACCTGCAGAGTTTTTCCCAGTCCCATACAGTGGGCAAGGATGCAGCCGGAGCCATGGGACTTCTCAATCTTCTTCATAGATTCACAGCAGCAGTCCCACATAAACTGCACCCCTGAACACAAACACAGAGAGAGACTGGATGTAAGAGAGCAATGTAAGGGTAGATATCTCTTGATATTTTTTGACTGAATTGACTTTGCTCTTACCATCCACCTGATGAGGTTTAAGCTTTGTGACAAGGTTCCTGTGCACCTGCACCAGCGGCTCCTTTGTCTCTTCATCCTCATCCAGCACCAGCTTGGTGGTGATGGGACAGGTCACCTGTGATGATTCCTCCACAACAACAACCTGATGGGGGACCAAAGGTCGCAATCATAATAACAGGGGTTAAATTGGACTGATACGTCATGAGTGTTTTAGGTTGACGTGGAAACAAAGTCTTATACCTCAACTCACTCCACTAGAGGCCAGCTCTCACCGAACCTTTGATAAAGCTACATGAGTAAATCACAGTGACTTGACATGTAAATGCTTATGTTGTAGGGGTTGGAATTACTAGTGGCCCCACTACACGATATTATCATGATACAATATTATTTTGATTTTTAACATTTTGCAATACATTGAGTATTGTGTTACAATTTATTGCAATTTTTACCATTTTTCAACTGTTTAGCTAATTTAGCATTTGTCTGTCCTTTTTGTTTGTCTTATTTACGTTGTTTTTTATTTTCATGTAGCACATCTCGCAAACCTTTTATATATTTGTTGCACTTTCTCCTGCTCTGCCAACCTCACTGGACAAACAGTTGATTTTTTTTTTTACATTATCAAAGATTTGACTTAATATTAGCATTAATACTTGGTAGATGAGACGATACGATACATCACCAGGAAAAATATCACGATACTATGCTGTATCGATTTTTCCTCCCACCCCTATTATGATGTTGAATTTAAACTTCTCTAATGCAGACAACAGGATTGTTGTGATGCAGAGGTCTCATTCAAATATGTCAAGTGGGAGTAAAATTGAAAACACAAAAGACAATGAAACTGAGTGAAATAGCAGAAGGATAACATTCCAGTGTATCTAATAAATAAAGATCAGCGAAAACTCATTGACAGCGTCCACACCCGTCTATGTTTGTGTTTCTGGATTTTACAAGACAAAAGGCTAACCTCAAGTAGTTAAGTCTCTCATTTTATTAAACCAAACAGAAATGTTAGACACTTACATTCCTAATAGCAAAAAAGTTGTTTATTGTTCCAACTAAAGCTGCCATGATTGCAGCAACTCAGTCTGTCGTGTCTCCTCCACATGATCTGAATCAGAACTACAGTGCTGCTGCACAAGTGGTCATTACCTCAAAGAGAGTGTAATCCTAAATGTTGAATGGGCCGAATGCAATCTTGATTATGTTACAGAATCACATCTGATCTTTTTTCCATTTTAAACTCACCTCTCTAAGTTTCTTTCGGAGTTCCTCTCTCTCAGCTATACGTTTCCTCCTCTCCTCCTCCTCTTTCAGAGCATCCCTGGTCTCCATCCGCAGCTTGTCATCCTTCAGGATTTTGCGGATCTTTTTGCGTCCCTTTTTGCCGTCTCCATCCTCATCATCTTCCCCTCCGCTCTGTGGAAAGGAACATTAAGTTCAGCTCTCTGATCTTCAGCCCTAAGGGGAAAAATTCACTTCCTGTGATCAGAAGCTGAGCAGCCCTATGATTAATTTGTGTCCTCACAACACACTCCAGGGGGAACTTCAAATTACATTTTATGTGGCACGCGTGACCTGACTAGTAAACGCTATGCTGGTCTGTCTCCACCAGGCAAACCCCATATGGGGAAAAAGAAACTTTGGGACAGTTCAAGACTGCGACCAAGTGCTCTGCATTTTAAACACCTTCTCGTTGCTGGAAGAGGAATCTTGAACTTTGATCCTGCGTCGCTTCTTTTTCTGTTTGTAACTTCTCTGTTTCTCCTCGTCCTTCTTCTTTGATGATCTACAGACAGAAAGCAGAAATCACCTCAGCAAAAGCAGAGAAAACCAATCCAGATCGAGTGATTGATTCCTGTTATTGATTGGTTAAAGTTCTCTCTTCTCACCTCGTCTTGCGGCGCTTCCCCTCCGTCTCTGATTCACTGAGTTCCTCGCTTACGCCTGACTTGTCGCTGGACTCAGACTTTTCAAAGTCAGAGTCTTCAGAGTCATCGCTGCTATCTGAAAGACAAAAGAAAACATCAGGTCACCTGCTGCTCGTGCTCAGAGTTCAGAAATTTTGAAGTGTATACTGTTAATGCGAAAAATAATCAACCTTTCTGTGCGGACTTCTTCTTGTCCCCCTTCTTCTTCTTCTTTTTAACATCTTTCTCCTCTCCTGATTCGCCCTCACTCAATGAGAGTTTATGGCGAAGCAGTTTGTGTCGTTTGCCAGATGTCTTTACATCAACATCAGAGCTCGAGTCTTCAGAGTCCTCGTCTTTGAAAAGAAGAAAAAGTTTGAAACAGAACAGTATAAAAGCAGTCGGATATATTTAGAAAACGGGCGCTACCTCGCTCCTCCTCGTCATCTTCGTCTTCTTCTTCTCCATCCTGTTTTTTAACCTTTTTGGAGGACTTCTCAGCTTTATCATCGCCTTCATTATCTGAGGAGCTCTCAGCTCCAGAAGAATAGTTGGACTTAATCTGAGCGAGAAGCATTTTCTTTGCAATCCTTCAGGGGAAACAAAGAAAGAAACAAATGATGAAAAATAGGGGGGGGGGCTTCTGACACTTCGCTTTAGGACAACTCGGTGTGGGGAGGAACGAACCTGTTCTCAGGGTCATCATCGTCATCATCGTCACAAACCCCAGAGCTCTTCTCTTTGTTGTCCACCTCATCTCCTACACAACAAAACAACACCACACAGTTAGTGAAGGGAACCTCAACCTTCAAGGGATTCATTCATTCACATATTTTGAATTTACATTGTTGTTGTTGTTTTTTTTTTTCTTCCCAGAGACTTGAAGACTTTTAAAAATATTTATGATTCAGTGTCAATCATCAGCTGATGAACTGGCATTAGAGTTGCTAGTGAGCAGCAGAAAGGACTTGATGCAAGACCAACCTTAAGAACTGCAAGCATCAGCAACATACTGTATATACATTACATTCACGTGTGGAGGACGTTTTGGAAACTTCGCCACTTAATATATTGGTATGCTAATAGTTTGTGGCCAAACCTTCGATTCTAATTTACCTGAAGATTGGTTGAAAGGCCCACTTGCTCCTATCATGTTTTCCTCCACAATGGGTTTGATCTTCTGCTGGTCACTGTCCTCTCCGGAGTCCCCGTCAGGCTGCTGTTCCTCCTCATCCTCACTGGATGAAGACTGAATCTTGGAAGCAGCTTTTTGACTCCGCCTCTTGCGCTTCTTCTCATAAGATCGTTTCAGCTCCGCTCCCTTCCCTTCAGGAGACTTTTTGTCCTCTTTTGCTTCATCTTGTTTCTTCACGCGGCTTGATCTCCTCCTCGCCGTGCTGATTTTATTCTTCTTCTCCTCTTTCTCCTGGTCAGAGTCAGAGTCTGATGAGTCGGAGCCATTGGGTTTCTTCTTCTTCTTCTTGGACATCTTTTTATTTCTGTTCTCCGAATCGGACTCGGAGCTTTCAGGCTTTCTTTTGCGTTTGGACTCTTTTTCTTGCGCTGATGTGTTGTTTGATTTAAATAAACACTTCTTAGCAGCCTTGCCAGCACCCTTTTTGCTCTCCTGTTCTTCATCCGTGCTGTTTGCCGCTGCAACTTTCTCCAACAGTGCATCAGGAACTACATCGGAGTCAGAGTCCGCCGACTTGTTCTCTGCTTCCTTGCTCTGCTTTCCTTCTTTTTTGGTGTTTGGAGATTTCTTGGAGGACTTGGCCTTGCTCTTGCCGTCTTCCTCTGTCTCTGACTCAGAAGATTCTCCATTGCTCTTACTCTTGGCCTGCTTCCTCAGGGGCGTGGTCTTAACTCTGTGGGGGTGCCGGCTTGAAGGTGGAGTGTCAGCCTGATCCTCACTTGATTCATCTTTCTCCTTCTTAGATTCGTTTTCTTCACTTCTTTGGGGCGTTTCTTCTCCTTTCTCTTTGTTTTTGGACCTTGGGGTTCTTGACCCAATTGTTGTCACCACGGGAACAGGCGTCAGTTTGACTATGAGGTTCTTCACCTTGGGCTTGGGTGAGTTCGAGTCCGTTGAGTTTGAGATTGTTTTTGTGTTTGAGTTTGTTTCTGACTTTGTGTCAGTGTGCGTGACCGAATCATTGTCTTTTTGTGAGAGCATACTGGAATCTGCCAGACTTTCCACCATCTGAAAAAGCTCCTCAGGAACTGAAGATGGAACAGACATGATATCGTGATCTAGCGACATCTCACTAGTTGACACCAGAGCATCATCACAGATTTCAGTTTTAATGCTCTTTCTGGGTACATCGGTTCCTGCTTGGCTGTCTTTCATTTCAGTTTCCATTGAAACCTGATCATTGTCTGTAGAAATCTGATCATTTTCTATGTCCTGCTTATCGTGCTGTTCATCATGCAGCTCAAAAGACGGATCCTCATCCAGCTTCTGGTCCACTTTCTCATCCAAATCCTTGTTAAGATCCTCCTGTGCCTGCTCATTCTGCTCTTTGACTGGTTCCTTGTCTTCTTCCCCTGAAGGAACCTCAACAACTGCACCTGCCGTCTCATCTGTGTGGTCGTTTGCCACAAGAGGATCAACTCCAGTGCTCTTGCTCACAACATGGTGCTCTTCATTTCCGTTTTGCAGCTCCATGCTTCTAAACTCAGGCACCAAGGCCGCTTCTAAAGCACTGTGGGCTTTTTTTAAATCAGCGAGCACAGCCTTGAAGGCCTTTAAATGTCGATACCTGATAGACTTGTCTCCTTGCTCCTCTGTGGCCTGCTGGATGAACTGGATAAATGTGTGGTTCAAACCCGTTGTAGTCTCAACCAGCTTCTTAGTCTTTTTTATGAGTTCTTTGGGTACCTGCAGCTTTTTGTAGGAAAATGTCATGGTCCCTGAGCCTTCACTGTGTTCTTTCCCGTTAACGACTGCTTTGTGCTCTTTTACAGCTTTGCTCTTGTGTTTCTTGCTCTCCCTTCCCTCTGATGGTTTATCAGATTTACGTTGCTTCAGTTCTTGTTTTTCCATGATGTTGTGACATTTGGAGACCAGTTCCTGTAGGGGATCCGACCTGCAGACATAGCAGTGCCACTTTGAGAGCTCGTCAGTGATTACAGAGAGCTCCTTCCTGCCCAGGTTGCGTAGGATGCACTTCTTGCAGAAAGCGTTGCTGCAGTAGTCACAGCAGATGAGTTTGCCACCTTCAGCACACCACCTAGAGAACAAAAAGTTTCACTTTTTTAAGGAATATAGAAAATGTGGTACCACAAGTCTTCAACGGTCCAGATTACTTTTAAGTAATAAAAGATGACAGAAACTTGGATAAGATAGGGCAAACAAATGAAGAGAATAGAAGGGGAGGGGGAGGAGGCTTTTCTAAGAAATGTTCAGTGTTTTATTGACTGCTTTGGTTTTATCTTTTTTGGTTTAATTTAAAAAAAATAAAAAATACCTGCACTGCTCATCCATGCCATCAGAGTCTTTGTTGATGTCATCACTTGTATAATACTTGAAGCATGACTGAGAAGGAGAAAGAAGTTAGCACTGGTACACCGGTGAAAAGGTATTTGATATAATGGCTATGAAAGCAGATGAAATATCTGTTATCTTACCCTGCAGATGAGCACTTTGAGCACAGGATGCTCGTATACAGAGTTGCGCTGAAACTGGTTGACTTGTTTTCCACAAGCTGTGCAGCTTACTTTCTTCTGCAGGGTATCATCTGTGATAAGGAGAATATTTTAATTGTTTTCTTTTGCCTCTCACTTTTTGAACCAACGGCATGATATCGTTACAGTTCAGTGGCATTAAAAATCTTGCACATTTTATTGCGAATTTTAACGATGATGAAAAAAAGAAAAAAAGAAAAAGAGGGCTAACTTTCTAAAGACATGAAATCACCTGTATGTTTCTGTTTGAAGTCCACTCTGAGCTTCATGGCCCCTTTATTTTCATTCCCGGCTGGCCTCATCACTAAAGTGCCTGATCAAAGGCAAAAGCGAAAAAAGTATAGAATCATTAGCATCCCATTTCAGTATCAGCACCCATCTCTGAGCAAAACTGGTGGCTTGGTAGCTAATAACCTTTAGATGTGCTGCCTGTGGTGTTGTCTGAACGGTTGTCAGAGGAGGCACCTTCATTTTGACTCTCAGCGGAGTCTGATTCGTTCAGTCCAGTGTGCTTAGTAACAGTAGCAGGCTTCCTAAAATGAATAAGCACATATTTTTTACAATAAAAGAAAGACCTGTCTTAAAGAAATGTCATTTAAAAAAAATCAGTGTAACACCAGCATTAAAGAAAACTTCTCCTCACCTCTTGTTGCGGGAAGAGGAGGGCTTCATAGTGTCTGTTGAGCTCCCGGGCTGAAGAGGATACAAAGGGTGATTTAACACTTTGATAGTTCAGAAAGAAACTCAGATCTACATTTAAATAAGTGCCTTTTTGTTAAAGTTTCTGTTTTCTCACACTGAGGTCAAACAACATTGAAAACTTTCCAAAAAAAAAAAAAAAAGCTGCAAACTTACCTCCTCTGCTTTCTCTGCCATTTGGTCGATGTTTGGTTCAGAGGACGGCAGACTCATTTTACCTTGGAAGACATTTAAAGATTTGTCTTTGAATGAGTTTACTGTTAAATCTAGATTTCATGCTAGGGGATTACAGAGATTTGTGTCACGAAAATGATTACACAGCCCAGCCATAACATTATGGACATCTGGGTGAAGCTTATGTATTTTTAGTTTTTGTTGACATGAACAGACAGATGATAATTATACTTTATATTTGTTATACTTATTTAGATTCATTTTTATTTTGTCCACTTTGTTTACAAAAGCAAGAGGGGGAAAGACACCAGGGGCACCCATGAATGCAATAATGTCCTCCAGTGCACCATCAACCCTTCTCTACAACCTAAACAATAAATTTAAAGACAGATTATCACCTCTCTATATATGCCAACAAAGAAATGTGGAAGGTTTGTAAAAGTAAAATCATGTTAGAGTCATTGGAGTAGGTTGACATACATCGTCCAGGTGTTCATAATGTTATGACTGTCCCGTGTATCTGTATGAACTTACTGTTTGCAAACAAATTCACAGACAAGCATGCAGGTTCTGGTGAGTACTTCCTAATTTCAGTGTGCTCTATACCCCTGTCTTTTCAATGCATTTGCTTTAAAGTGGCTGAACTGTAATAAAAATAAAAATCCCCTGGGTTTTTTTTTCTCCACCACAATGACAAGTCTGGAGTCTTTCACTTCCACAACAGTAAACTTTAAGTCTTCTTCCTACTCAGAGCAAAGTTCTGGTGCGCACTTCAAAGGAAATAAATGACACTAATGTGTGTCAACATTACCTCTGGTTTGAAACTGTCCTTTACACATAACTGTACATCCTTAATTAACTGGGATCACATTTGAGCTGAAATCAAAGGTTTAGCTCGTGTTTTAGCTCCTAACGGTCGTCAACTGAAGCAAAACTCGAGCTTATTTTCATCAAAGTTATTGTTAATAACTAATCAAAGCAGACGCAAACTCCCGGCATTAAAACTGTAATATTCCTGTTACCTTCATATGATCGGAGTGTGTACAAGGAGCCGATCACTCTGTCAGACTGAGGCACCGCCGCTGTTTATTTAGCTGTTTTGCGTCATCATAATGTGCTGATTAGATCGCTCTAAGCGGAGCTACCACCGTCTTTCCACCATCAGCCGGGCCTCAAAATGTTGCCCAAATCCTTTGTCAGCATGGTGGGCTTCTGCATTTGCAGCCCGGTGCTTCCCTTTTTTCCCCTCAACGCAGTCTCTCCGTGTTTTGTCAACACAGGAACCCCCTAACAGTCAAAGATGCCAAGTTTAGGCTAACATTAGCATCATTAGCTACTAATGTTAATGAGGAACTACCCTCTTCCACTGCCCCACGTTGCCCTGGCAACATTGCAATCTCGGCGGTGCATGCAAGGTCCAGTGCATGGCATGCACCGAAAATTGCACACACACACAGGCCTTCCCGCTTTCTTACGACACCACAGTACGGACCATTGCGCTTACTGCAGCCTGGCACAGAGCTAGCTGATAGCACCAGAAGTGGCAATGCAACGTTTGACATTTACCGGAATGCAAATTAGTAACGTTTGTTTTTATAGACAAGCACGTTTTGCGGTTTTATTTAGAGTGAAAACTCTCCCCGTAGAGTTACGGTGCTCGTCTCGAATTGCGTGTGTACAAACTTGAGCATTGCCGGCTGCGCAGCTAACAGCTACAACAGAGCTAGCCTAGCTCGCTGACTAGCACTCTGCCCTCATGGCCCTGCCGCTGCGCGCCGCTAGTGGAGGTAGCTCTGTATACCCAATGTAAACCTGACTGATCCAAACAAACAGACTACACCGTGTTCCTACCTGCTTTCCATCGCCATCATTGTTTAACTGGTGGAGACACGTTTTGTTAATGACAGGAGTAGTCCAGCTGAATCTGTTTTGCAAGATTCCACGATGATACGGAAGCAAGAAGAGGCGGTGAATAGAGAAACAACTCCGGTCAGAGCAGACAAAGCGAGGGGACCATCTTGCCGGATGGCTATGGACGCAGTAAAATGGCGCATCTATCCTAGATTCTGTGCGCTTTCTTATTGGCTGACAGCCTCCGATCCTCTGCCTCTCTGAGTGGTCCAGCCTCACCGGAGCTTATTGATTCGTTCAGCAGAGAAGAGAGTGATTTTCTCCGGGAAAGGAAACGCTGCTGGATGTATTTCCATTTCATTCATTTGTTAGCTCCGAGAAAGGCGCGCGGTTTTACTTCGTGTCCAAGCAAGTTTCTGACACATGCTAAAAAATAAATCGTAAAACAATGCTCTGGATCAGGGGTGTCCAACTCAACCACAGCAAGGGCCATAATCTGGATTGAAGTCTAACCTGAGGGCCCAACAGGTTCAACATTTCACCAAAACTGTCAGCCTCCTTTTCAAAATATATAATAAAATCAGCGATGATCATAAACCACTTGGAAACTCATAAAGTAAAAAAAGATCAATTTAAAGGCAATCTGAGATTAAACGAAAAATATCCAATAGATGAGTTCAAAAGATCAGAACACGATTTTTAAAAGTAGAAAAATAATACTTTTAAAGAACAAATACATTAGTAGAAAGTTACAATCATAAGTTTGAAAGGTCAAAATATGAGATCCTTTTGAAATCAAGAGTTTAAAGTCAAAATATGACTTAAAATTAGAATCTAAAGGATTAAAAGCACATAAATCTAAATACTGAGTCGGAAAAAAACAAGGCACAAAATAAAAAGTCAAATCATGTTTGACTTGTAATCTTGAGATGCAAAATTGGAAATATGGATAAAACACAATTTCCCCCCCACATTCTTAACTAATTATCAAATCTTCCTTACTCTTTACTTTCCCAGATTTTCATGGTTTATTAAGGATATTTTAAATAATGGTGCTAAAGTTTACATTATCATCCTGGAGGAAATCTGCAGACTTCATACTGGTGGGCCAATAATAATACAAATATGATATGATCTCGTGGGCTAGATATAATTGTTCCATGGGTCAGATTAAAGGTTAATGGGTATGGTACAAATGAGAGATTTGAAGTTTCATAGGTACATATATGAAGTGCATATTTTTGTGCGTGCAGAGCCGGCCCAAGGCATAGGCGAACTCAGCGCCTGCTTAGGGCCCCGCGGCCAACTGGGGGCCCCAAAGAGCAATCAAAAAAAGAAAAAAATTAAATATTTTTTGCATGTATTAGTGATGCTTTCTGTATGGTCAAATATATATTATTGTCAAAATAAAATAAAGTAAAAAAAAATTTAGTGCTGCTGCTGATGTAGGCCTATGATTCTTACTGCCAATATGTCAGAGCTTCGCTACCGTTATGTACCCTCTGCTGTGCAATGTGCTCTGAGCATCCAAAGCGCACGTAGTTGCGGGGCAAAACGATGTCACAAAAAAGGACATATCCTTCAGGAGCAGAGAAGAGGTAAAGGTATGTTTGTATGTCAGGGAATGTTAATCAAAGAACTTTGTGAAAGTGTGTGAATGAACATCAATCAATATTATTGGCAGAAATAGAGGGCCCCAAAATAAAGTTTTGCTTAGGGTCCCATTGAGGCTTGGGCCGGCTCTGTGCATGTGTATATAGGTATGGGTGTATAAATGTATAAGGTCTTAGTATTAATGATTTGATACTTATTCATGTTAGACTTTAGAGCTTTGGTTACTTTTTTACTTAAGAAATCCTAAAATTCTAGAGACATGTTAAGGGTCAATGAATAGGAAGGAATGAGGGTAGGTACAAATTAGCTAAATAGCTTCTACCTACTCCTTTTTGATCTCCAAAAATAGATGAATTTCTTGTCTAAAATTGTACTGTATATGTTTGATCGAATATACAAAATCTCTCTATCTCTTTCTAAATGTATGTTGGGGACATTTGAACATGTGTTCTTTCAAATGTATAAATGATGAGACAACGTTTTGGGCTGATTTTCTGATGCCTTTCAGGCTTTCCAGCAATTAACAAAATGTAGTTATTTAAATTGTAATCTTTGATTAATTACTCGTCACAGAATAAACATTTTGAGCAACTTGTTTCCTTATTCTATATTGAAGTTTTTTTTTTAAATATACTTCTCAAAACAGAAGTCCTCTAAAAGAAATTTAATAGTGCAATGAATCAATGCTATCAATTTAATATTTGACTCAATTAAGACCCTTTCCATACTTTGAACTGTACAATCCAACCCTATATTTGGTTTATGTCAAAATGTGGTCAATAATGTTCTTAAAAGGTTAAAAAGATTCTCAGAAGACGCACCATGATAAAAAAAAAACATAGCAGGTGGTAAAAACAGGATAAACACACACACACACACACACACACAAAGTTTTATGTTTTATGTGTAATAACTTAAACTTGACAACACTGGCGATACCAAAGGTTGCTGATTTAAGTGTTCTGACACGCTTGAAATGAAATCAAACATTAAATTTAATTTAGCATGTAAACACAAGGGAATAACAGTCTTGAGCATCATGTATTAGACTGTAATCCTGTTCCAAAAGGTAGGTAAAATGCATTTGTAAACTTATCAAGGTAACCTGAAGATGGTGCTCTTTTTCAAAGTTGTAAGCTGATGCTGCAATACAGAGAAGATAACCAATATAAAATGTAGAGGTGTAAATTCGTTCAAATTGTCCAAGAAAAGTCTTGCTTTTCTAATCAACAATAAGCTTTCAAACTGAGGTAATAAAATGACTTTTATTTCATGTAGTATTGAACTGATATGTTTTGTTTCCCCTTAAACTTCCATAAGGATTTTAATTAAAAAAAAAAAAAAAAAACAGACAGAGTAGCAAAGGAAACCAAAGCTGGCATGTTTTTTTTTTTGTTTGTTTGTTTTGGGGTCAAGTTTTCCCCCACCTAATTTCCTAGAGCTAAAAGACTGACTCAAAATATTCCCCACATGCCCACTTGCTTCTTGTCAAAGCATGTTTCTGATTCCTGCTAAAATTAAATTGTAAAACAATGCCGTAGATCGTAAAAAAAAGAACTACTCTTTTTTTTCCCCCCGAGAAATACATATTACCCAACTCAGAAGACAAACCATGATAGAAAAACATAGCAGGTGGTAAAAACAGGACAAAAAATGGTCAACAGCTGCAATCAAAATTACACAATGCACACACACACACACAAACACACACGTTTTATGTGTAATAACTTAAACTTGACAACACTGGCGATACCAAAGGTTGCCGATTTAAGTGTTCTGACATGTTTGAATTGAAATCAAACATTAAATTTAATTTAGCATGTAAACACAAGGGAATAACAGTCTTGAGCATCATGTATTAGACTGTAATCCTGTTCCAAAAGGTAAGTAAAATGAACTCGTAAACTGAGTCTTATCAAGGTAACCTGAAGATGGTGCTCTTTTTCAAAGTTGTAAGCTGATGCTGCAATACAGAGACGATTACCAATATAAAATGTAGAGGTGTAAATTCGTTCAAATTGTCCAAAAAGTCCTACTTTTCAAATCAACAATAAGCTTTCAAACTGAGGTAATCAAATGACTTTTATTTCATGTAGTAATAAACTGATATGTTTTGTTTCCCTCAAACTTCCATTAGGATCCTAAAAAAAAAAAACCTTCTTGATTTGTATATTCTAAGGTAACAGCTACACTTTTGCTTTTGCTGCAGCTTTAGGGTCGTATCAAACAGTAGAAAACGAAATGGGGAAGTTTCCCCCACTGACTCAAAATATTCCCCACATGCCCACTCAGTCATTTGGTGTGACACAAAAGGGGAAGCACAGGTGTTATGAAAATAGTAGCATAAAAAAATACAGAATCCTGACTTGTCAGCCAATTCAGTTGAGCAGGTTCATCATTTTTGTTTGTGTGAATAAAGATGTAGAGAGAAAAAGTTCATCAGAATCACTGTAAGCTGTTTAACTGCTCTGACAGACACTTCATTTAATTTGAACATGGCAGCTGTCTCACTGTGTATGACAATATTCGGTCATTAAATGTAATCTTTTCTCTGCTCCTTCCTTTCTCATTCCTCTACACTGTAGTAACCCTCATTTGGTGGTAACACAAGGTAATGATGACCTACATGTTGTGGTGAGATCTTTGCTGTTAAGGGATTAATAGGTTATTCCTTTGCAAGAGATAACCACAAGTGTGAACTAAGCGGAAATTTTAAGGTAAATCTGATACACACCATCCTGAAGTCCTTATTTGGTGTTTTCCTTCTCATTACGTGTCACTATATTGTGGTCACAGAGTCGACAATATAAGAAGCATCCTTCGTAGACTCAGTAGCGTGTTAAACTTTTCTACTCAACTCAAAAGTTCTATCGAGCAGTCTTTCTTGAAGACATGAGGAACATCAGCATTCAGATTCTTTCAGCAATGATGCTTGTGACAGTCTTCTCAGCATCACTGAAACCACATCACAAAGACCTGCTGCTGGAACAAATAAAGAATGCGGCAACAAATATGTCCAAAACCAACGACACAAATGGGGTAAGAAAACTACTCACTGACATGCAGATTTGTTGGTTTGATCATATTTTGACAGTTTCATCTCCATCACTGCAGGTGCAGTTTATAGACTGGCCAAAAACAGAGAGTAGATGTCCGGTAAGAAAAATACATTTTACAGTTATGGTGTTTTGATATTTTGTTTGACATGATGTAATTTTTAAAAATTTGCAGGTTATTGTTGCTTAATTGATTTGTTTAATATCGCATCTAATAGCGTTGTCTTTACAGAGGGAGTTCTTCTGTCTGGCTGAGCACGCTCTGAAAGCAACAGATTTAAAAAATTCAACTCTCACTGTTTATCTGGAAACATACAATAAGCACCAAGACCCAAAGGTAAAAACAGAATTAAATGAAATGACATTTAAATGAGTAAAAACAGATTCTCAAATTGTTCTGCATTCTCATCCATGTCATATATTTTCTGTCTTCAACTAAATATGTGAAATTATAAAGAAAACTATCACCATTTTCTTGTTTCAGGTCAAGTGCCCACCAGGAAAGACTCACAAAATTCGCATAGAGACTTTCCTGAAAAATGTTACCTTCTGTGCGGGCAGAGCCAACAGCTAAAGAAAAGGAGCATTGCCATAAATTACACAAAGTGATATTATTCCTTATTTATGTGACTTATGTAATAATTTATTCTTATTTAAAAAATAATACTAAATAAATTAATTCTGACATATCTTTTTCATGTACTGTTTGTATTTATACCTCAATAAATCCTAATGTGACAGTGTTTTTTTGTATTGTGTCTCTATAAAATCATATTAAATGATATTGGTGTCAATAATTCAGATCACCATAAGTTAAAAAAAAAAAAAAACAGACAGCTGCTTTACACAAGACCACTTCATTTCTGCAACTGTCAGAAAGGCATTCATAAAAAGCTGTGCATGGCTCAAACATATCACTGTGTATGCCCATACCCTGATATAACAATACACAGAGCACAAATAAAGTCAGATTAACCATTAAAAAAAAAAGATTTTAATAAATAAATAAAATATCCATGGGTTTGGTGGTTGTAAACATTTCACATAATTGACATTGCAAGATAAAGTCAGTTGCCTTCACTACAGAACAGCATAAAAGTTAAATTTCTTCACAAAAAAAAAAAATAATAAAAACTTATACTAGTGCATTACACCAAGACAGACAGCAGGTATGGTGAATTTCAAAGTAAGAAATAGTGTTCTGACATTGAAAATAAATTTCAAAAGCTTTTCTTATTGGAAAATGGCACCAACTTAGGAGCTGGGTAAGCATGCATGGCCCTACACTTCTGACCTACTAGTACAGGAGAATAATCAAAGATCCTATTTCTCTACATACTTCATACTTAATACCCTCCTCTCTTTGTTATCTCCACATTGAGAATTTCTTGTATACAATGAAATGATCATTGGGGTAGAGTTATTTAATTTAACATGATTACAAATCAGTTTTGGTGTATTAGTGCCAGCTCAGCCTCTTAACAAAATTAATTTCCCACATAGCAGGAAATCATTTTTACTGGATCTGAAAATTTCATGTGAAAAACAGTTTGCGTTCTGAAAACACTCAACACATTTCAGGGGATATTAATGCAGCTCGTAGTCCATGTCTTCAGTTAATTTTTTCATGTTGGTCATGTTCACAATGGGGATGTCCTCAGAAAGATCTATCCATAGCAGGTCTATCATTACCACTTGAGGTGCTCAGGTAAATGATCTGATTTAGACAGAGGCCTCAGCCACTTTTAATGTGCTCCAAGGCAATACAGATATGTCAGACTTCCTTAAAGAAACCTTAGAATACTAAACAAACTACAGGTCCTCTTAGCCAAGAGTTTTCATCCTACTACAAGTGTAGCATTTTCACATTTAAAGCCATTGCTGCTATACAGTGTTTCCATAATAATTTAAATAAGGTTCAGAAATTAATCCTTAAGACTCGACTAAATACAGATTTTCATTGAGTAACGTGAAATATGCAGACACCAAGCGCTTGTCTTTGCTTCTTCACTGTAGAAGGGATTCGATCACAGCATCGGGCTTTGCAGATCTTTTCCTGTGTAAAGATGGTAGATGATAAAGGTTATCAACAATTTCAGGGAGCTCTCAGCATTTCTCAGAATAACCAACAGCATGATAAGAGCACATACCATCATGCTCAAACACATCATTTCATCATGCTATAAATAGACTAATGTTGCGCCACTAATTATTCTTTAGTTTACTCATAGATGTATCTATCTGATATAGTCTAACTGATGTACGTGTTGCAACTGCTTGAGGAATGCAAACAATGTCAATAGCCAGTTAGGTTGAAGACATTCAATTAGAAGTGTAAACCCAAAGCCAGATCAAACTAACTCTTCTTTCAATTCACCAATTGTGTTTAAAGCAAATGAGAAAGTTTCATTGCATTAATATCTTTTATGAAAGTATGGGGCTTTACAGCCTGTAGATTACCATTACCCAATCACAGGCTGTGATAGTGACAGCTGCAGAGGAAACAGAGGAGGAATGAAGCATCTCTTTACCTGTCACTTTTCAAGAAACTGCAACAAAATTGAGTTTTGTGTGGCTTTGTGTCTAAAATATTGTGTTCAAGAATGAGGCAACCTTGAATGGGTAACTTGAAAACGTAACTCCTGAACTTTCTGTTGTCATAAAAAAAGGCTAGCAGTTGTAATTGGCTAAATCTTTTTGTTTTAAACACTGACTGCAGGTGTATTCCCTTGAAATACCTTCACCTACTACAGTGTGTGTGGCCGCACCTAATCCTACAAAAAGGAAATATTGGAACAAGGCACCACTTTTTAGAAGTCCAAGAATCAAATTCTATAGTCATGATCAGATGCTATTTGCAACATGTATGGGGTTACAAACCAGAGGGGAGATAGTGTTCATATACGCACAAAATATGAGAAACAACGGTCATTAAATATTCTTGAGTGCCCTGCCTCAGTATGAGTTATGTTTGTGAGAAACACTGTGACATTTTTTATCAAGGATAGATTTTCCTCAGTTATTTGTGGCAGATTGAAGAGTCCTCACTTAGTGTCCTTGGCCCTCATTTATCAAGCTTGTGTACGGCAGAAAACTCACTTACGCCTTGCGTATGTAAGTTGCAACGTGAGGATCGGCATTTATCAATCTGCACGTGAGCGTACACTACGACCAAATCTCACCTGACATCGTGTACCCAAGTTTGAGTCAGTGTGGATCTGCGGTGCAGAAAATGTCTGTCTCAAAATCATTGATAAACAAACCTCAAACCTGTCATTAAGCACAATCAGCAAAATTTCATTAAAGATTCAGACCTAAATAAAATAAAATAAATTTGTTATGTCCTTAGTGAATAGGCCTATTTGATAACTCTGCCCAGAAACACTGCCACAGAGCAGGAGCGCCGTTTTAACATTGCGCACACACGCCACTGTGGAGCGCTGCGTTTGACTCCTATAAGGCAGGTGTCTTGGCCCAGCAGCAGGGACGTTGTTGTACACTCCTGAAAGGGTGTGGGACATCATTTGAGCCAGTACAGTTTTACACAATGTTGCACTGGTGAATGGAGTGCTGTTGGCTGTGCTGGTACAACATGAGGACCCGATGCCCGGAGAACGATAACGAGGAGAGACTCTACAAAGGTGCTGCACAGAGGAAACAGGACCTTATCCATGGATTCTGACATGTAAAGTATAAGTTTAGAAAGTGCTCTTGTATCCAATAGAAATCCATAAAAATGTGCCTCAGGGGCAGCAACACACCGTTTGGTGAGGTTAATAATTATTTTTGTTCAGCCTCTGTCAGACTCTCCAGTCTGCTCTACATTACAAAGACGCAACAAATTAAAACTAAATACTTTCAATAATAGGTGTAACGTACCCTATGTCATGGCAATAAACAAATATGAGGCATGTATAAGATATTAGTTTATCATCATAAGCAACTTATTGACTAATGATTTATTCAAACTTCAGCCACTGTCCACTATTCCGCTGCAGCGTTGTTCAGCGTCACCATAATCCTGCTCCAGACAGGAGTTTTCTGCTTTTATTCCAGTTTTGATGCTTCCAAAGAGAAAATCCTTGTTAGTTTCCACCACAGATGTGAGGATATCCACTTTCAGCTCGGAAAAGTTCAGAATCTTTCTAATATTTCTCCTCTTTCATGTTTGACCTCAGAGGGCGAGGCTTCTGAACCACGAATATTTAAGGGCGTAAACATGTAAATGACGATCGATTTCAGCCGCCGCATTTATCAAGACCCGATCATACGTACGCTGGGATTGGTCAGATGCGAACCCTTTCATAAATCTCACGTGTGTCCTATCGTACAATGAATCCTGCGCTCAGCTCTAAGCAAGATTGATAAATGAGGACCATTGTCTGTGTGTGTGTGTGTGTGTGTGTGTGTGTGTGTGTGTGTGTGTGTGTGTGTGTGTGTGTGTGTGTGTGCGCGCGCGCGCAAGTGCTGTGTGTTGAATGTGGGTTGGGACGGTGGGTGGGTTTTAGTATTTTTATTTTGTATCAAGCACTTTGTGTAGCATTTCGTTGCATGAAAGGGACTTTATCAATAATGACTGATTGATTGATTGATTGATTGATTGCAGCAACAGCTGATGAGCTTGATATGGTGTGGCCGCTCATGACAAGAGGTTGAAGACTGTACATGAAAAGAAGGGCTGATACTGGGCTCCTGATATTGTTGTTGAGGCAAGAACTCAAAACAAAGAGACTGTTCAAAAGCTTGGGACCGGGTCAAGTCTTTGAGGATCAAAAAGTCCAAACTGCCTACACTGTCCAATTAGGCTGATCTGGAGATATCATCCTTTTTTTTTCTCCAACAGAATTGGTTGATTAGTTGGTGTAATTTCAGATCACCATATTATTTGATGACTACGGCCCTGTGTTTTGTTCTTGTTTGCCTATGAAGACGGGGTTTGTTTGCTAGACTGTTAACCTTTTACTGATGCGAATGAACTGCTAGACTGCAAACCGAGATCTTTAAAAAATATCAGAAAGTACATTTTACACAGAATCAACTCCTGAAATGATAAATATGACTGGAGACTGATGAAAGCTGATGACTGATGAGACACGCTATGACAGAGTGATGTGTTGTGCAACAGGAAGTTCATGAAGTTTCAGAATGTCTGTAATCTGCACTAGTAGTTAGTGTTTACCTGCGGCCAGTCTTGGGTCGGCCACTCTTGCCACTTTTAGAGGTTCTTGGTCTCTCCAGTTTCATCAGAGACTGCCGCATGCTCTCCTCTGTGTAGGCCAGATACACATGGGACAAATCCACCTCGAATGGCTGCAAAGGACAAGAACAGAAGCAGAGTAAGGTCAACAATACACTGAAGAGGACATAAAAAAACATATAGCATCAGGAAATGCACAAAAAACTATGACAGGATCTTGAAGAACTCACATCTTTTTCTTTCTTGTCAGGAGCAGGAGTCTGTTTTCTCATATTGTTGCCGGTGTATGCCACACATTTCTGAAAGACATATCAAAAAACAAAATACTCAGAACAAGTTCTCAACCAAGAGATTTACCTTTTGTATTACCAGTAAAGGGACAGCTGTTTTTTTACAGTAGTGTTGTGCCGTCAGAAAGCCCATTCACTCTTGGCTGCCTCTAATACAACCCCACTTACATAAAAAACAGTTACTATCCCTTTAAATCCCAGGCTTAAAGAGGTGCTTATGCAGAATTAGCTCACCAGCTGCCATTCTCCAATATCTTCATTCCAGTGCACGTAGTTCTCGATCATCTCCTGCACATATAAACAGAAAATAAGAAAACTTACAAGCATTAAGCGAACCAGTTGTGTATGAAGTTTTGTAAAGAGAGTTATAGTGTTAATACGGGTTTTTTCTTTGGTGTCATCTTGTACACTGCTGGCATGGGAAAAGTTACTAACTTTGAATGCAAAAATTCTACCTCCTTTTAGTATTGTGCTGAGCTCTGCATGTTTTGTGTTAATCAACTTCTCAAAACGCAACCAGGAAATTATAGTTTTTTTTTTGGTTCACCACTTCGTTATCAACATCATCGCTCAATCCTTTCACACCTTGTGAATGTCACACAAACTTAGCTTGAGTTTTGACTGATGCAATTTAGTAAACTGGTTGTAAATAGCTTTGTTTCTCTTAGCCTTTAAGTCAACAGCTATAAAATTTTGAAACAGATGTATCTTTCATTTTTTGGTATTGATGAGGTATTGTAAAATATGACGAAGTAACTTTCAGAAAACACACTTTTTGCACAGCCTTGAGGTATTAATATAAGCTGAAGGCAAAACTTTGGAAAATTAGACAGTCGTTATTTTCCCTGATCACCTGATATTCCTGGGGAATAAAGTTGTCTATGATGAGCATCTGGAGCCGCAGCTCTCGACTCAGCTGGCGGATATTCTCCAGGAGGCCTTCGATCTCTCTGTGATGCTCTTGCTGCAGATCAGCCATCTGACCGAACACAAAGAGCCACAGCAAACCATTGTCATATAGTCAATCAAAACAGCTACAACAACAGCTTATAGCTAATCAGTTTAGGCTTTGATATAAAAACTAGATGACAGATGTCTGAAGGAACATTATTCGATTGTTATATTCTATATGACTGTCCTTAAACAACCCAAGAGGGACAAATAATGTTTGATCTCTCTCACTGTTACTCTTAATGTTTTGCTTACTTCTGATTTAGCAGCCATCAGCATGGTCCAGACTTTCTTCAGCTTCTTGGTCTTTCCTTGAGCCTCCTCTTGCAGGCTAGTGTACTTCTCCTCTATGTCTAAACGTTCTTGCTGTTTTGAGAAGGGGAAAAGTAAATAAATCAGTGGTTTAATTCAGTGATCAGACTGTGCAAAGTAAACTTCATTTGTTCATACTTCAAAACTCTACTCTTTAGTCGTGCTGTGAATAACATATCTGGGTCAAATGTCAAACTGAGGTTGTCAAAACTTTTATCTTCATGAGGGGAAACTTTGTACTGGTTTTAACACTTGCATGCTACACGTGAAATCAAAAGGATGTGGGTCTGTTTGGTTTTTCTATGAACAGCTGACAAAAATGTAGCATGAGTCCTTTTTTTCGACTCCAAGAAAGAATGACTCAATTGCTGGCATGTCCACAACCTACACTTCACCTTAAGTCAGTACACCGGTATGGGGATTTATAATATGATGCAACCAATGCACACTACTATGTAATTATTTCATGTTATTGTGACAACAGCATGATTGAACCTCATCTTGTTTGCCTATTCAAGTATTTGGAAGTGGTTAGTATTTTTTGCATGATGTTTTTTTAATGATCTAACTGGTATCTACTCTTACCTCCTTCTCCTCCAGCTCCCTCCGCAGCTGTTCCGCCCTCCTGCGACGTTCCTCCAGTTCACTGTTGGACTCTTGCAAAAGCTTCTCCTGTTCCTCAGCCTTGGCCAGGAGGTCCACACCACCCACGATCACCTTCTTCTCCAGGGCTGACAGCTTCTCTCGCAAAAGGTGATGCTCTTGTCTAAGAGTTTCAAGTATGACATAAAGAAAGAAAACATTTCCATATCCATTTACAATAACAAAAAAAAAAAAAGATTTTATGTATCATTTTAAAAGTAAAAATCATTAATAACTAATACACTCACTGGGCTTTGAGAAGGTCTTTCTCCCTCTTCTCCAACTCTGCTCTTGCCGTATTCCTCTCCTCCTCCTCCATGTCCAGTTTGGCCTCCAAAGCCTTTCTTTCCTCTTCAATCTTCGCCTGCATCTCCACCATCTTGTCAGGGGAAACCTTCTTCCTCCCTAAAGAGTGACAAAAAGGAAACCATGTCCTTCAGTGGCAAATTGAAATAAGGATGTGTCTTCCTGCACCAAATAACAGTCATTATATAGGTTACAATGTTTGAAATACTGTAACCAGCATAAGAATGATGCTGATTACAAGCACAGTTTCAGTTCATAATTGCTTATACAGAAGAAGAATTTGTGTTTCTTTTAACCTCAGCACTAATGCCAGCGTCAGTGAAATGTTATGTTTTGCTAAAGCACTGTATTGAATTATTGTGAGCAAACTTGAAAATCACAGAAACTATAAAAAATTCTTAATGGCATGATGGTAATGAAGATGAAAACAGGAGAGATATGGGTGGCAATCATGCAAGCAAAGAGAAACATTTCATCAGCAATCGACAATGTACCTGTTATTTGATTAGGTAGAGTTAGTGAAATCATACTGCAGCGTACAGGACAGCAGCCATCTGAATCAGTACTTTGAAAAAAAGCCACTAGAGCTACAGCTCAGTACGGCTATTATATTTTAACACCAACCTCTTTCTTCTTGAATTAAAAGGTGTATAGCAAGCCAGACAGGCAGTATTTGCACCAAGAGGAGGAGGAGGAGGAGGAGGAAAGAGAGACAAAGAGTAACACATTACAGAGTGATCTCGAAAGTCTTATGACTCTACAGAGTGGAACAACACATTTGGGACAAGGAGTGGGAGAGAGAATGATCAAACAAGTGACGGGAAGTTTCGATCATGATAACCAGGTGCCATGGTGAAGTGACAGTGACAGCAAACAGACAGGAGGCAAAAAAAATGTAAGTCACTTCATCAAATAAAACATGATATGAAATATGACGCCGGTGGATTGCACCTTTTGAGGGATAGGAAGGAGTTAAAAGATTATAATCAAGGCCTGACCAAAGTGTAATCTGAAATCAAGGATATGAAATTATTCATGCAGAAACAATCCATTATGTCAAGACTTCAGTATTTTAGGCCGTGCATGACAAAATAAGGAGAAACATAAATACATTTATACAGCAAGTTTCAATCCTTCAGAAGGATCGGTTTACAGTGCAGCAGTGTCATTGGTATTCAGGGATGTTTCCAGAGACATCCATGTCCACTTAAGCACATCAGGAACCTTTGCACTCATTTTCATGAAGGTCCTGACAAAACTTGTGACATTAAAACTTATGGTCAGCATCAGTGGGGGGAGGGGGGCTGGCTGTGAACCCACAGGAGTGGTAAAACCAGGAAGTCTAAGCCCCTTTCACACATATATGCTAATCCATTAATGCAGTGAAATCTGGCTGCATTATCAATACAATGGAGCCAATATCTGTTACTGCTAAGTTTATTCACTTCAGTTTTTCACAACAGAAAATAAATATATGAATAAATAAACCCGCCCCTGCTCCTGGAAACAACAAGGACACTACAGAGCACTTCAGTTCTCAATGCAGTACTGTCTTCAGTAGTTGTTCAGGTGCCAACCGTGTACTAACAATGTCCCATTTGTGTCTGACATTTAACTTTACCCCCTGACTTTTCTACTTCTCTCTTTTGCTATTTCCACAGTCACATTACATCTGTGTTTCCAGAAAAGGGTTTTAAAAACCACAAAGCTTGTTTTACAGCCTTCGCTCTTTTATATTTGTGAATTTATCCTCTAATGCAGATTGTGTTTGTGTTCTAGTGAATGTTGTGTCTGTGTTATGCATGTGTCTGTGTGTGAGCTCTTGTCTGAAAGAAGCTTCTTCCTTCTATTAAAATAATTAAAACAGGTTTCACCTGGTGGCAGCAGTACTTTTTATGTGTCTGTGTGTTTTGGGATCCCTAGAGTTAGGGTTGTATATGACATTTATGTTAAAGAGTTCTTCTTACTGAATAAATGAATGAATTTTAAATCAATAAAGTAGTCTAGTAATTTAGTTGGTATCCAGGAAATATGATGAGTCATGTGTTGTTAAATGGCAGTATTGAGAGGTGTTAGGGTCTCATCCTGTCCCACCCTGTCGGGATCCACTGATTTACTATACACAATCCTTGGCTGATATTTTAAAATTAGACTTTAAGTTTGGTTCCACCTGTGCTTTAGGACTGAAATCTTTTGTACTATCTCAATGGTGCTTCTCAAACCCTTGAAACAGGTGCATAACAGCACAATACGTAAAAAAAAAAAAAAAAAAGGGAAATCATTAAGTTTGCTTTTTCACTACATCATAGAGGAGTAAAGGATGTACAACAGATGACTTGCGTAGATGACAAGACATTTGGTCACCAGGAAATCCCCCGAGAAAACCACATATAGAAAAAAGACACACCTCACTGGATATTTTTGCTGTCAGGTTGTAACTGTCATTCATGCCAAAAAAAGAATGACAACTAACAACTACGACCCACTTGAAGGAAAATTACAAAACATTGAAGAATCTTGATCATTTTGTACTTGGAGCCATTTCACAGCTGACATACTATGTGTACTTTTTCAAATTTGAGACGAAAACTCCCACCAGGCAGAGAGATTCTAGAGAGGTCACGGGAGATCAGCTTAGCTGTTTATTGGAAAGATGAGCTCTAAGCAAAAGCCAAACACCCTACCATACATTTCCATTTTATGGGGTTTATGTGTGAAAAGGGCTTCAGTTTGCAGGCAGGTGGGTTGGTGGAGCAGAGTGCTGCTCTCACTCACTATTCTGAGGTTTGTCCTCAGTGGAAGGCGGCACTGAGGATGAGCAGGCAAACTCTGAGCTACTGCTGCTGCTGCTGTTACTGTCTGGAAAAAAGCAGAGAAAGTACCACTCTGACCAAAAGCCACAGTGAAAGACAGCTGAAGACCTCTAAGAGCTGCTGGTTTGCTCAGAGCCTAATACAGTTTCAATTTGTAGGTCTAATAAATCAGGTAGCTGCAGTTCAATACATTTAAAATGTAAATTCAGCAGGAAAAGTTCAGTTAAAGTTCGCTTTGTAAATTCATAGTGTTTCATTAGAAATAAGAGGTAAGTACAAAGAGGCACAACTGAAAAAAAAAAACATGGCATCACAGCAGTATGTAAGACCAAGAAAGTTTGACCTGATTTCACTTCTTCAAAACTTCTGTTGAACACTTTCAACTTTGGTGTCGAAATATGGGGTGAGACAAAGGAAATCCTACATGAGAAATATGGTGGTAACCTGCTATCAAAGAGTGTGACACTGTCGTTTTTTAAAATATGAAAAACATTAGAAACTGAATGCTGACTCATGAAAAAAAAAAAAAAAAACGAAAAACTGATACGAGATTAAATCAGATATATACAAATTAAACGGATGTGGATCAAACATTTAACCAAACAAACATTTGAAACCACTGCTTGAAAAAAACCTGACAAGGTTTATACAGATTTAACCAGCACAACATCTTTATTATCTTGTAACATGCTCAGTGCTGAATCAGCGTGATAAAATAGATAAGTCTTACCTCTTCTTCTCCTACGGCCTTCTTCTGCTTCCCCACCTTCATCATCACCTTCATCCATTTCATCTGATCCACTTCCCTCTGAGCCAGAGATCTCTTCACCTAAAACCACAGGAGTTATTTCAGAAATAGTGGAGCTAGTCTTGTAACAATAAATTACAGTCTGGTTATAATAATTTTTTTTATCTGTCTGGATTGTTACCTTCCACCAGTTTCTTCTTAAGCTCCTCAATCTCTTTTTGAAACTGGCGCAATAGAGCATCCTTAGGATCCTCATTGATCCTGGCTTTGTTCTTGATGTTCTTGGCCCTATTAGCATAACGCAGGGTACTGATGGTCTCGTCATAATTGTAGTCCGCAGGGCCAATGTTTGCACACTATAAAGGAGAAGTGTGTTATCAACAAAGTATGGAAAAATTGACAATCTGTTGCTATAATTTAGCTAAAATGAAGAGCGCTTAAAAAAAAAGGTTTGTTAAGAAACTCTCGTCTAAACTTTGACTCTACCATCATGGTCTTGGAGTTCCCACCAAGTGAATCCTGCAGCAAACGGGTCAGTTTAGAGTTCCTGTAGGGGACATGTGTGCTCTTGCCATCGACCAGGGCAGAAATAACGTTACCCAGCGTGGAAAGAGAGAGATTGATCTTTGTTGCCTCTTTCAAACGCTGACCTGTGGCTCCAGTCTTGCCCTGTCTTTCTGAACCCTGTAGAGAGGAAGATCATGGAGTGGTGATTTGACAGACTGTGGGCAATAAGCCACATTTTTTTTTTGGACATGATCTTCTTTTCAGGAAATATTTTATTTTTAGCCCAAAATTTCTAGACTCAGACACATACAGCCAGATCAACCAGATGAAGTTTTCCCATTCGCACATGCTGGTTCCCATCTACGCCTTTCTCGCTGCACTCGATTGTGATGGTGAAGATAGCATGAGAACGGGAGCTGTGTTCATTCATGTTTGTGGCACCAACAGACCCTGGGCACAAAAAATACATCACATGACCAGACTAAAATGGCTTTATAGAACAGAATATGCTTCAGTATTTTTTTATTCTGTAATATTATGATCCTATTGCTTTTCACATTCAGTTATTTTTGTTTGTAACCTTTATTATCCTTAAACATACATTTTGCTTGGTGTTTGCATGCATTTTCATTTAAACAGAGACAATATTTTGTGCATATCAGTTTAATGAATCCATTATGAAACACTTGCCAACGGTGAGTGTATTATTCACATGGGATGCAAGCCAGCTGGACCCCTTGATTGAAAACCTGGCCTTGTCTTTGAAAGTCACACACCTTAACAGCTTTTCAGTGCTCTGCATTATGGAGAGCAGGTACATGTTGCTTCCACAACTATTGTTAAGTCCAGTAGGCTTTGCAAGGACACGTTTCCCAATGGAGTGTGCATTTACAGCAACAGTAGTGCTTTTGCTGGAGTTTCTTAAAATGACCTGGTAGATCTAGCTCTGTCTGTAGCAACTGATAAGCTAGCTTTCATTCTGGTTCCCTTAACAGTTTGTCAACAAAAGGGCAGAGCTGTCCTGGATTTTCTGTGGGTAACACATCTATTGTTGACAAGTACCTGACATAACCAAACTCAAGACAAAAATAAATAAATCTGTTATATGCAATAAAGATACTTCTTATTGACAGATATATGTGGTTATATGACATGAAGCTTTATTGAAATTAACTGCCTTGAATTAAACAATCAGCACTTTATCTCAAACATGCTGTTCCAAGAACACATGTCAAGTTATTTTTTGCTCTTTTGGACACTTTCCTGTATGGACTGTTGTTCTTCTGCTTTTTATTTTTGTTGTTTGTCTCTATCAACTCTCTTTTTTTGAGGTCTTTCAGAAGTCTTTTCTTGATACTGTAACATGCTGAATGCAGCAAAGTATCTCACTTATGGTAATTTAAGAGAGAACAAGTGTGGGTCTTTTTACATAGATGGGACTCAGTCTTTATCTTATCTTACATTGCATGAGAGCCCTATGCTTAGCTGCACTTATAGCGTTTTTTTTTCTTACTTTATCATGCTGTTTCGTTCTTTGCTCGTGTTGTACTTCTCAAATGTAAATCACTTTGGTCAAAAGCCTCTGCTAAGACTGATTGACTGACATAGTCTAATCACATATATCGCTGAAAATCAAAGGTCAAGGATTAGTTTTGAGGGTGTCATCTTCCTTTTTACTGCTGTTGATAGATTTACTCACGATTCTTGTGCCCAAGTGTCATTATCCGGTCCATGTCATCAGGGTTGTTCACAACATAACCAGATAGGTCTTTGATATATACTCCAACATCTGGCCTTTCTTTCACCTGTGATAAAAAAGTGAAACCTTATCATCTTGAAGACATCCTTGGCTAAAATATTTACTCTCAAGTATTGTATGACAGGTTTTGTCATTGATATAAATATCTTAATGGTAAACTTAAATATTCTTTACCTCCAGCCTCTGCATCTGATCCTTTCCTAACAGGTCCCTGACCTCCTCATTGTAAATCTCCAGGTATGAAACACGAACCAAAAACCTGTCGGAGTTAAACATATATTCAAAGTCAGACAAATACTTTGATATAAAACTAAAAATCACTCATACATGTGTGCTCTACAAAGAGTGCGTCCAAATGCTACCTCATGCTACATGTTCTGCAAATAAAAAGTTAACTTAAAAAAAAGCATCCTAATCTAAATAATCTGTATTTTTATAAGGATTTAGTGGTCTCTAAAAAGGGTTGAGCCATCTTATTTATTTCATACAGAACTATTTTTCCTTTAAATTCTGAGTTTTTTGTGTTCTCTTAAAATGCATTAGCATTATCTCCTTAGCAAAAGGTGAATAAAGGTGTGTCAAATATGTATTATTATTATTTTTGTTTAATCTCATAGTATGACTATCACAGTTCCCATTGTGGACTTGATGTTCTTGCTTGCAGGGTGATTAAGAATTTATTTCTTTAACTAAGTACGACTTCTTCTGTTTGGATGAACCTAAAGATTTAGTACAAACTCAAGACAGTTATCTGATAAATTTCTCATTCCTCCATATCACTTTTCTTACCTTGTGTCACCCTCTGCTTTGGCAATGTGACCAAAAATATGAGCAAAGGAGTTTGGGATGATTCCTCTCAGTTCTGGCACTGCCCTCATTCCCTCCATGGTGAAGGTTTTCCCTGTGCCAGTTTGCCCATATGCAAAGATAGTCCCTGAAATAGACAGCAGAGAATAAACTCACCAACTACGAAAGCTAGAATAAAATAAAAAGGAAAACAGGACTTATTATTGATTCAAAATTACATTAACAGGTTCAAAGACCAGATAGGGTTGTGCATGTTTGATTATCTGTATGAAATACTGATAGAGATGATGCAGTCACTACATCAATGATGCACGTTTTTACTGCAGCTGTACTTGATAAAAGTAGTGGATTATGTCCCAATAAATGTACCATTATATCCTTCTAATACAGAGTCAACGATGGGGCGGGCTGTGAGGTTGTAGACATCCAGCTGTTTGCTGTCTGGTCCAAACACGGTGTCAAATGTGAAGGTCTTGGGAGGCTCCTGGGGAGTCTCCAGTTTGTTTACTGTGATGGTTCCACGGATCTCGTCCACAATCACGGCCTGTTTGTTGCCCATCATCTTCTCTTTCTGGTTCAGGGGCCGACATCTCACCACCACCTTAACGTTATCATTGACCTCCTGCTTGTCAGGTTTTTCAAGCTTATTGCTCTGAAAGAAAGTAACACGATCATGTATGGTTAACCATTGTTGTCGAATTGACAGCAACGCGGTGAATACTTTCAATGTGGTTGATGAAACAATAGTAAACAGTCAGTGTTCGCTCGTTAATGACTCGGTCTGATCTCACAGGATGTACCAGTACATTATCTGCTCTGCCTCGGGTTGCTAGGCAAGCAAACGTTTTTTCCCCATTAGCGATAACGTATGCTAATTAATTAGCACAGTTGACGAACAGCAACTATTTGGATGTTATCTCCGCTCAAAGCGGCACATTTTCACCACCAAATAATTAGTGGATTTCTGGGTTACTTGAAAACACGTTTTGAAGCGTGCCTTGTACCACACAAACGGTAAATGTTCAGCTAACGATGCTAACCGATTAGCATCACATCAGTGAGGTCGGAGGAAGGGAGGAACCCTTTAGGAAACATAGTAAAAAAGCAAACAGGCGTGGCTACTTACCGGCATAGTGACAAGGCAGACAGATGATTATTGTCGAGATATAATACCAGAGAAGTGTTTGGTTTTGTGCATTGGATTCCAGGTTATCCTAGGAATTGAAATGCCAGCACTGTTCCCATAACATGAAAGGCTGGCACCTTATAGCTTGTTGTCACGTTTGTGTCTAACTGCGCATGCGTCACAGAGAAAGTCGTGGTGGTGGGGGCTTCAGTTGCTATGGAAGCAAATTTGTACCCTAGTTCAAATTAAACTACATTAACAGATATGCATTTGCATTTATAGAATGTACCTGAACTTCTTGACTCATTATTAAAATTAAAAATAAATAATCCGAACTGCGGTTGAATTTTCTTTTTCAAAACTGATCATTCTATAACTCAATTCAAATGTAAAAAAAAAAAGCCATTTGAGATTAAATTTTCGAAATATGTATCAAAACTCATATCAAAATATCAAATCTGAAAATTCAAATGCATTTGCAGTATGACTTTTTTGTTCCAAAATGTCAAAATTGCATAATTTGAATGAAGAATAAACCATACAAACTGCATTTTATTTTCTTATTTGAGCTTCACATTTTGTGACACAATTCAAAAGAGAAACCAAAAGGGCAATTGTTTTTTCATTTTCATGTCCGCCTGTCGCTATCCAGACTGCCCAAGTGCAAACTTACTTTAGCCTGGCTGGGCCATTCTGTTGCGTGAATCACTTGATGTTCCTTCCCACCACAGTCTGGTCTTCGGCCCATAGAGAGCGTGTGTTCCCGATCAGAAAATAACCGAGCCAATCAAAGACTCTGTCTCCACTGTTACCCGGACAACAGGATGGCCCAGCCAGGCTAAATTTACTTCACCTTTATTTAAACTACGTGAATTTTGAATTTTTGAGTTTTAGAATGATCAGTCTTGAAAAAGAAAATTCTATTGCAGCTTGGATTATTTATTTTTCATTTTTATTTATGAGTCAAGAAGTGCAGGTACATTTTCAAAATACCAATGCATTTCTGTTAATCTATTTTCATTTGAATTTTGATATAAATTTTCTTCCATAAGTTGCATTCAATAATTGCAGCAATTTCATAAATACCATCATTGTCTCTGTAATTTATGTATCAGGGAAAAGGGACACACAAGGCAGAGGGTGACTGTACGTATACACTCTCTGCCCTGACTGTAGGGGATTCACCGTATTTGAATGAAAAATAATGAACTATGTACACTTATTAGTCATGGCTGAGTGAACCTGATGGTGGGCCCCAGGGAGAAAATAGTTGAGAACCTACAACAGTCCCCCATTCAGTATTTACTGTGTGTCTGTGCATGTGACATTCCTTTGTCAGAAAACAGTCTGGCAAAAAATGTACTGTGTGTTCATTCATTGATAACTGGTGAACTGAACTGAATTTCAATGAACGAAAGGATAGCCCCTGCAGTGTCATTTTCAAGAGAGTTGTAATTGGTTAAAATACCACTTCTACTAATACTACTACTATTATTACGACTACAACTACAACATCTAATAATCATAATAATAATAATAGGGGAAAATACTTTTGTAATTCTGTCCAAAAGGCAGTACACAGTGAAACCTTATCGTTATAAAGTATTGTGTTTATATCAACGATCGCTCAAAAAGGATCAAATATTCAAGTATTTCAAGGTGCTGTAAAAATCTACTCTCAGTCTAGCTGTGCTGAGACTGTCCATTCAAATAGCTATCTGGATTTGTAGAGTAACCTTACAATGGATTGACAGTGTAAGAAGACATCTTTGACACACATTTGCTATATTTATTCAGATACCTATTTTAACTTTTTAATGCATGTCTTCCTCTTACTGTATAACAAAGCTATGTATAACCCGATTTTCATTTAGTATTCCTGACAAATATTTATTCATACTGGAGGAAAAACACCAAACCACCAAGTTTCTAGAAGTATAATTTATTACCAGAGAAGCACTACAGATATTTTACTTCATGATGTCACTAAATATAGTTAAATATAGTTTGTTTTCTTTGTGGGTTTTGACAAAGGCACTAACCATTGCGTGTAACATGGGTATTCAACAAGGAACAGTCATTAGGTGTGTTTTTGTGCAAAATCTTATAATAGTACATGTGTAACAGACATGCACATATATTGGAGGTACACAATATATTATCTCTGGAAAATTTCCTCACACTCTCATATGCACTCAGGACAAAAATGAACACCTCCTTCATAAGATTGTCATTTGGCAGTAGTAACCTTTTGACCTCTACACACATGATATTGTTCAGCAGGTCAGTCAAGTCATTTGGCAGTTTGAACACATGGAGTATAGAAATAAACAGTCCTACAGCAGTATTACACAGTCAGCTGAGCCTCTCCAGGGCTTGAAGAATACTGCAGTGGAATAAGCCCGTCTGCCCACTGTTCTCCTGAGTAACCAGAACCCGTCCATCAGGTCTAGGTCTATGAACAAGAACCAGCTCCCCTTGAAGCAGACTGAGCTCTGAGTCTGTCTGGGCTAAATGCGTTGTTGTCACTCTGTGTCTGGAAAAAAATGGAGAAGGAGAATTTTATATGAATAAAATATTTGCAAGTCCATCATGCCTGTCTAAGAAATAGACAAAAACCAAGTCTCTCATTTGTAAGGCATATTGTACAAATCTAGCATACCTGCTTGGGCTGAACTGTGCTGACACAGCAGGCAGGGATGGCTGTGACAGAGTTGATCTCTGTGGATTAGAATTTAGATCTGAGATGGTCGTTTCAAGACCTTTTCGCAGAACGGGGACTTTTCCTTCTTTGAGGATGATCCCTGGTCCATCTCTTCCTAGGGTGAGAGATGGGGCCCACACTTCCAACGGAGGGGGGCCAGGACGGACATTGGCAGGAACCTGACTTCCTGATGACCAGGAGGAGGTCCGAGGTCTTGGGGGAGGGGAGTCTTCATCTGTGAGGAACCGCACTGACTTTGCAGGCTAGGGAAGCAAATACTAACTGTTAGCTATATATTGGTGAGATGACACAATGAGAGAAAAGTGATGTACAAGGGGAAGAAAAGAGGAAATGGGACAATGTGTGGACATATAAACAGTGACAGTTAATGTATGAATGATGTATGAGGAGTCAGGAAGTGGAGAAATAAGTTTTGATTGTTGAAAAAGAGGGTGAGAAACAAAAAGAAAGCAAGGAGAGAGTTAAATAAAACCAGCAAAAATTGATAAATGGTTGTGTTTCTTATAAATGTGTGAAAAGCAGAGGGACAAAGAAAATTTAGTACCAAGAGACTAAAACCAATAATAAAACTTGAATTAAAAGAAAATGTGCTCTCATGGTTGCTCTCATGTAAAGTGTTAAATAATTACAGTAAAACATCTACATACATGTATATACATGTACACATATACACTGTTTTTATAACTACAGTACATGCAAACCTACACACAAATGTACATGTGCACAAATACACAGGGTCATGCACAAATCTTTATGTCTTGTCATCATATAACCTCACCTTGTCTGTATTGTTCTTGTGGGAGTCAGGTCTGACCAGTATTGATTGAGGCCTATTGGACGGATGTCTGTCATGCTGAAATGTTGCCTCATGAAAGGCAGTGAAGTCTCTGTCCTTAAAGGCAGCAGCAGAGGGCGCTGCTGGCTCAGTCATCCAACCCATTGGGCGACCAGATTTGGAGAGGAGCCCGGTATTTTTCTTTCTCTGCAAGGCAGGTGAGTAGCCGGATGCCTGAACTTGTGCAAAGTGTTGAGAGTTGGACGGGATGTTCATATTGGACATTTGGGAGAAATGGTTTGAGCCTAAAATGGATATTAAAAGACATCGTTTAGACACACTGCAAGCTCTAGTTTTATTAACAGAGTGCAAAAGGCTGTTAAACTCTCACCTCTATGGGGGTTAAAAATCCGTCTGACTGTGTCCCAACCTTGAGAGCTACCATAGAGAATTGGTTTTCCAGCCCCTGTGGATGACATTGCATGCTGTGCTCCATTTGGCAGAGGCTGCACCTGCCCAGATGAGTATATCGTTCCATCATTTACCCTATCAAGAGCAAGGACCACGGCAGGATTCTTAGCAGCTGTGGGCTTCTTTCCAGCTGCTGTGCCGTACTGTGAGGACGAGTTAGCTGCTTTGTTCTCCAGGAGTCTGGCTGAGGTTCTGCAGTGAGGCAATGACACACACAAACTTAAGTTTCTACTGTATATTACTCCTGTAAAGGGAATTCTGTATTTAAACAACACAAGCTTCAGGGTTAAAGTTATATATGAATTATTCAAGCGTTTGCCTAATGACACGTCGTCCTGCCCACACTAAATCACATTGTCATTAGCTCCCACTTACAGCAGTAAGGGGTCACAGCCTCTCACCTGAGCACAGGCGAGATGTAGTTGCTGGGCAGGATGCCTACTTTGCCCGTTCTGAGCGATAACCCACGCAGCCAGCCTTCTTTGAACTTTCCATACACTCCTACCATCTCTCCTTTCCTCAGCTCTAGCTCCTCCGGCCGTCGTGGTTTGTAGGAGTAGAGGACGGCACACCTGAGTCACACAGAGGTTAAGTCTATGTTATTTCTATACTTCCCACATTATATATCCAGATTTTGCTTGTTGAAGGGGTACTTGAGTGTTTCTTGACTTGTTTTCTTGTATTTTCTTGCACAAGAGATCTGGCAGCTTCAGATCATTACTGCTTAAAACACTGACTCACACACTGATGGAGAGCTGCTGTGTGGAGGAGGTTTTGCTGTCTGCAGAGGCAGAGGACATTTGAGGGTTCACTAGGGCCATGGAGATGGTGGGTGGGGTCTCACTGGTCATCTTTTTTTCACTCTGAAATGAAATGAATTCAAAATGATTAACATTATGGAAATCAGAATGTGATTCATGGATTTTCATTAAAGAACACTGGATAAAAACAAAAGCCTACAGCCATGCAAGCGAGTCTTACACAGCATCGCATAAATGTTGAAATCATCCAGAATTTCACTTGAGACCTTTTCAAATGATGGAGACGGTAAGCATTTAGGCATTAAGTGGAAAAACAGATGTTAGTCACTCTTCATTTGTGCCTGAATCTAACTTCTTAGGAGACAACAACATTTTACTGAGAGTATATATTAGCTATTCATCTTTTTGATGGTTACATTTCTTTCTGTTATGACAGAAACATGCATGAGGTTGTAATAAGTCCAATCTATGGAATTATTTGCAATAACAATAAGACCCATGTGGCAGAGGTGTGTTTAGTGAATCTTCAAAATAGAAAACATACTCTAAGCATATGATAAACTCCCCCTTTGATTGTTACAAAACATGACCATAAACAATTCATATTACATGATTTTACAACAGATGTATGTAATATCAAAGGAGGAGGTCTGGTTTACTTTAGGGTAATTAAAAAGCATATATGAAAAGCCACAGTGTGAGAGTGGTTAGTTGTGTGTTGACTGATCAGTGCATAAGACATTGAGATGTTTACTCTGAATATGGCGTTACATTTTGTCAGCTCTTTCCCTGACACTGGTATTACTGTGACTTAAGATTTTTGGGCTAAAAACAAACAAAAATTCAAGCATGCACTCTGTGTACAGAGGTTACACTTTGACTCAGAAGCGTGACTCCTGGCCTCAGCCCTCTGCTGCATGCCATCCCACTGTCTTCTCCCCACATTCCCTGCCCTTTGTCAGCTGTCAAATAAACACTAAACTGCACAAAAATGAATAGATTAATGAATAAACAAATAAATAAATAAAAATGCAGACACAGATGAATGCATCAGTATCTCTGGAGTCTCTCTTGCGTTAAGGTTGATGCAATGAGATCAAAAAATACCTAAATCCTGCATGTAACAGGCTGAAGTTAACCATGTTCACCAGCCCAGTTTGAAGTGTTAGCATGTTAGCCAACTACCGTATTAAGAGCAACTCAGGCTTAAGAGGCTTTTTAATTAATTATCGTTAGCACTAGAGAAATGAAATATTTGACCGGATGATGGCAGTGAATGAAAAGTCAAGTCCATTAATTAGACCCACTCGATCACTGTATGGGCCATTCATATACCTAACGTTATGGACAGAGATCCAAAACTGTGAAACGCTTCAGGGAAAAGGTCAGAGGTTCATCACAGCTGTTGTGATTCATCTCTATTTCCTGTGCATTATTAATGTTTGTAAGAATCTATTTAAAAGTAACTGAAATATTTGAGTCCGAACTAAAGCAATGAGCTTACCAGAAGATTTTTGGATTATAAAAAAAATAAAAAATAAAAAAACAACCTTGGAATATATCCTTAAGCTGGGTCAAACCGGGGCAACTAAAGTGTGTGTAAACTATAAACAAACTTCTGAACTAAAATGGAGGATGGTTTTTCACAGTGTCTGGGTATCTTGATTTTAGAAAGCTTAAAAAGATGTACAACTTTTATTCATATTATTGTCCTTATCAAATAAGCAGCCAACCAAAGTACTCCTCAGCTAATGCAGCGATGACGGTGATGTAACGCTGTCTCAAACATGTCACTCTACACTCTCACTTGGAGATTAATTGTGGTGGGCATGTGGAGACTGCTGAGGATGCAACATCTGATTTTATTTATTTTCTTACCCATTAATTATTCAGCAAAGGCTTGTCTTCTGTGGGATAAAATATGCATTGTTTTTCCTCTGTTTCTCTGCTCACCCATTCAGGAATGTCCTTTCATTTGTCCTCATGGTATTAGATATGATTTGATGACATTGTTTTTAGCTCAATCTCCAACAAAGATGATGATGTATATAATTTCTGTAGCAACAAAAGGATTTATAACAGACTGGCAGGCCTCTCTTTTCTTTGTCTTTTATTTTCTTAATTATTTTTAGATCAGAGAACAAACAAAGTCTGACAGGCTTGAAGTCAGCAGGCTGTGAGTCAGGCCTGACACAGCCAGTGACTCGCAGGGAGTGACACAGAGGTGTGTCTCAACCGTTAACAACCATACAAAATGAGTCTTTAATTCTGTGATAAATGCTAAATAGTGCATTTTGGTTAGATGAATTCTCCAAAGTTTATGCTGCAAAAAAGCTGTAATGATATCATGCAAAAGTCAGATATCACTTCACCTGAGCTTATTCTCTCTGCAGAGAGTTGCTGCCATCAACAGCGCCACACCATTCATAAACAGCTTCAAGCATTACTCTTGGCATGTGGCTCTCTATGTATGACATGTGCCTTAATCATACAGCCCTTCTACCATTAGGCTGCAAAGCATTCACACTCTTCAACAGCGCAGCACAAAAGAAGTCATTACAAAGAGGCGGCTGCTGCTCTAAGTAAAGTAATACTTCTTAAAGGTGGTGCGGTGAGGCAGAAGAGAGCAATAAAAAGTTCTGATTTAATGCCCACAAGGGGAAACATGGGTGAAAACTGCTGTCATGAGTGGCTTTTGATCTACTTGTTATTGTATTTTTGTAAAAGCAGAGTAAAAGTAAAGGAACCAATCCTTCTTCATTTCATACCATAAAATATTTAGTTCTTTTCATTACATCGTGTCCTCCTTCTATTCTTGGTTTGTGTTTTATCAGATTCAGAGAGAGTGCTTCGGTTATCTTTCAGTCACGCAAAGGCCAGGTGCAGTGACCCGGCAGTGGCACTGGCTATATTTACATGGAGAGGATGCTGCAGCTATTGGTCATGCAGTAAATTAAAGGCTGATTTGTTGTATATGGTGGATGAACTCAAGCAGACAGAATGCAAAAATAAATTGCTAATCAGCAGAGGATTAGTAACGTTTGGCTTTGAAGCTCTCCTGCCAGAGATGACGGCTGAACGGAAACCTTTTTTGACTCAGCTAATGCTCTGACTTGAAGCATTGCACGGAAGTATTAAGTATAACTGATAATACACCTGAAGTATAATTTCTGGATATTTCATTTTCTAGTTTTAGTGATGGTGTAAATATATTAATTTACTTGCCCTAAAAATCTGCTGCCGTAATACTAAATTATGCCACATATTTCAACAGAGTGTACTATCTACTTTTGTCTATTTGTTGAATATATATGTTTCTACAATATAGAATTTCCAAATATTCCTTCATAATAAAGTTTAATAGGCGGTTTAATCAAATAAAGAGCTTTTTTTCCAGGATCAGATTGTAATTATTCAAACAGTCTCTTCTGAATAAAATAACCTAACTAGAATTCTGACAAAAAAAAAAAACATGCTGACTTTTCTAATTTCTTTAAAAATAAATGATCAAACTGTCATTTACACAGCAGTAATACATAGCCATAACAGCCAGCTAGTCTGCAGATTTTGGCTCTGGCAGTTAAGTACAGGCCCTTTTTCAACTACTGTGAAGAAAGTGTAAATATTTTGCAATAAAGGATAAAAAGAAAATCGGATCTTCCAGTTTTGAGAAGGCTACACAAGCTTTAGTCATGTCATTTAAAACAGCAACTGTAGCCCCACTTATATTGACTTTTCAGGGCATGATATTTATACCCCTGTCCTGTCTTACCTTCAATATAAGTGCCACCAAGTTGTCTCGCTTCTGAGCTGACATCAGTGGTCGAGACAGGATGTCTAATACCAAAACAGTCTAATTTCCTGGTTCCCTATCATTGTGAAGACACTTGGAAGCTTTGCCAAATTACATATAATAAAAGCATAAACTCTTTTCTATATGTATCTTTTTTATACAACTATAGCTACTTTGATCTACGATGAGCATTAAGAGGCCAAGAAGAGGATTCTTTGTCTCATCTCATCATAGACAGTCAGTTATGGGCCGTTTTCTTCAAAACAGTGGATTAAGGATTCTCAAAAAAGATAAGTCACATAACACAGCACAGTGTTATAATCAGTAGTGTTAAAATGTATGACAAAGCCAATACATATGTGGACACACAAATGTCAGAGTTATCACTTTGAACACCCTGCACACCCTCACAGGTGTTTCAGTTACGCAGGTTTATTACACCTTCAGTCAGAGTGATGTTAGGTGGAGCAATGATATCGTCAGACTCTAATTTGATAGTTACATAAGGATTGTTGCAGCCACACAAAGCATGATGGTTAGATTACTGTTGATACCATACAACATGCCGATATCATTTTCAGTAACCCTACAAGATCCAGTTAAACTCCACTGGTTTTTGTACGGCAACTACAACATCTCTGTGGATGATGGGAAAAAAAACAGTAATTCCCTGAGCAATAACATTTGCTGTTGAGGCAGTCATTGTTTCTTAAATCTTCAGTTCCAGTGTGAATAGTTGGATTGTATCAACCAGTATTTGTTTTGATGACAACTTTTACAAGCCCAGACAAGCTGGAGGAATTCTAGTTATATTTTCAAGACACATTTAAGACATCGATCAGTTATAAATTGTTTTAAAAAGATAAAAACAGTTCAGGACAGTGCTCCCTTCTGTTCTATTTGACATGCTCTCTAGGTGTTGTTGGGCACTCGGGTGAGGATGTTTCTGTCCTGTTTTGATATGAAGGACAAACTAAGGATTACTGTTACTATGATTCTTTTCTCCCTATGTAACAGTATAAATATTTGTATGTATATTTTTCCATCTTATTTCACTCTTTACAAGTATTTAAAAAATTCATAAAAATAAAGTTAAAAAAAAAAAAATTCAGGAACATCTTTTTTTAAACTGTTGTTGAACATGCAACAACACACGCTGAAAAATGCATACCTCCACAAACAGGCTAGGTGAGAGGGTTACAGGCCCTCAGGTGCCCCAAGTTGTTAGATTTTAGTGCCTCACTCATGGCCCATCAAATAAACTGGCACCTCTGAAGCTACTAGCCAAATTTCAATATTTTTGTTCATACCCAGGCTTAAACTACACAACTTTTTAATTGTGTGGAGTTGTAAAAATTATAAAAAAACAAGCTTTGTGGCCAAAAGGGTCTTTGCATGAAATGTTCTGGATAAAAAGATGTGATTCAATATTAAGGTTTACAAATATGGATGCTGTCACCACAGTTTTACTTCCAATTAATACAACATTTAGGGCTTAATAGTGTTGGGGATATGATAAATTCATCCTTGGTTCAAGATCTACCAGGTAATAATAGTGTTTTACCAAAACCTAATTGTCACCATAACTTTGAATCTTATATCAACAAAGTTGTACAGTCGTGTTTTTTCCTGAAATGCACCAATACAGAAATAAAACACATACTCCCTTAATCAGATCTTGAAAAAAAAGTCATGCATTCATTTTCTACAGGTTCAATCATTGCATCTCTCTTATCCTTACTAATGAAAAAAACACTGTCCTGCTTCTAACTAGTGCAGAAAACAGCAGATAAACTTCTCTTTGGTTTGTAGACAGGATCACATCACTCCAAACTTCACCCCCCTTCAATGGCTCCTTGTTGATTTTAAGTATTTACTGAGACAGGTCTCACCCAGAGCTACTTATCCAATAATATTGACCTCTTTTGAGGCAGCCTGCAACCTTAAATCCTCAGGGAGACTCCAGGTTGTTCCCAAGTTAAGGTCTAAAACTAAAGGTGATCATGCTTTTTCAACTTGGGCTCTTCGACCTCGGCAGACCTGCCTGAGAAGAAAAGGCTTACAGAATCAGCTGCACCATTAAAACTACAAGTGGTTTGAACTGGTGAATAAAAAGTTTCATTTGTCATATGTCTCTATTTAGCCAAACTTTAAGACAAAGTAATTACAAGAAAGTGTTATTGGGCATTTCAGAGTTGTTAAATTGAATAATGTGTGGTTGTTTTGCATTTGAAGACATTCTCACTTTTGAATCATTCCCACCCTAAATGTTGCTCTTACATAAGCCTGCCAATATTCACGCGAAAACACATTATTTCATCCACAGTTGGTGGGAAGCAGCATCTCTCGGTGTGAAACAGCCGAGCCAGAGGTGAGAGCTGACGGGATGCAGAGCTAAGAATAGCACACATGCCAGCTCGGTCAGAGGGGAGCTCAACCTCGGCTTCAGGGACAGAACCCTCGGCTCCTTTAAAAAGAAAAGTGCGTGGCTTGTCTGCTATTACTGGCCCACTGATGTGAAAGTGAGTGTTACCTGCCTAGTGAAGAGGAAGGAGTTTCAGAGGAGGGAGAGAGTGAAAGGGGAGGGGGCTCTCTTATGTAACCAACTTCTCCAGTGACTCATCATCATCAGCATGAGAGAGATAAACAGACACACACACAGGGACTCTCCAAGCCTCCTACTTTCTACATCTTTCTCTCATTTCTCCTCCACCTTCTTCTGTGTTTTTCTTTATTGCATCTTATACATTCTGTTTTCCTTTCCTCTTCCTAACTGGGCACCATCTTTTTTCCCCTGGTATTTCCTCTCACCTTTTCCCTACTTCTGCTCTCGTCCATCTTCCATCTTATCTCTTCCATTTCCTGTTTTTCTTATCTTTTTTTCTAACATGTTAATTCTCCTTCCTTCTCTTCACAGTTTTTCTCTGAACCCTCTTAAGGATTAGCATATTTTTGTTTAATTCTTTGACATTTATTATTGCGCTGAAGAGCAGTGAAATTTAAGCTGAATCAAAGGAAATCATTATCTTGGCGGGCAGGGAAGTTGGCAGCGAGTGATATTATTAAACCTCACACTGGCTTTTATGTTTGAACTGCACTCAGGCATTGGCTGGCTTTGACTTAGTGCAGTATTCACAGGATGTTGTGCCACTGTTCCCAATGCAAAAGAATGTCAACAAATACAGCTGTGACCCTAAAACTGTTAATAAGAAGTGCTGAAAGAGACAAAGTAAGAAGATGCTCTTACAGCGTTTTCAAATCATGCTCTTTTTATAACATCAAATGATTTGGGATGAAATACGACACAGAAAAACAAGAAAACTCAACCAAATAGATAATAAGAAAACAAATGTCATCATCATGGTGTTATAAAATATGCACCAGGGATCTTGTTGGTCCATCAAAGACTTGTCCTGATAAACTAGGAGCCAAATGTCGTGAAGTTATAACACAGCTTGATATAGTGGAGGACAAAGAGAGCTCAAAGGAGTCTAAAGAACCACTAAAACACACTCGGTCCCTTTAAGGAACAGCAGTTTCATTCAAAAGTGTCACCTCAGAGGTCAAACTCCACTTGAGATAATGTGGTTGATAGGGTCGCTTGAAATGTGGGTCAAATTTTTGCTGTTGTGCCTGTCGGAAGTTTATAAATATACTCAGACTGGTCCAGTACGTGTCTAACACTCTTTCAAAATAACATCTCTGAAGCACACATCTGTATCAGAGCTAAAGAAGGCAGAAGGACACACACCCTGTTCACCACTACTTCACTCTGAGAGGAAATCCTTACTTGTGCTCCAGGACTCTTGATTAAAAACCTTTCAAAGTTATGAGTCTAGCCGTCATCTTTCATATCTAACCCTTTTTCACATCTGTGTTGTTTCAGCGAGTGAAACTTCATCCTGTTGCAGCCAACTCAAGGGCGATGTCTTTCTCACATTCATTCCTGAAGCTCTGTGTCACGGTTACCTCCCTGCAACCCCTGAGGTCTACTAAATCCCTCGATGACTCAAATCAAAACATCAATTATCTCACAGAAAACCACCTTTTTCCAACCATGTGTTTTCTGTTATACAAAACACTGCAAACAAAGCTAAGCCAGCCTCATTGTAGCTCAAAGATCATGGGAAAATGAGGTCTGAGAATTGAACAGCGTCAGCACAGCTGGCAAGAAGACAAAAGTGCTACCATGTGACTCACCTGTAACAGGTGTTGGTGTGTAGTGTCAGAGTGGCGCCTCATTCGCTGGGAGTTCACTCTGGGGTGAGAGAGGCCACGGCTGGAAGCATGCACAGAAAGACGCTGCGGCTGACCCTGATGGTTAAAGTTGGTGCTGGTTTTGGTCGTCTCTCCTTTGCTGGTCCGATAAAAGTTGCCACCACTGGCTGCAGGCTGTTTCTGCTGGTTAGAGAGGGGCAAAGCATTGATGATGGGTGCCTTAGCCGGGACTTGAGGGACTCCGTAAAGGGTGGTCCTGCCAGGTACGTCGGTGGCCTTGTCTTTGCCCCCAATCCCAGTCCGGTGATGAAATTCTGCTGACTCACTCCCCTTGCGAGTTTTTCCCTCCAGTAGTTTGGCAGCAACAGAGTTTGGCTGAAAGAAATGAAAAAATAAAAAGGAAGTGGGGATAAAGCATATCACAGAAAACAGTCAATCTTCAGCTGAAAAAATCCCCTAAAACTTGCTGCTACCTGCTACCAGCTCCTGTCAAACTCTGCTCCTGCTGATCAGCAAAACGGCTGTCTAAACACACCCACTTATCACCACTCAACTCACCCCTACAACTTGTTGGACAAGCAGGCAGGGAAGCAGGCAGCCAGAAGCATAAGTACCAGCCAGTATGTCGGGGAGGGTTGACTGGTGCTAAGAGAGAAGCTGCACAGACAGGCAGGCAGGCAGACAGACAGACATGGCAGGGTTAATGCTTTCACTCCCCACAGTGATGTGCTGTTATGCCACCCAAGCAGAGAAAGCATTACTGTGTCTTTACGCCTGGCTGCACGACACGATGAGAGGCTGGCTCAGAGTGGAGGAGGAGGAGGAGGGGAGAAAAGAGGAGGATGAAAGAATTGAGAACAGAGTTGGATAAAGATGAAGAGCATCACTGAGGCGGGGCTTCAGAAGGAGATATGGGTGGACAGGAGAAGAGGGGAGGGGAAGAGAGGGAGACATTAAAATAAAACTATACAAGAATAGATGACAAGTGAGGGAAGAAAACTGAATGAGGCACCACATTAACCTCACTGTAGGAGAGAGCAAATTCCCCCGGCAGGGATAAAGTTAATCCTTAAGTCAGAAATCTCAGAGGGAAACAAATGACAGTCAGCTAGCTAAGCAAGCACGGCAAACCTGAGTAAGCCACATAGTCACACAGTAATGAGCAGCTGCAGACACAGCAGGGCTTCACAGATTAGCTCTCTGGCTCAGCACTTTGCAGTGCAAGAGTGACATTTACGAATGAATCAAAGATTTGAATGAAAATCAAGGTAGCGCCTCGGCAGTGACCTGGAATTAATGGCATCCAACAATGACATCTATGGTCTGATTCGTTACAAGAGCCTCACTGTCAGACCAAAGTGTCATCGGCAGGTGTCAAGTTTCATCAAGCCGAAAAGGCCAAAGCCAGCATTCAAACAACAAGGGGAGAAAGAGCTAAGGAGAACTCACCTCAGTAAACTGCAAAGGGCAAATTCCAACTTTGTCCCCTAACTTGGCTTCAATCCAGTGTTCATCCACCCGCCTGATGAGGGTGAGGACGTCCCCCTGTAGCCCAGAAATAAGAAACAGACACTCAGAGAGTTGGGCTCAGACAAAGTGCAAGAAAGCTGAGAGGCAGAGGAACCTATAAAACAACAAAACAGGATGCCAGGTGCATGTAACAGTGTGGTCGTCCAGGAGATTGAGCACTCAGCTCTGAAAAGTCTCTGTGTTTCTCCTGCAGCATGTGACATCCACTCACTTCGTGTCTGCAGGCCTAGCCTTTTCTGTGGACAGCCTCACTCTAAAAACCATTTGACCATCTGCATTAAACTGGGGGAGAAAAGAGCCGAGTGTAAGTGTGCTTTAATGGATAGCACACAAGTACGGCGGCCCTTATATAACTGCCTTAGAAATCCTTGAGGGTAAACAAACATCACAGCAGTAAATGTCTGAACCTCCAGCTCCGTCCATCAACACAAAACAAACAATGACTATCTATAAGCATTATCAGTCAAGTTTGTTTCTACTAAATCTGATTTGCTGTATCTATTGCATGTATAAGCAAACCAATACAATGATGGGTCCATTAACAAAGACGTCTGTTTTAAAGTTCCCCTGATGGTTTAACCAACAACCACAACATTTTTATTTCATGTAACATTAACCGCTTAAATATGGCAAATTTTATAGATTCACTAAACCACAAACAGCAAATACATTGCCAAAATAAAAACCCTAATCATACCATACGCATATGAGTGATTTCTAGTCACAGTACATTACTTCACTTAGTAAAAGCCACATCTACCTGGTCCAAACCTAAACCTCATTTCAAGAATTTACAAGACAAAAAAAGTGCTTAATTCAAAGTCATGAGTTAAAATAATTGCCCATGCTGTTCGAACTTTTACTTGATAAGTTTTACTTCTTGATTTGAGACTCATCAAGAAAATATATATCTTGTGTGTATTAATATTCTTGCACACATTTCGGTCACATAAGTCTTTGTTTTTAGCTTGTAGTATCTTGATGTTGACGTGGCTTACATTAAAGCCCCTATAAAGGAACTTTGACTTCCTGTAGATTTTGGTTACCCCTGAACACAAAAGCAGTTTTGCTGACCTCTCCTGTCCATGTAGTTATTATTTCTTGAAAAACAGATCTCTTAAACACAAATAAAAGTTAATAAAAGACACGTAACATTAAAAGTTTTGGTGTGAATAACAACATAAAGGGGGACATGAGCTGCTTGGCGGAGGTCTGCGCTCTCCGAGTGCTTTTCTAGTTACAGACTAAGAAACCCTACAAGTAAAACATCTGTGTACTTATACAAGAATAAACCATTAAATAAGTCAGCAATTTGTAAGGCAGACCTTGAGGAAGCTGAGACAATGTTTACTGTCTTCCAGATTCATCTCTCCAGGGTTGAAGTCAAACAGCGCCCTGCAGAGAGCCTGTTGGGACTGCTGGAGGGCCTGTAGTGGAGGCATGTGGTTGCCAGCCTGCAGCATGCCCTCAGTGACAGACACACCGCTCATGTCAGAGATGTTTCTGTGGTGGTGCCAGTTCTCATCGGCTTTGAACTTCGGGGCATTACCATTATCCAGTGTGAGGATCAACCCCCCTGGTAATTCACCTCGCTTGTTGTGGATCAGATCTCGGAGCTGGAAAAGAGATCAAAATCATGTATGAAAAGTTCAAATCAAGAGGTTAAATTATTAAACTCTTTGTAAATGGCTGTCTTTGGGGATTTGAGGGCAGAAAAGGATAAATGACTCTAAATGCTGTTAAAATCTGTGAAATGAAGCATTTTTCACACATAAACTGAGTTCTTCTGGATGAGTGGTACTGAAAGTGCTGAGTGACAAACATCTGAATGTTTTTCATAGCTTTGGAGATAAAGTGTGATGTTCATATCCTCATTTGCAGATTTCTGTATGACAGCCCCCTTGAAGATTGTATCAAGATTTGATTCAGTTATACTTTTGACCTTTTTCACACACAGCATAAGTGTAAGGGCTCAAAGGACAGGGGTATATTTCTCATGGTTTTGCAATGGAGGTTTCTCAAGTGCTATCAGTGTTAAAGTATGAGAACAAACTAAATGCGGCTGTTTTTGAGCTGCAGATTAAAAGTAAACACTTAGATGCTTTAAACAGTTTATACACAGAGCCGTGAACTTGTGAACTCGGAGCACAAAACATCAGCATCTAGCTGTGAAGAAATTTGATACTCCTCAGATCTCTGCAGGGTTTGAGTAAGGAGACAGATGTGTTGTGGCGAGCTGCTTTAAAGTGACTAATGATTTTTAAATATGACACTCCACATCAATTTGCTGTCAACCTTATTTTAACGAAGCTCTTATATAACTGTGTAATAATGAACACTTTTAACAGCACTGCTGAATACTTTTATTTTTCTAAACATACAATTTCACAGGAGTCTTCAGTGAGACCTGAAAATTATTAAATACAAGGCATTGAAAGAAGTATTTCAAAGCCTTATTAACATTTTTATTGTTGTAAGATATAATTTTACCATTGTTTTAGTTCTGGTCATTTGTCCCATTTACTGACCCTAATTTTTTTTTATTATCTATTTGTTTTACTTAGTTCTCTATGAATGAGTATTTGAGTACCTTTGTTACAATGTTACAATGTCATTTATTAGACACTTTCATCCAAATCGATATACATTCAAGAACAAGAACAACACGAGCAAAGATCTAGACAAGAAGAAAAAGATCAGTAAGAGCCACAGAGTGTCTCAAGTTCATTTGGATGCAGGTACTGCCACACAGTGTTAAAGGCACTTTATCTCTGTCTTTAACAGTCTTATAATTGTTAATTTCTCTCCTTGTATTTCATCTATTTCTTTGTCAGGCACTTGTGACAGCTGCTTGTATGTATAAAAAAAAGCTGACTAAATTAAGTTGAGTTGAGTAATTTTTTGACTTCAGTATTCTCACCTTGAACAGTGCTACAACAAGCTTCGAAGTGTGAGGCATGCAACTTTCATAAAACATAGCCTCTATATGTCTGATAACCTAAATCTGTTGAAAATTAACAACTAGGAGCTATAGCAGAATTTGCTTATTTATTCCATTAAATTTTCATAAATCTTTCTTTGTCATTGAATATCAGAGATATCTGACCCACACCTGCTACCTTTTTACTTAAGTAGTTTTACTGCGGTCCTTTCTCTATCAACCCGTTTCTTATTGTACCACATGTTTTTGGAGTTATAACAGCTCCTCGAGTCAAAAGAGATAGTAAGTGAAGCAGTTTGGAAATTTTGGTACCCTGTTGTGAATGCACTGTTAAAAAGCCATGACAGACAAGAGCAAACAGTTTGGTAAGCCAGATCAAACTCTAATGTATCACAGAGTCTTGGGTTTGTGAAAAATCCCTTCAAAATTTGTGAAAGATGCAACAGTGAGAAGGTTATGAGATGACTCAAGAGATGTGTCACACATTCCTTTTCTATCAAGTGTAAAAGCACAACTGACAAAAGGGAGAATAAAACACCATGAAGCGATGAAAGTTCCTCAACAGCCAGAGATTACTGTTTATGCTGTTATACTGAGGTACCTCTCACTTTAACATGTGTAGGTGTATTAGCACATTGTGGGCAATGTTGAAAATCAATAAGCAGGATTTCTTTATGATTTTATTTTATTTCTGCATCAGTCTGTTAAAGAACACAGATCTGTTTTTGTCACCTAAAGCAGAAAACGGTGCCTAAATAACTCATCCATATAAAGTTTCTCTGCTTGTGTCCAGATAAAATTGAGTATTTCAATGTACAGATTAGTACTGTGATGTAAATTTACCTTAAGTATGATTTGATCAAGGTTGTAATTTTTCACATTGGTGTCTGCTGTAAAAAAAAAACTCTTGCCAGGATGTGGGTGATTGACATCAAAAGATTGTGTAATGTTTTCTCAAGTAACAGCGACATAAAAAACTCATTATCATACACTTCGATGAAATTGTTGCCCACAGGGTGCCTGGGGAAACACAGGGGTCATGCACTGACCTCATTCTGCCCTTGCTTCTCTCTATGTTGGCTCTCCTGCAGCTGTTTCCCCTCCCACACAGACAAGCCGCCCCTGGACAAGGGCAATGCATAGCGGGTGGTCTGTCCATCCCTGCTGGGCCTCTGGGGACCCTGGAGCCCTTCCAGGAGCCGCACCAGCAGGAGGTTTGTGGGAAGGTCCTCCACTGTCCTGGCGGGGACTGGAGCACGACACTCTGGACAGAACAGCTGAGAGTGGGCTACCTCTTGTCTCTGCAGGCAAGACATACAGAAGGTGTGCTGGCAGGGCAGCACCTTCGCTGACACATCCAGCTGCTGGAAACACAGAGGACACTCCAGCAAGGCCATCAGAGCCAGCTCCTCCATTTTAACAGGGCTGCCTCTTTTTGAGACTAGGGCTTCAGGTACATGTGAAACACTGAAATCCACCATACTGGGAGAAAGAAGAAAAGCTACTTCAATGAAAAGAGTTAAAATCACAAATTCAACAGAGAGTTTAAGTATTCCTGAGCAAAAGTCCTAACCTGCTCGGTGACAATCAATAAAAATCAAAGATATGTCCATGACTAGTATGATTTGATAAAGGAGAATAGCTGAGATAAGATAAGTAAACATTACACGCTGCTTGCTAACAGGTGTCATACCAGCTCACCTGACTGCACAGGTAAACTACGAACAGGAAATATCGATTAAGTGACCATATCTATCCCATCGAAACCGAATACACACACAATGAGTACTTACACATGTGTTTGATGAATACCGGGGTGATTTAGTCCATGAAGTCCGGCAAGAAAATGTGTAACTTTCCCCTCGTTGTCGCCATGACGCAGTGCGTTGAGGACGGGACTTTACGACGCAGGACAGGCGCGTGAGCTTTACATTTTAGCGTCAACGACTCGCTCGAGCCAACATATTGACCGACCTGAAGACCCACCTGTGGGGAGAAAACTTTACACAGACCGACAACAGGGGCTAAAGCAACAGCCAGGCTAATTCATCAGGAACTGTATCGGATTTCAGTGTCACGTCTGACTCAGATTAACCCTTAACAGCTGATCAGCGCTTAAATTTACGTCATCCTTAACTTTATTGACGGTAAATTCTGCCTGCGGGTTTAAAATACTACACTTATCTACAATAATTATTAAAATTTGTCACATTTTTAAGGCTACAGTTCAGCAACTACGGAGTAAGCTCTTGAAAACCTGTTATTTATGAAAGTTTAGGGAGCTGTTTAAGATGATTTTAATTCTTCAGTGACCGACTCGGTTTTTAAAATTCGGTTTCAAGGAACATTTATACAACCTCATTTGTATCATTATGCAAGTAAAGCCACCTGAATTTATCATAAATTATAAGTACAAGAAAAATTAATGCGAAGCAGCTTTTCACTGCCGTGTGTCATGGTCTCCCTCTGCTGGTGCATTCACTGACTATCTCTGCAGCAACATACACCGTCCACGGTCTACAGTCCGACTGGAAACAACAGAGGGGGAAACAAATATCTGAAAATGACATAGGGGAGAGTGGGGTAAGTTGAGCCGCCCCCTGTTGCCTGGAAATGGTGAAAGAAATTGATAATGTGACCAAATATTTAGGGGATGGGCATCAATTCATGGAGTCTATGAAAGTTAGAAGCAAATGGGTGAAGGGGTTAGACATTTATTTCCCCAAAACATTTTCCACTCTTAAAAGTGAATTTAGTCTGTCATAAGTTTTATTAGAATTGTGTTCAGACTAAAACATATCATTTAAAATTTGTTTTATTCATCAATTGTGGTATCTATGAACTACAACATGAGGTCAAAAACCTAGATTAAAGTCTACCATTTTAGCTTAGAGGACTAATAAAGTCATAGTAGTAGTCCTGGGGTAAGTTGAGCCAGTGGCTCAGCTGAGAAAGTAAAGGAGTCTGATGAGAGGATCAGAGTTTCAGTTCAGATTGTTGAAATGTTTGACTTTTTCTTTTCAAAAATACAGCTGTGAGACATTCTCATGTTAAAATGGCTTTTTACAAAACAGCTTTTTGGCAGTTATACGCAATAATAATTTAAAAAGAATTATTGTACCAGTTGAATAGCATATAAAAGATAAAAAATACACATGAACGTGAAGAAGTGACTGTTATTAAGGGAGAGAGAAGGTGAGGGAGGGCTGGGGTGGAGAGTGGGGGGGTACTAGGGATAGGGCTCAACCCTAGACTGTATATACTACAGTCTATGGGCTCAACTTACCCCATGTGACCATAGGAGACCGCTTTTTTTGGCATGCTATATTATCAAGACAATTATGTTTACGCTCATTCTGTTGGTTTGCAGGGATGCACAACATCTTGAAATATATGCAGATACACTAGTTAGAGAGAAAACTATGATTGCCTTGATATAGTGATCCCAAATATGAAAAATGGCTCATCTTACCCCACTCTCCCCTAAAATAAAATACTGTGTTCGTGCCAGATTTACTTTGTTGGGCATCTGAGAGGTTATTATTGTTGTGCGCACAGAGCAGAAAAGGTTATAGATGTAAATAAAAAGAATAGCACACAAATGTATCATAATCCCTGCTTTTATTTTATTTTATTTTTTTGTGTTTCATTGTTCAGATTTTATTTGCACTGGCCAAACTCCCAAATTCCCTTCCCAGCATCCATAGACTAAATTATTTATTGGCATGGCTGTGTAGCGAAAGTTCAGGACATCTGTTTGAATTTTTTAAACAAGCATGAATCTTTCATCTCTTTTTTCACGTCAGCAAGTCTCAGGGAAATCTAAAATTGTACATATGGCTTTTACTGAGAAAGAGAGAGAGAGCGAGAGAGAGAGAGAGATTAGCCATGACTTATTTACATGTTCATATCAAAGTTCGCACAAACCTGTCCTCTCACTGTTGAAAGACAGATTAAAGTGTATACGAAAACAGGGTTTAAATCTTTTTTTTTTTTTTTTTCTGGATTGAACTGAACCTCCTGATGACTGTGGGGCTCCTGTGTGTGAGTGATGCATCTTCTGTCATCCATGTAGTGATACAAAGTAGGAAGGAAGTCAGTACATAAGTGCTTATCGGCTGCTTCCACCCTGACGGTCAGTCTGGCCTCTGCTCAGCATGCTGGGATGCAGTGGAATGAAGGACCATGTCCGATAGTTCTGATATATAGTCTATCTGATGGAGAGGGAAGGGTCTCCCCGGGGACAGCTCGAAGCTGGGTGTGCTGTCTCTCAGAATATCATGGCTTGTCACAAGTTTCTGCATAAGGAGGAGTGCCTACTCCTCCAGCTTTCATGTTTTATTTAAAATGCTGTCTTACTCAGAGAGCGCTGCAAACTCATTGAATGTGATCTGTCTTAGCATTGCCTCTTTTCCGGTCTTTTTCTGCGCCTCTGTCTGGGGCTCTGTTTGATCATTTGACTGTGTTGAATATGAAGATGTGCCTCACACTCCATGGGGATGTGTTTCAGCGGTTTAATTTGAACAAGGTGCCAGTCAAATTGTATAATCTGTGTGCAGCAGTTTGATGGGGATTAACCCTCAATCAGAGCACTTAAAGGTGCATCACAGCCACATAATTAACTTCTCCTTTTCAGAGGGAAATAATCCCTCACCCGAAACTTAGTCTCTGTGTAGAGCAGGTGCTGTCTATTTAATTCATTTCTGTTGTTTCTTTTTCTTTTCTTTACAATAACTAACTTCAGAAACAGTCAGCTTTTGCTAATGTGAGGTGAGGCTGCAGAGTGAGTTTAGGGAAAAACACGCTGCTCCAGCCAAACTGGTTTGACTGGAACAGCCACAGTTTTAAGACAATCCTGTGTGCTCGTGTGTGGATGTAAACACCTCTACTTTTCTGCAGGTGAGCTGTCCACTCCTATTGTATGACAGACAAAGTCAAACTGACAGCAGGGTAATATGTTTATGGCCTGCAGTGTGCTGTCACTCTCTCCTTCATGTCTGCCTAAGAGCTTGGAAACGTACAGGTCAAAAAAACATGTGCATGGCAGCCCTCCACCAGATTCTTTCATATCTATACAAGGAGCAACTTTGTGGTTCTTCTACCCACAGTTAGTTCTGCCTGGTCCTCCACTGCCAGCAAAATGAATCCCATAAATATTTCATATTTGATAAATAAATGAAACAACCTCTTTTCTTACTCCTGGGTGGCGCCCTAAGTTGCTCCCCTGCCTACCATTCAGCAGCTTATTATCACAGCTCTGACGTTGTTTCTGTCATTTCTCAAATGAATTTAGTCTTTTTCCAAAATGTATCATAGTACATCTGATGCATTAGTTCTGCTTATAACAACCAAAGTGTTTTTTGTTTTTTTAATAAAAGATGTCCTCGTTCTCAAAATTTCTTTCTTTCATGAATAAAATATTTTGCAACCACAGCAGTGTCAAAGTACCTCAGCGTTGCATAAGAAATAATATAAATATGCCATTCTCTTTTCTTGGGAGCCTAAAAAAAGAAGCCACATAAATTTTCAGGACACTCAAGAGTGACACGTGAACACCTCACATTATTAATGACTCCTCCAGCTTGTGGATATCCTCCATATATTAGTCCCATGAGATGTACTCTGTTTACTGCTGCCATATGTACATGTCAGACTGCAGGCTGTGAGCATCAGGAGCACTCTTGGTCATGTGACTTTATGCTACACCTCACCTTTGTTTCTGTCTGAAAGTAGCTTAGCCTAAATAAAATGACAGACAGTGGGAAGCAGGACTAAAGGGCGGGGCTTGTGCTGTGAGCCAACTACACCAGAAACACCTGAACTACTAAATTTCTTTTGCATGGATGTTGTTTTTTGTCTGCAGGAACAACGGTGAAGTCTTTTGGTGTGCAAATGCTTCAGCAGCTGTTTGAGTTGAAGATGCGTATGAGGGAAACTAAAAATAGGACGCACACACCTCTGAGCCAGCTGCCTCCTCGCTGCCTTTGGGAGCACTTTTGCGTCTCCCCTCTCTCCTTTTTTAGAGCTTTTGCTCTCCACCATCTTGCAGATTTCCTGTTGGTGCTGTTCTTTCTCTCTATTTTCCTACTTTTCTTGGCCCAGTCCTTTTGTCTCTGGCCAGTCCTGCGCTGGCATGAAAGACCTGAAACAGGACACCGCTCCCCCTAACTATGCCCCATTATTCACTCTGATGGGAAACTAGAACACAGGCACAGTACTGACAATGTGAAAATCTCTGTCCAATGAGTGCACGTCCAATTATTTAAGCAGCTCACAGAAGTTTTTATCTATCCCAGATAAAGACGATCTGGTGGAAAGGGATATTTTTATCAGAAATATGAGTTTCAAAAATACCCACGCTAAATGCCAAAAGTTTCTCTATTCAAAGGCTGGCGTGACATCAAGCTTGATTGGTGCAGTTGGAGCCATGTCTTTGTTCTCTTTTCCTGATTTATATTAAAAAGAGCATCTTTTCACTGTAACAAGGACAACGTCTCATCTGACATCAGACAATGGCCTTTTTTTCATTTATAATGTAAGAATTGGGAAAGGGAAATGGAGATTTTCCAAAACAGTTGTAAATCAATCCAACTATGTTTTATATCAAGCTAAAGTTCGAACTTTATTTTCTCTGTTGTCTATAAACTTTTCATGATCAATAAAACAGTGAAGTGGTGGTAAAGTATAAATTCTAACCAGTCCTTACTTTTGGAAGATTCTGTTAAACTCTCATTGAATTTGATATCAGCCGTTTAAAAATGCTTACTTTATGCCATCTCTGTGTGGCAAAGGCTGCTTAGAAGTTATAAAGGATGAAATGTTCTTGGTTTAATCAGGAAAAGGTGATGGTCTGGATAAAAGAAACACACAAATATTAACACATAAACCCAGGAGGTTCACGTTTGTTTCCAACCTTTAGCCCCTTCCCTCCATGTCACTTTCCACGCTCTGTGTTTCAGTTCTGTGACAAGAGTAATTGGAGTAAATGGATGTCAGTTGCTGGGATAAAGAGTCAACCTTTGATTTTGAAAAAAGACGCCTATGCAGAAGTGTAACAAATGGCATGTTTTCAGTGGGTAGCAGTTTAGGACCGCAGGTGGGTTTTGCCGTAGTAGCAGGTGCAGAATGTGGTTTGTCATTGTCGAATGAAATATGCAAGGTCTTGCCTGAAAAATGCACCATGGATTAGCAGTAAATGTTGCTCTAAAGGACTATTGGTCCTGAATTTGGACCAATAGTTCCCTCCCAGTTGTGCAAGCTACCAATGCAAAGGACACTTGTGCATCCCTGTGCCATCATGGATGCTGGATTTTAAATTGTGTGCTGATAATGAGTAAGGTTGTCCCAAGAGGGTAGGAGGAGCCTGAGTTCATCTGGGCTCAGGCCTACGCCCGGGGAAGTAGCCAGCCACCTGTAAACAACTCTTCATGTTAGCATTAAGCCACTCTTTGCCAACAAAACCATTGGCTGCCATCATCCCCTGATTAATCATGCTGTGTAACACCATCAGTCACACTGGTTAACTACCATCATAGTCAGTCTATGTTGTGCTTTGTGTTTTTTATTCACCGATCAAACAAAAAGAAATTGTAATGATCCATCAGATACTGATCATGTATCACTTTCAGTCCTGAACACAATCTTGTAAGACCACTTGAGATTTCCACCATTAGCATGACATGGGCCCAAGGCTGCTTCTGAATATGATACATTGCTAATAATGCTAATAATTTTTCTTGTGAAATCCTTCCCTCCTCTACTTGTTTTGGTAACAAACCTGAATGAATCCACACCAATGCATCATTTTCCTTTTCTCAGTATTGTTGGAAGAAACCGGTTACCTTTCTTCCTGAAAGTGACCTACACAATCCTGACTCATTTTTGTGGACATCCGTCTTAAACAAACATGCTTTGGGCTGTGGCAGAGAACAGACTTTCTGGATGAGTTGAGAGATGGACTAATGCTTCGTTGTTTTTTTGTCTTTTAAAAGGGTTTGTTGAAATCATAAAAATGCAAAAAGCTGCCATCCCCATCTTTCAAAGAAAGCAACATGCCCAAAGGCTTTTTTTGTTTGTTATTCTGCAGAGCAACAATGCAAAGGTGAAGAGGCTTCATAGACAAAGACTTGGCTCCTCTTCCATGAAGGGCGAAAATCAAGCAGGCCCGTGTGCATGTACCCCAGGCTGCATGGCCTATGAATAAGAAAAGAAGCAGCCTCTATTTATCCTCCCTCAAGACTTGGTGAACAGGAAAATTCTCTTTCACAAAGTAAACGTGGTAACATGATTATTATGGCCTGCCGTATGTGTGCGGATGATGAAAGTAATTCACATCTGAAATGACTGGCCAAGTTTCTCTCAGTCATCTGCCATGGAACAAACCCCCTCAATCACATCCTTTGATGTGCTTCTGTGTATGTCTAATTCCCATTCAGTAGGCAGATACATGTGTCGCAATGTTTGCTCTGTATCAATTTTGAAGAAAGACTGGGAGCATCAAAACTGTGCAACGTATTCCCCTCTCTCTGGGCCTCTATGCTGTAAATGCACATCCACAGCAAACACATCTGTTCTCCAGCAATGCAAATCATTTGTTGTGTCATTTGTTGTACAATTGTGGACACCTACAATGGATGTTAGAGGAATGACAGTCAAGGATGCAAGAAAAAGTGAATATGAGTGTACAAAAAAAGTCAAAATCCAAGTTAAAAATATCTAAACTCCTGGTAAAGTTCTTCATCATCCTGTGGCATTCCCTGGTAGATGGAGGACGCTGTCATGGTAGTGATTAAAAGTGTGTCACAAGTGATTAAGGTGACACTTAATGCCATCTAGAGGCCAGATCAAGACTCCTGTTAAACAGAGGATATAATCTGTATGCTGCACCAAACTGGGAAATGTCACTGATCCCTTGGAGGGGTTTATGCTTTTGCTCAAGGCTCTCTCCCTTTCTCGTGCTCTCTCTCTAACACACATGCATAGACATTCACCGCTGAAGCAACTAGACTGTTTTGTCATACTCACTTTCAGTCGTAGTTTCAGAGTTCTCGTATTGTGGCGTGTTTGTTTTTGTCTTTCTGAGCTGTTTTTTCCACAGAATAACAGATCAGAATCACGTCGAGAGCAAGCAGTTCTTCAGCCCGTACATACAGTAAGTCTCGTCTTCATTTCTTCAAGGAGCTGTGATCCTGCCTGGCCCAGAGTGTAGTCCCCTTTATCTAAAGTTAATCACACAGTAGACCTGTCCCTGACTCATGGCTGGAGCCCAAACGGTGGATTTATCACTCACACACTCAGCATGGCAGCTCAGTATCACCACTCGTCTTTTTTCCCTCTTTGACCTTGACTTTTCTTGCTTTCTAACTGATCTCTTGTTAAAGAACTGAGGTCCAGATGTTGATATTTCCCAGAACAACATGAGACTTAGAACAAAAGATAAACTGTGCTGTAGTAGATTTAATCAGCGTCACTTTAAAGCTTTTGGTTCATCTGTGTAAGAAGCTTGTAGGTTTTGCTCACTGATTGTGGCCTGTGTTCAACTACGGGCTGTTGTCATGAGGGTGACTAATTAACATCGCCCTAATTTTAGAAAATCAGTCATTCTTTAGTGCAGAGGCAGGCTGTGATTTAATACCACAATCAAAATCAAACCCAATCACACAGGCTTTCAGAGTCTGGCGGGATTATTTTTGAGTTTGTTGCCATGGCAATCCAGTCCATCCCATGGTGGTGTTTCCAGAGTGTGGTGAAGGATTAGATGGTGATGTCAGACATCTGTGTCAAATCCTTCTCCAGCTCATTTCAGCCATTTGTCATGTTCTCAGATGACAGATGACAGCCTCACACTAGCAGAGGGAGCGAGTGTGCTGCAGCTCTGTGATGAGTTTCAAACTCTGGTTTTTACCCCACTTTCTTTGCCCTGACTCCCAGCTTGCTTGCTCTCAGCCTGAGGTATTATGGCCTTTAAGGTAAATATCATTTGTTTTGTGGCGTTTCTATGATGGGTGAATAATGGCTGGAAGTACATGGCTAAATGAGAGTCTGAGACCAGGAATGGGAGTAATCTGGCCTTTCTTTCTGAGCCATGACAGAGGCCAATAGAGATTAATGAGAGTGCAGGGGTCTTAACACTTTCACTGCTACAGGAGGGACAGCATCAGCTCTGCTTGGTGATGTTTACATTCTTACACTATTACATTGTTTTACCAGATAAAATTCAAAACAACACAAGTTAGGTGGCCCTAAAAGAGGACAGATGATACAGCAGCCATGATTAAACAGAAAAAGTATCCTTCACGTTGATTTTTTTGCCCTGCTTGCTGCCAAACTCTAAAGTTTGCTAGTTTTGAGGAAATTTTCGCAACTTTTAATGGTGCCTGGAGCGTTAAACTTGGGAAATCTTTCTGTAACATTAACGACAGTCTGAGCAGGGTCCAAAATTAACACATGCCCAGCACCAAATGTGAGTAGATTTTTCTCTTGGCCTGTATATTTTAGAGGGTTATGAGCCACATGGCTGGTTACATTTGTACCAAAATACCCATGTAATTAAAAAAACTGTCTACTATGCCAATAGCTTCCCAGCTGCAACCATTTTCTTCAGGATGAAGACTCAATGTGAATTTTATTTAGGCCTTAAATAATTAAAAATTGATTAGTGTAAGGATGCCTAGCCCGGGTTCACACTATAAAGAATCGAAGGTCCACACGAATGATCATTTTGACAAGCTTTACTGATTACATATCTGGGTTACAGCTTCATCAGGCCACTAGTGTGACCAACAGTGGTGCTAAGTGTAGCCACCCCCAAGTGTAGCAAAGAGTGTAGCCCCCATGTGTGGCAAAGAGTAGTCCAAGACCATTCAAGTATATATAGCGGTTCACAATCCTAAACATACTGTTGGTATTTAGTTGACCCTAAGAGAAATCCATGTATGGTAAAAACAAAGGACAACATATTTCAAAAGCCTTAGATGAACATGTGGAAGGTCCCAAGAAGGAAATATCATGACAAACATATTTTGGGGACCTACATGGTGTAAATAATGTGTACAGGGTTCCTTGCTCAGGGATGGTTGTAGGAGGCCCCCGGCTCCAGCAATCTAACACCAAAGTGTCTGGGGTATTTGAGTGACACAGCTCCACCACTCTAAAGGCTGACATGACTGGCTAAAGAAACTCATCCTAACAGTCCTCACTTTTTTTTTTTTTTTTTTCTTTAAACATGCCAATTGTTCATAAATAATTGCTGCTGGAACAGATGATAAATAAGACTGGTGACCAGGGTCACTTAAAACAAAAGAGTGGATTGATGAAACAAACATAAGAAGGGTCAGCCACCCAAACCAGCCCACAAAGGGTCGTCAGATTTGAGGCCACCCTCTACCCTAGACCAACAATTGAACCAGCTAAACCCTACAAAACCATGAACAAAAGCCGCGAAAACAGAACTTATCAATCCACCTGAACGTAATCTAGGTGATAATTTTATATTGCAACTAAAGTAAAGCATGTTCTTTTAACTCAGTGGAGTGATGTATCTTGTGTCAGCTAATACGTGGTGGAGAATGATACTTTTACACTAGAATCTCTGAAGCGGTGACCGACACTGTGATCACATGGGGAACATCATATATGGTCAGGATATATGCCATCCCATCGTTGGAATCTCCCGATGACTCAGATGACTCAGAATCGGAGACCCACGGTTTCCATTTGAATGGGGAAGAGATAAGGGCATACGCTGTTTGGACTGGATCCTGCACAAAAGACGTATTGACAACATCACAAACAGATTATGATTAGTGTACAGAAAATGGAAGTTCTCTGGAATCCTTGAGAGATTTGGCTGCTAAGACTAAAAATCTAGTGTAAATTTTAGCAGGCCTTATGACGAATTGGTAATTGTTAACATTTTTATCTGAGGTTTCTTCTCTTTCTTGGTCAAACCTAGCAGTTTAAGCAATCCATAAAGAGGCACATGCATCTTCCTAGTCATAGTTCTTTTGACATGAGTCATTAGCCTTTGGATTGTTTGACTATTCTACCCCCCTTTTCTTCACATGTCCACCAAACGTTGAGCTGTCCTTCCAGTCCTAGAGAGAAAAACAACTCACAGATAGAGATGTCGTTAGTAACAACTGTACAAATTGCATTCGTGACACTATGAATGTAAGCTAGGAGTAAATCATACGCTAGTTAAGGGAGCGTAATCTGTTGCCCATCATATTTTTATAATACATCAGCAACCATGTTACACTTCTTTATCTGTTATATGTTTACTTTAAAATCAGTGGCCCGGCTTTAAAGCAAAATTAAGTCATCAACGGAAAACGGCGGCACAGAAGGTTGTATGGATGGGAACTAGGAACCAATCAAGGAGGAAATGGTGCATCAAGTGCCGCTTTTTCTTTTGCAAATTGTCTGCTAATTTTCGTTGTCTCTGGTCACTTCTTTGTCAGATAGTAAATGTGTTGTTACATTTCACAATAGCATGTAGGATACAACATCTTAATTTTGATTATCAACAAGTGCATAACCTGCCATTGTAGGGTCTACGCGCAGAACCATAAAATCATAGTTCTCCAGTGGAGTCTGTTGCATCTTAACTCTTACTCTAAATGTCGAATTGATTAAGTTCAAGCAATCTAGTGACGGAATTTCAGCCATCTCTTTGTTACCATGCAGCAATGACTTCAAGTGTATCACTAGATAAATATAAGTGACTGTTGAAAAGGGAAGTTTTGGTGTTTCAGCTAACATGCGTTTTTAGGTTCATCACCTCAGACTGATATGCTGTGTGATTATGTTGCGGTGACCAACATTCACTGTGTGTATAGCATGCTGTATTAGTGGATATCGTAACACTGTAGTCTGTGCCTATTTAAACGTAATCGCCACAGCCATCATAGCTCGCAAACATGAGACTATCATTTGAACAAGTATCGTTGGGGATTTGGAATAATAGACAACAGGTCTCAATCCTTAATCAAGCACCCTCGTCAGAACAGCAGTGGGGACTCCTGTCATCCGCCATACAAGGTGAAAGCCCAGGTTGTACTCCGGAAATCTTGATGTTGGAGCAGTGCAGAGAAAATATTCGATACAACGAAAGACGTGTTTCATGCCATTAGTCCAGTTCATAATGTCCAGTGCATCCTAGGGCGTTGACTCTTGGAGCATAGGATCATGGACGGCATAATTACCAGCCATGCTTGACTATAGTCCACCAGATGCAGAAGGGATACCTGTTCAGGTTTGTTCTTTTTTTGTTTGTTTTTTTTTTTTTTTAACATGGTCCTTCAGTGTCCTTTACGGCTGTCACACAATCAGGAGAGAGATATCTGCACCCAGCTCTCAAGATGTAGTCAAGGTAGTGGACAGATTCTCAGCAGAATTGAAGCTCGGCAAGGAATGTCCTGTGACCTGTCTCGGCCAAATGTATCCGTGGGGCCAAGGAATCCAGTATGTAGTCTTTTCAGTCTCTGGGTAAAGAAGCAGGTCATCCGAATACTGGAGGATACAGGATTGACATGGTAAAGTTGGATGAGACAAGTGCAAATCGACAGCTAAATAACCTGTGGCGAAATCAACAAATCCCATAGGTAGTTCTTTCCAGCCATATTATTAATTCGTGTACGTAAACGTAGAGAAATTTTGTGTCTCTTTATGTACAATGATAGAGAAATATACAGAGCATGAATTGAGTTAGTATAGAAGCTAGAATTAGAAGGTTGTGCGGTTAAAACTGAGTCAATATCAGACACTATGAGAGCTATGGATTACACTGCTTTATTGAGGGACTATTTTCCTCTGTAGAAATTTGATGTTCGTCCTCACTCTTCAAAATCTCAATGTTGTTGGTTCAGATGCAGTAGACCGGATGATGTCTTAGCACTGACTATCAGTAACTGTTACATGATAGAGATGTTATCCCGATCAAGGGCTTGTTGAAGTGACCAGAGATACCAATAGATTGAACAGAAAAACTACTCAAATGGCCAATTCAATTTGGTCAGGATCTTGTTCCTCCTCCTGAAAACCCTTGGTTCCTTGATTGGCACCATACCCCATCCTCTAAGAATCATTCTGCAAAAAGAGATCAGAGGTTATTTGAGGCATAAAGTGAAGTTGCACTTGGTTCACATTACTTTTTTGAGGACTCCTGCTCCTTCCTACTGGAGGCTGTCCTACTACGGGTCCAGTTACATGACAGTGAAGGCATCTGTCAGTCATGACTTACTATAAGTATGGGAAATATGCTCTTGAATGTGCATGTCAGGTATCCTTTTACAGTCTCACTCTGTCACTAAGGCTTTGACCTGTGTCAGATATACACTTTCTGTTAAGTCATAAATTGTATTACAATTCTGGATACATTGATGAATACATTTATCTTAAAGGATGTATGTTGAGAGATTTGACCCTCCCAACATCTGAGTATAACAAGGGGACTACTTTTGTTGGCATTGGGCAGGGCTGTTCATCGTAATTTAACATGTACAAATAGTGAACTGTCATCTTCATAACTTACATACTTCACAGACGCACTAGGTAGGTTTACATGAGGAGACACTGAACCTGGGAGCTGCAAGAGGGTGTAACAATAAGCTTGCTTCTTCATATTTTACTTGAACAGTTTCTTAAGTCATAGAGTAAACTTTTTGTTTTTCTTTTTTAAGCTTACTAAGATTCAGAGGAAACTGATGAGCCACCTAAATCTACACCTTTGTCATGTAGTCTTGATTCCATAGAAAACTATGGATGGTTGCGTTATTCATTAGATACTCTCGTACAACATCTTATTTCCTTCTGTTTCTATTTTTGTTATTTTCTATACTTTCCTATCATTCTGATACTTATTAGTTTTTTTTCTTTTCTCTTATTAAAACTGTTGTCCATAGAAAATCCATCGTCAGAGCACTCAGCCAAATTTATAAAAAGGTTCATCGTAATAGAACCCCAGCTTCACTTGCACCCACTCCCTGGCTGACATCTAAACTACAAACATGATTGGAACGATGTCTAACTGTGGAACAGTTTCAAGCATTTCATTGATCACTTTTCATCCTTTTCTTGGTAGATCTAGCTTCGATTTTTCTTTGTATTTATTTATTTAGCTATTTTTATTTTTATTTTTATTTTTATTTTTTTACCACGTGGCTTTCTGAATTTACTGGTTTGTGACCTCAGTGCGAGGATTATTACTTGCAATTAGTAAATCTATGGTTATTTGTGAGTATGCAAAGCGTCAAAAGGTTCGTGTGGTTCATCCATCTGTACTTTAGGTCAAATTCCATCTTTAAAAAAATACATCCTGAAGAATTGAGACTGGTATGGGTCGATATTATGCAATACGTAGATACATAATCACACTACAACTGCCACTGAATAAATCGGGGCCGTCAAGCGGTCAGTCCGTTCAAACAGAGACAGAAGTACCTGTTAATGACTGAATCGGGGCCGTCGTGCGGTCAATCCGTCAGACTATTAAACAGAAACAACAATAACACAACCGCGTCGTCCAACGACGTCTTCATATAAAAAACCAGAAGTACCACTCTGCTAATGACTGAATCGGGGCCGTCGAGCGGTCAGG